GAGAGAGAGAGAGATAGAAACACATAAGCAAGGAGCCTAGGTCGATAATACAGAAGAATAGAGAGAGGTGTTGGCAGTTACCATATACAGCGGTGATGATCTCCCATCCACCCTAAACAATTAGCCATCTATATACTGACGCAGGGGCCGAGATATATCAACAGAGTACTTCCAAATTGCGGATGAGCGCATCCCGTACCTCCACGCGCAATGGCAACATCACTGTCGCAGCCGCTCCTCGTCACTTGCACGCCTCCTACCGTCTGAGCCTGGCCTTTCGTCCTCCGCGCTCTCCACGTGCATACTAGCCCACGGACTCTGCTTCCTGAGTCTAAAGCCATAGCGATCCAGGATGAACGGGATCGGCACCATGAGACAGGCCAGGCCGGCCAGCAAGCTTGTGGCGCCTTGGTTGCCGAGTCTGTGGTACATCTGTCTTCCGAAGAGCGGGAAGCCGGCTCCAGCTATGTTGCGGATGAGGCCGATGCCCGCGAGCGCTGACGCGGAGAAAGTCTGTATATATATATATGTGTGTGCATGTATTAGGAACCAGATGAGGAACAAGATTCGCGAGAGGGAGATAGATGGCACACGGGTGGTGCGAGACGAACCTTGTAGGAGTCTTCAGTATAAGTATAGGTCATCAGAATCAATGTGTAGAAGCTCCACCCCCACAGCCCACTCGCCAGGATCGGCACGATCCAATGCACACTTTGGTCACTCGTCCACGCAAACCAGAATAAGCTGATGGGAAGCGCGACACTCGCAATCTTGCCCATCATGACTCTCGCTTCGGGCGCATTCCGCTCGCCGCTCTCCTTGACCTTCCGCTGGTAGTACGGTTCTTGGAAGAGGTAGCTGGTGAACGGGCCGATCGATATGCCTATGGAAATGCCGAGGAAGCAGAGTCCGGTGTGGATGGTGTCGAAGCCGTGGCCCGAAGGCCCAAAAACGATCACGAAGGCCGAGTTGAAGAGGAAGGAGAGGCCGTAGAGGTACCCGTTATACAGGGCGCTGAACTGGATGATGGATTCTGTATACAGGAAGATAAACGGCCGCTTCAGCGCGGTCTGCGCAAGTTGCGACGCGGCTTTTTTGACCCGCTGCACTCGCGGGATCCCATGGGAGCCCTGTGAGGGTGGTGTGCGTCCCATTCGAGCCAGGATGATATTATGCCTCGTTTCTCTGAGGGTGAGCACCATGATGACCCAGAACGCGCCACACACGCCTAGCAGAGCCCAAAACACATCTCTAAACCCGCGAGTCCCAGCCACGAAAGCGAACAGGAAATATCCGGATGGAGAACCACATGTAGCTGCCCACAGATAGATAGACATCGGGATCCCAGTATCATGAGAATCCCATAAATCTGCGATGGTACCTCCAAAGTTCGCAACCGTGACAGAAGAGAACATGCCTGATAGCAGTCTTAAGACCAGGAAGCCCCCGAGATCCTGGACCAAAGCCGTGCCGAGCAGGAAGAGGAGGAAGACGCCGTAGGATAGGATGTAGATGGGACTTCGTCCGAAATACTCTGATAGGGGCGCGAGGGTCATAGGACCGAGTGCGAGGCCGAGGATGTAGAGGGAGAGACCCAGAGTGCCGACTTCTGCTGAGACTCCGAACTCTGCTTGCATCTGCTTCTCGGCTGGCGCGTAGCCGGACGCTCCCCAGGAGACGGAGAGGTCGACCAAGGTTATAGCGAAGACTATGGACCATTTGCGCCAGGAGGGCCAGTTTCGTGGGTTGGAAGGATGGCCAGGGGCGAATTGAGGCTCGTGTGAGGGCTCAGATGGCGAGGTGTTTGAGGGCGAAGGGGAGAGTTGTGGTTCGTGAGGTAGATGGGAAAGATGCTGGTTCGGGGTCGGGGTCGGGGTCGGGTTCGGGTTCGGGTTCCTTGAGGAACTGGCCTCCGTGTTGGTAGGGTTTGAGCGGAGAGGATCCATTTTCGAGCTTCAACTTGCACTTCGGATGCTGATTCGGATTCGAATTCTGGTTCTGGTTCTTACTGTCCTATGCCTATGTCCTCAGAGGACTGCTCATCCAGATCCGCAGGACTCGAGTTGGTAGGTTTTTGTTCAGAGCATGGAAAGACACCCGTCGGTCGATATACCTGAAATGGCACAACTCGACCAACACCACGGAGAGGGAGAAACAGCAAGCGACAACAATCATGACCCCATAGCGAATATATACCGAGGGAGAGAGATATATATATATATATATATATATATCTATATTTATATATTATGTTGTACTTATATACTGATAGAGCTGGCTGGACGATCGACAGCGGCTGCAGAACCGATGACGCTGCTGTGGGCCGCTACCTGGTGCTCGGTACCGACTGCACTCCGTAGCTTTGACCTCTCAATAATGATTGAGCTGGCGATGGTCGTCGGGGCTCGTGTGATATCCTGCCATCGGACCAATGCGTCCATATAGTGATGATACAAAATTGCATATAACCGAGTGTTGTTTACTGCGGCCCCTAGAAAGATGGAACTCGGGTGTGCTTTCTGTTCTTTTTCATTGGGAATGGAATTCCAACCTGTCCTTGACTAAGGCAAGGAAGAGTCCCCATACTGTAGAGCGGATTGAGCTGTAGATCTCCCGAGCCAAACTGCAAACTGAATCGCGGGAATATCGATGATTGTTCTGACATTCCAGCCTTATGGCTTGACAACACCAGACAAGAAATACTGGTTGGGCAAAGCTGCAGAGACCGAAGAAGGGCTCGGTAGGTAGAGAGGTGTGTCCTTGAGCAGCCTATGAAACTACTATCTAAGTATTTGAAGCTGATAACGTCTGCTTTGGTCATCTTCTCCGTGGCTTAAAACACTTTCCGGTCCCTGCCTGACTTGTTGTCTTTCCATCAAAAACGGGGAGCATGGCCGCAGAGAGCGGGAATCCATAGGAACTTATCCATAAGATCAATGTTCTGCGGCGTCTCGTCCCGCCAGCATCCAGACCTTGGGATATGCTCGAGATTCTGTACGCTTGTACAGTGAAACCCCGATGGCCAATATCGCATGACAATATCTAAAGAGATACTGGGCCGTATGACCAGAGCGACCACAGAGCCATAGCCCAGCCCTTTGAAGGGTTCAAGGTAGTACCTTCAGTTGCAATACCCCAAACTATTAGGGGCATATTGGCTCAGCGGGCCGTAGATGCTGCCGTATGAACAGGACCAGAAGCAGGATCATACCCGGATCCTGTAGTCGTTGGACCCGGCGTCAAGCCTCCGACAACTGGATCAGCACTCACAGCGATATCTGCCAAAGCTTCAACAGCTTTCCCCTTCCCTTTGTCCATATGCGCCCCTTCAGCATCATCCATCACCGTATCCCCCTCCGCATCCATAGCCGCCGTCACCGACAAACCAGGTATCGTCCGCACCGCTGCATCCGCATCAACCGCCCTCTCCTCCCCAGAAGTATGCAAGCCCCCCTCTCCCATGGTACTATAAACATCATCCTCCGCCTCAAACTTCCACTCCCCTTCAAAACCCGGCAATGCCTCTCCATCTCTCCCACCTCTCCCACCACCAATACCGCCCTCCTCGCTACCACTCTCCCAGCTACTCCCACTCTCACTCCCACTCCCGCTCGCACTCCCTCTTTCCACCAGCCTCAGCGTCTCCCCCAGCACCAGGAAATCCCTCTCCAGCATCTCCGCCCAATTCTGCACATTCCCCAGCTCCTTGACGCGCCGCCCCCCCTCCGCCGCCAGCTTCCCCAGCTTCTCGCTCTCCCGGCGCAGGCCCTCGGTCGCCCTCACGACGTCGGCCTGCTGCTTGGACAGCTGCTTCGAGTTGGCGTGGAGGTTCTGCGCGCGCGAGCGCAGCGAGCGGTCCAGCGAAGAGCCGATGTTCGTCATGGAGGCTTCGAGCGCCGCGCGCGCTTCGGCCACTTGCCGCTGCGTTTCCGGGGATTGCGTGCTGGGGATTGAGGGCGAGGCGGAGGAGGCGGAGGCCGAGAGGGAGGGGGAGTGCGTGTTTGTTGTTGAGTGGGAGGAGGGGGCGAGGCTGGGGGAAATGGAGGGGGGTACTGTGCGGGGCCGAGGGAGGGGAGGAGGGGGCGCACTGCTGGTTGAGGCGTGGGTGGACATGGCCGTTGCGTTTGCTATCGCAAGTGAGAGAGAGGTAAGTTCTGGTTCAATTGGGGACGATGCCGTGGTAGTGAAGACAGATGGATGAGGATCAGTGAAGGAAAGCTTCCGTGACTTGGGCAGAGCGGGTTAGGTGAAGCTTGTAAGGAAGTAATGCGGGGTTGCAGCTCGGAAAGATGGGCAATCGTCAAGAGTCGGAGAGCTGGATCAGCACGAGAAATGTTACCACGAAAGTCCAGACACATCACAAGAATGCATGAAGAATAAGAACGCCGTTATTGCAAGATTTTAGTATTCCCCTTGGATTGCCGAAGACCCTGCACTGATCTTGCCATCAAGTAGCAGTCCGCAAATGCAACTCCAAGCCATGTCTCCACAGAAATACAATCCCAACCAAGCGGCCAGCAGTAGAAAAGCCCTCTACTTTCTCAGTTGGCGCTGGTAGAAAGCAAGCTCCTCGCCCTCCAAGATGTAACCATCGCAACGTCCGCTCTGCCCTGGGCGGGATGAGATGACGGCAAACAGACGACCAGCCTCGAACTGCTTCTCCAACGCCGGCTCGACCTTTCCTTGAGCAGCGAAACGTGCATGGTGCTTCTTCTCGACGGACTTGCTCTTCTTGGTGTCGGGCTCAGCGATCTCTTGTCCAGCCTTCTGTTGACGTCTGCGACCGAGGTTTTGTCCGTAATGGGCCTCGTACCATTGACGGAAAGGAGCGGCATCGACCTGGACAACGGCGGAGCGGGTGAGGGTGTTGGTTCGGACCAACTCGTTGTTGGACGGGTGGAAGGCGACGACGATAACACGGACCTTGCGTGCGATTCCCTCGGAGGCCCAGGAGAAGTTACCGGCTTCGAGACGCAGGGCACGGAACTTGCGGTTTCCTCCACGGGTGCGGACAAGATGGATTCTCTTGGCTCCGATACGGGTGTTGGACTCTTGTCGGCCGGCTTCGAAAGCGCGCTTCTTCCCTGAAAAATTCTTAGTCTAAGAATTAAGAGGTTGGAACATAATGCCATAGGCAATATGGGCTTTCTACTACGCACGGTAATATGCTCGCTTCGCACCAGAAGCTGAGCGCTTGTGTCTGCTGTCTCTGGAGATACCCATGATTGCGGATTCTGGATGGAGAGAGAAGTTAGCGGATATCTGGAGAGGTTGGAGCTTGGGAAGTGAAGTGATTGAACAAGCCAGAGGGAAGAAGACACGCAGAACCGTTCCAACAAGCAGAGCAGCCCCCAGGAGATTTATAGCAGATGCGAACCACAGTGCAATGTGGTGATCCTCTCGGAGCCGCATTCGCATTTTATGCGCTCGACATCGCGATTGTCGCAGCTGCCTCCATCATCATCCCGTCGCCGACTCTGGTTGTGCTTGATTCTGCGTGTATTCGATTCGACATCGGCACCGGCGTACACGAGGGTTCGCGGACTGGACTGACCTGCGGATTCCGGTGTGTCAAGGGTGAGTTGGTTGTCGAGTTTGGCGGGAAGTCGTTAAGGTCGCGGTTCTCTGCCACAAAAAAATCCGCTGTTTGTGCGTTCGAATTGGAATTAGGCTCCTCGCTTCTTAGCGCCAGAACGTTAATCACGTGATAATTCGGTCCCCAGCCAAGCAAGTCACGGCATCGACACCGACACCGACACCGACACCGACATCGACATCGATGTTATCCCGACTCTCTAAACTTCCTGTTCCTTCAAATTTTCCCCGGCCATGTACGAGCTACGAGGACTAGCTTCACGGATCCCAATGCGACGCATCTCATCGGTTACGAGAATCCGGGCTGGATAATTATCGTTTATACACTCGAAAATGTGTGTATGCTGTGGCAGTGGCACTTGCACTCTGCCTGCTCGCCATCTTTGCTGGAGAAGCAGTTGGTGCTTAGAGTTGTCGAGCGAGTGGCAACTACGTTTCAGCGGAAAGAAATCTTGAATATCGACGAAAATAGTTGGTGGTTAGTGGAGTTTAGTGAAAATCCATACTTGATACCAAGAGCCCTGCTATCGGCCTCAGGCTTAGAATTCATCCTCGGAATCCAGTCTCGAGTCGCGGGATCTGTGGTCACTACTTCACTTTGTAAGGAAACCAGAGATCCAGCAGAGATCCGGCAGAGATCCGGAACTGTTGCTGTCAATTTTTCTCAAAGCCTCTGACGAGAATCACATCTTAGGCAAGGCTTTCTATTTGTATTTGACTTATTGCATTCGTTCATCCTAGGAGATGGATCCAGATATCTCCACTCAGCCATCAACGGATCAATCTCGCAAGGCTATTGGACGATCTTGTCGTCGTTCTCCATCAAGCCTTTTACAAACTTGATAACAGGAAAATCGGCATCCCGTAGCTCCTCAGACACCACTCACTTCTCCTTGTAGGCCTCCCCAATCATCTCCATGGCCTCTTTTCCACCTTTCACTCCCAAAGTGCAATAATCACTATCTCAGACAACATGTACAGAGCACGATAATCGCGAGCACGCAGTTCATCATAGCCCTTGATTTCAATTGTACGAACTCCCACATCCAGGAGGTTGGCCTGCAGATCCCAAAAGTTTACGTTGTGCATAGCCAGGAGGGTGAAATCGTCCCAGGAGGCGAAACTCAGCGTGTCCTCATTCTTGTTGAAGTACATGAACGTGCCGACGTCTCTCGGGTAGTAGCGAAGGCCGAAGATGCGGAGGGGCCGGAAGTGCTTTGGGATTGTCGCGGTGATTCTCATCACGTACTGACCAGCTCTCTCGAACCCGACGATCCAGGAGATAATCAGTACAGTCTCCTTTTCTTCTGGAAGTGCAAATCCCTGGACCGCAAGGCGAAGTTCAATTGTAAGGCGAGGGAAGGGGCTGTGGGACTCGGAGGCTGAGGGTATCTAGCCCTCATCTAGACGGACACTTTGACAAAGCGGATCTAAGACTCTTTGGGTTCTTGGTTTCTTGGCTTAGGGCTCTCCGCGGTGGTTTTGGAGCTTCATTAGAATAGTAGGAGCAGTGCTCGCTCGTGGGATATCGTCATTGTAGCGATGTCTCCATTTTGTCTCGAATAGTTCGAAGCCTAGCCCACCCTGGAGAGGGAATAGGATTGTCAGATTACGATCGTTCATAGGGTCAAGGAGGAAGTGATTGGCTTACATCTAAACGCCCGCACAGGAACTGCAGATGCTCAGGAATCTGAGATTGGATTTGGAAGAGAGTTAGAAGTCAAATTGAAATGACCCGGGAGTGCAAAAGCCACTAGATGGTCCTCCATCTCCAAGTCGCTCCAAGGTCAAAAATGCCTGCTGCCTGCCCATTAATCGCTTGTCAGCTCTCTTACTATTAAGACTTGAAATGGGCCAGCATGCATACAAAAAGTTCTGAAAGTGAAACTGATGAGAGGTAACATGGTCCAGCGCGTCTCGCTTAAGAAATCCGGCTTGCAAGCCATTCGGTTCAAAAGCCAAGACCGTGATAGCTATGATATGGTTTATATACGGCAGTACAGTAGGATAGAATAGCCGGGGGTACCAATTTATCAAGTTGATTTGGGTCTGGATCTCTATTTGTAGATGCATGCCAGCTTTCAAGTCTTCCGATGTTGGAAGCCCTCGTGACGAGGTCACGCATGGTGGTAGTCTGCTTGTAGCAAATTGCCATTTGCTATGTTAATAGGAAAACATTCCACTGATTCCAGGCTCGAACACTATATCCTTATTGTCGGTATCACAGGTACCGATGAGAAGTACGAATATATAGGTGGTACCAATTGCATCTTGGCGCCTACAGTACTAACGATGTTATAATGCATGAACCCCCTTTTCGCACCAAAACTACTCGTCGGTTACCTTGAATTTAATTCGAAAGAATTGACCGACTTGCTGCGCCAGGTCGGGATTTTTTTACAAATTAAATTCAAGGTAACCGACGATTAAGGGTCAAAACTTCGAAAAAGATTCACATTAGCCGTAATTCGTTAATCCCATCCTCGGGAAGCTAGTTAATTGGACCGTTATGCTTAATCTGCTTATTCAATGGAACCAGATGCATAAAACAAGAAGTGAAATCGCTCCCCTCGTTTTTTCTTTTCCATCCTTTCCAAAATTTGCGGGTATAACTCGAAATATCAAGCGAAAGTCAACTTTCTACCATGCTTCCTGCTTTACCTAACTCTGTCAAACAATGATATGGATTAGAACCGTCATCTGCGAGCCAAACATCCTCTAAATCTTGCTCTCTCATAGGAGGATTCACTGGATGCGAAAAGTGTGTGGCATACGGTGCTTACCAGGCCTCCATCCAATCAAAGACTTGTCTTGAGACCGTCAATTGCCTAAAAAGCTTTGGTATCGATGGGGGAAAAGCCTTAACATGTAATTTAATGTAAGAAGTTGCGAAAAGATACAAAGCGGGAGACCGGCAGCCACGAGAAGCAGGACTGGAAAGCAGTTGAGACGACTTTGGGGTGCATATCTGAGATGGTGGAAGATATATCACTCAATCAACTCTTTCTTCACGTGCATTGAATTGAAGTTGTCTTTTACCAAGACGCAGGTGTTCCATATATAACTTTCGTTATATGATTGAATTCAAAAAAGATTAGCATATATACCACGGTACAGGCCTAAGTATTACCCCCCGAGGGTGCGTCAAAAGTCTAGTTTCCACTTTGAACCCCCTAGTTACTCTACCCTCGAGGGGTAATACTTACGCCTGCGACATAGTAAGTATATATATATATATTTGCCACAGGAGATCCTACCGGAGCAACTCGTAGCCGTCGGTCAGATGTATGATTGTAAAAAGGAATGCCGAGCATCGCTAATTTGAAAGTAAGGATGTGGAAGTGAAGGATGTTTATTGTACTACGTACGTAGTATGTCCGAACGTACCGCGCGCTTATTCGTTACCCCTGATCTGGTGGAGACAAGCGAAATCTCAATTTGATATTCATCCGTGGATCTCGTATTGGGTCGATTATTTCCCATGCCTCGAAGAAAGTGGAGTTGTATTTCCCATGCCTCAACCCACTTTTTGAGTAGGCCCGCCCAGCCAAATCTACTCGCTGCTTAACGCTACATTTAACGACCTCGGCTTCGGTATACTCGATTCTGATATAAATACAGATCTATTTAAGTAGCGCGCTCGTTATAACTACGACGTTCGAATTAAGGAAGCTACGGTATCGGTATAGTAAAGAAAACATATATGCTTTGATCGTGTTCTTTATATAAGACCGTTAGTTGCGCGGATAGCGTATCTTTTGGAATTGATTCTTAAGCTGATATCTATAACTAAAAACATATATATATCTTCAATTCGCGATCAGGTTCAGCGCTATATCGAGATCCGTAAGCGATAAAATTGTATTTATTTATTTCTATTAATTTTTTCCAAAATTTTTAAATGTGAATAGCTTTAAAATTACAATCTAGAACTTCAAAAAATAATTCTAGTATAAGCGGCATTACTGAAAAAATTTTCTTGTATAGAGCAGCGAGTAGATTTGGCTGGGCGGGCCCACTCAAAAAGTGGGTTGAGGCATGGGAAATACAACTCCACTTTCTTCGAGGCATAGGAAATAATCGACCTCTCGTATTGTGGTCGCGGTCTTCGCCGTTTTTTGTTTTTTTTTTGTAAGGGGAATGGCGGAACATCGTGCGATTCGTGTAGGTAATCTTCCTCGGACATGGTTAGCTGTTGGATGTAGGAGGATTTTCGGCCCCACGAATAGAAAGTCTTAGCACGATTGTTAACATTAGTCAATTGCTATTACTAGTCATTTAGTTGTTAATACTAGTTATAGTGCTGATGGAGCATTAAGATCAGGAGGAGATTCCGATGATTGAATGAAGCTTAGTATATTTATTTAGGAAGCTCATCAGGATAATTAACAGTGTACCTAAGAGCTCCAGTACGCCAAGGGCGCTACTAGGCGAGGTCACCTGATCTGTAGCTTAGGTGGGACCTGAGGCATGCCAGTTCCTTTATTGCCAATGATGATTGGTTGCTAATATTAGTTAATTGCTATTATTACTTAGCTGCTAATACTATTTAATTGCTAGATCTTAGTTAAAGGAATATAATGTTGGATAGAATCAACTAATCGGTAATGTTAGTTTATTGCCAATGTTGGTTGGTTGCTAATATTAGTTGATTGCTATTATTAGTTAACTGCTAATACTATGTAATTGCTAGATCTTAGTTAAAGGAATATAATGTCGGATAAAATCAATTAAACCAGTGAATTATAAAGAGGGGATATATGTCTCTTATTGCATGTCCCTTAGATTTCGTTCATCATCTTCTCTTCCAGGCTTGTTCTCCTTCTTCAGCTCGCAGTATCGAAAGACTTATAAATCCCTAAAACACGATGCTATTCCAATCACAATCTCCTTGCTTCCTTTTGCTACTCTTGAGCTTTCTATTCACTCAAGCTCAAGCTGATAGAAAAATTATCGGTTATCAAAAGCTTACGCGAGTAAGTTCTATATAATCTATAACCATAAGGCCTTGCAATTATAGCATAAGCTTATACTAATTATGCGACCCATAGGCTAAAGCTTTAGCTGTTAATAGAAATAATATTCCTTACGACCAACAAAGGGTCGGAGGGAAAAAAAAATTCATAGCTGTCTGTGAGTTGATTTGTATTCATAAAGCTTCACTTCCGCACTGTTGGAATATTAGGTTTACCTTTATTCCTGTACTGTTCTTGTACGGGGATTAGACCCTTGGGTATTCCGACAGTATAGCTCTCGGCTCTCTCTTATTCAGAACGTTGGATCTTATCATATATTACGCGGGGCTAATAATCCCAATAGCAAACGAATCTGGCCTTGGAGGTGCCGCAAATGATTGGCCTTGTGTTGTCAAAGCGGATGCGAACAAGTTCGATAGAAACCCAAAAATATGGGTTCCAGAACGTTATAACAATCTACCTCATGAAGGAATCCTCCGTCCATTTACTACGTTGTGGGGAAACGAATCAGCTCAGTTGACATACATCCAGGCTGTATTTCCAGAGGTTGAACCCTTGGATGTCGTGCGCTTTACACGATCCCGAGATGATAATCCACCGATGGTAGCGATGCTCTTTCCACCTGTTATGCTACGAGTGAATGAGTTGGATTTCTGGGCCGAGTGCTTTGAAACAATCGGAGGGCTATATTCAGCATATCCAAACGACCCCTCGGTTAGTTGGAGGAGTTGGGGTATTCAGGGAGACCCTGGAGCCCCACTTGACTTTGAGTTTTGAGAGTTCTGATTTGAATTACCACGGTACAGGCCTAATAAGTATTACCCCTCGAGGGTGCCTCAAAAGTTTAGTTTCCACTTTAAACCCCCTTGGTTACGCTACCCTCGAGGGGTAATACTTACGCCTGCGACGTAGTAATAATAGGAAGCTACGTGAACTGGAATGCTTTGTGTTATAGTCAGAATAGGGGAATGCTTTGTATTATAGTCAGAATAGGGGAATGCTTTGTATTATACTGAGAATTATGGAATGCTTTGTACTATAATCTATAGGTCACGTTCTGGTTTCGTATCTGTTGGTCCTCGATTTCGACTGACAGATCATTGGCCTACCGGTAATAGAATAGAGATTGTGTTGGGTGAGCTTTTAGTTCCGGTACTTATTTGACGGCTTGAGGTACCGTATCAGTATCAACTGTCTGACCCCACACGTGATACCAACCAAGAAAGAGGAGTTGGTCCAAGAGACTTACCTAAGGTACCGTATACCGGTAGTCGGTGCGGGGCATTGAGGTCACGTTACCAGTCAAACTAGCGTGGCGCGAGGTTCGGTCGATCTCCATCCTATAGAACGAGTTGACCTCCCGTCCCGACGACCAACCTCCCCTCGACCACCTCACCTCACCTCACCTCACCTCACCTCGACCAACATTTTTTTTCCCTCCCGACAACAGGCTCCTGTCAAAGAATTGGAATCTCAAGATCAAACTTTCCTTCGATAAACATCTGCACAGTGCTGGGCTGGTCTCCGGATAGCCGCAACGGAAGCGTATACTTTCAAAGGCAAGCAATGCTTTGTCTTTCGTATCTATGACAAGTCGGTGCGCAGCTAACCATGTCCAAGGAAGACTTTACTCATCGCACGATAGGTTCCACAGTGTAGATCACCCGAATGATCCGCGATATAGTTATCTGTGACCTTAATGGAAACAATTCGAGTGGCGGCCTCTCGGAAGACCGAAATCTGGACTGACTCCTCGGAACATATGTTCAGCTCAAGTACCGTGATAAGTTCGGAGTCATGTTCTTGCCTTTCCCAAGACTCCCCGTCGAGCTTAGACATATGGCTGGTCAAAGAATTCTACACATCTCTGGAGCCAAAAGGTCTTTGATGAAGTTCATTACGACTCATCCGTGCTTCTGTGATCCGCATGTGCCAACCCGGCGAATGAGGACCTATGACCGGCAGTCCAGAGTCTAGAATACCTTGGTATGTACTCTGCTTCTTATTCAGGCCCCCAGCTAACAGTATATTTCAGTGACGGAGGATTTTATCTTCATTGAGAATAACAACGATGAAAACAAGGGCAGAATCCCGTGGAGCCTGCCGGCACTGAAGAACGCGTTCATCGAGCCCAGAAACCAGCTGGGTGACTTTTAGGTTGTTATCTCCTAGAATCACGACTGTGTTGATTGTAAGCTGAAGGCGACAATTGAGCAGGCATGGATGTCTCGAGTTGGAACGACCGACTCGAAGGACCGCAGATTTCTTGAGCTGGATTTCAGAGGTCTTGACCTAGCTTAGGACATGTTTCGCCGATGCAATAGGTTGGCGATTTCCATAGATGGGTAGTGATGGTCCGAGATATGGGGTATTGGTCTATGATCTGGCCTCATCGGGTATGATCTTTTCGGTATTGATAGTTCGCAGAAACAATACGCTACCCTTGGCTTCAAAATCCTGGCCTGTCTACAGCACGATACACAAAGGAACAAAAAGTTTTTTTTTTCCCGAAACGCCAAACTCTGGAAGGTCTTCTATTGGAAGAACCTTACTTGTGTATTGTTTAGCAAGTCCTGCAAGCAATGCGATAACAATGTGAGCCATCCTAGAAGGATCCATCCACTTACTTCCATCGCAGTCACGAAGCAAATATCTATCCACCCTTTCCGAAAACACGAAACATGCTGATGCCTCCTAGACCTTACAGAAATATCCAGACGCCTAATTTTAAGCAGCTTGTCCCCTACAGAAATATCTAGATGACTACTTTTCAAGCAGCTTATCCATCTCCGCTTGATCCAGGAAGACAACTGTGGGGCTCTTCGATCGTGCCATCTCTGCCGCCGACAGCATCAGCTTTTTGCCCTCCCGAATCGTGTGCACGATTCTTTCCTCAACTTTCTCCATCTCCTCTTGTGTTAACTCTACTCTGTTGAGCTTCTTGGCAATGAAGTCCATCTTCGATTTCAACAGCGTAACAGACTCCAGACCTCTCATCTCCGCCTTGGCAACACACGGTCTCGGCCTAACAGTGAACCCATTTGGCTCCGACACGACGATCTTACGAATGCTCGCCACCGCCGCATCGTGGCTGTAGATGGCCTGGCGCGGGGCGAGACTCCCATAGCCGAGAGACAGGAAACCAGCGAGGGTCTTCTCGTTCGCGAAGTTCAGAATGTCGGACTTGAAATCCATGTACAGGAGGCTCTGGCACCCGGAGTGGAAGAACGGCGCGTACGACTTCAGCGCGACCTCGCGGGCCTCCGTGGAAGTGTGCAGCAGGGCGGTGGCGATGCCGGGGACGTTGGCGCGGTAGACGTCATCGCTGAAAGGGTCGTTGGGGTCGGAGGTGACACTGACGATTGTGATGACGCGGGGACCGGGGAGGCAAGATCTCCAGATCTTGCGGCGGAGTTCGATGGGAAGCGTGGGGAACTTGGTGAGGACGATCGCTGGAGATACGAGGCGTTAGTTTGGCATTCTTGATTCTCATCGCGAGACAAGGACAGATAGGTCGGAGGCCAAGATACTTACCAAGATCTTGCTGCGCTTGCTGCTCGGGCTGCTCGGGCTGCTCGGGCTGCTCGGGATGCTCGGGATGCTCGGGCTGCTCGGGCTGCTCGGGCTGCTCGGGGTGCTCGGGCTGCTCGGGGTGCTCTTGCTGCTCGGGCTGCTCGGGCTGCTCGGGCTGCTCGGGATGCTCTTGCTGCTCGAGAGACATGGCAGCGGTCTGGTGCACAACTGTTGTTACTACTTGCAGGCCGACGAGTTTGAATCACAGACTTACTACTTGCAGATTTTCGAGGTTGGATCACAGATACCGAGGGGTGTCGGGAAGTTGAGGTTGTTGTGTTGGGAAAGTCGAACTTGCGTCAGAGGGTGAAGATTTTATGGAACGCTCGCGTCTTCGTCGCGCTAGCTCGTGTCTAGCTCCGAGTTCACCTTCTCCAGGTCGCCACGTACCTATACACTGGCTGGCTCGCTTCGGATCTAAAATCTCACGCACATATTGTCATTATTCGACTGGTATACGAAATTAATATCTCAGTCTTGACTCTTCTACGAAACATGATTGACGGGCTCTCAGCGAAGCATTCTGGTAGCTAGCTGTTTATATACTGATCAAAAGCAAGGCCGTCAAGCTTGCCAGGCATAGCATGAATCTTCCTCTTCTCCAGCTATCACTTTATTCCTTCTGGCCACCTGGGAGCTCTTGTGAAAGCAAAAATACTTTCAGAGACCTCTCGAAGCGGTATCAAAAAGAGGTCTCGACAGTTTATAGCCCGTGTTCTCATCTTGAGGCTTTCCGTGCATCACCACCTTGGACGGAAATATCACTTCCGGATGTTTTAGAGCCGTCGTTATTACTGCCCTCAAGAACTACCGAGCTCTACAAGTCGAGCCGCTATGGCCTGAGCCCAGTGATCACCTTCCCTCATCCGTTCTGGGTCTTTTCCGCCGGTTTGCTTCTTGTAAATAATAAGTAAGTAAGCAAATACCCTCTACATGGAAGGCATTCGGTCCGAGGGCGTGCCGGCAACCCCCGCTAGCTACTTACTTACATAACTTAGGGTGTGTATGGCTCGCAGTTGCACGTTCCAAGGCTTGTATAGCTTGCAACTTGAGCTTGCAACTTGAGAGTTAGAGCTTTTTGCTGCAACTTCGATTTGTATAGTGCAATTGCAAGTTGCAAAGCCAGATGCACACTTTACAAGATTTACGTGCACGAGCCATACAGATTGCTCAATTCTTGCATCTCAACGTACAACTTGGAGATGCAAAAATATTTTGGCAGTGCAACTTGGCTTGCATCTGCGAGCCATACAGGCTCTAATAAGGTACTTGCCTCCTCCTCCTCCTCCTCCTTCCTCCTTGCTCCTTCTAAACCCGTTCTTTCGGAAGAAGAATTATAAAAACTTCCCCGCCCTTTACCTTACTTTACTTGCATCCAAAGCTTTTTCAAAAGTCTCAAGTGTAAGAGTAAAAAGTATTACGTACGTGCCTCACAACCCCTCTCCTCCCCCCCTTTCTTTCTTTTCTCCCGTGTATCAGGTTATTGAAGAATAAGCTGGGAAAGGAAGGTCGGTATGTCTGTATATATATATCTAGTTTTGGGAAGAGATGTGGAGATATGGAGATAGTGATATTGATATTGATATTGATATTGATATTGATTAAAATTGAAATTGAGAATGTGAATGAGATGATAAGCCTAATTAAAATTTACGCCTGTGCACTACACCTGCCTGGACTAAATCGAATTGAATCGAATTGAATCGAATCCGGAAGGAAGTAAACAAGCAAACAAGCAAGCAAGCTGATCATCGGCGTTGTACAATTGAATTGAAATCCTTTCTCTCTCTGTAATTATAGAAAGACAGACGCATGACATCTAAGTAGGTGGACTCATAGAGGCTCCTCTCTTTATTCTTTTTTTTTTTTTTTTTCCTTTTTGGAGGGGTGAAGAAGAAGAAGAAGATGTACCTACCTATCCATCTATCTATCTACATGCTAGTCATTAAACTGATGACTGCTTGATAACTCTCTTCACTGACAGTTTGCTCGCCTTGCATTGCATTGCAATTCAATCCTGAGCTATTGAGCGTGACTGACTTGCAATCTGAGCACAAGTTGACGAGCCACTGACCATGGACCCTGGTATCCAAACGAGAGAAATTCCCGCTTGCTTGTGCTTTCTTGATCGGTTTCAGTCTTGATGTGCTCATTTTATTACTACCATGTCCTATTACTCTGAGAATATCAGGTTGGCTTCGTACCACTGATGCTCATGAACACCTTAAAAGTATGCGAAGCTCGTCGTATATCCTGCAGCAAGTTCACAGCCCTCCCCCGGCCCAATATTGACCCCTCTACTCCAGCTCGGTAGCACCAACGTCTCCTCCCTAACAATAAATCGCCCCCCCCCCCTCGCAGAGTCGCAGAGTAGAAAAACTCAGCTGTTTCTTCCTTGCTGAAGATGCCTATCCATGTCTTCCTTGGACAGGAAGATGACCTCAATGGGCGCATCCACGTCTAGGAACCTTTTGTCGTCCGCTGGCCGTGATAGCTTGGCATCCAATTCCTGCAGATTAGCATTCCATTCCTGCCTTATCTCCTCGATCTCGTTTAAGTATTCGATACAATCCTCTCTCGAAGTCTTCGAAGCTAAAGCCAAACTGATCTCTCGAAAACTGCTTCGTAAATATTAGTTTCAGCAAGATAATGCATCGATTCATATTGCAAAGAAAGTTCGGCGTGAGTTCGGCCAAAAATAATATCACTTTATTAATCAATTAGCTACCTATCTTATTTCCTCGATCTCAATCCGATCGAGCGCGTTTGGTAGCATCTTAAAAAGAAGCTTTACTAAATGTTCTCCGACGTTGCAATCGGCAAATCGAATTCAGAATACGCAAGGAGAAAGATGAAAAAGTTGTCTGCAAGCTGCGTAGGATACAGTAGATCAATTGTTGTTTGATAATCTGTATCAAAGTATGCCGGATAAAAATTGAAGCTCGTATCGCGGCCGAAAGCTGGCACAATAAGTATCAAACTCCGTGCGCATTCGAATCATTAGCTTAAAAACCGAGAAGTATAAAAGGAGTCTAAAGAACAGAATAATATTTTTTATTTATTTAATTTAGGTTCGTAATTATTGCGTAATTGAGAAGTGATAGCTGAATGTCTAATATTGATTTTGATGTTCTCGCTTAAGTGGCCAACAGCAGTTGCCTAGTACTGTACGCGCAATTTGAAACCAGCAACTTACTTCTAGTATCATAGATTGGTTGTACGCCCAGCTTCAATTCACGCTTGTCTCGAGTTCCTAAGCTTAGAAATGAACTTGACTGGCAGCCGAGCCAGAGCCTCCATCCAGTACCTGAATCGGCAGGCCCAAATGAAGCCTGGCAACGATTTGTTGTCTTGCCCTATCATATTGTACTACTACATAGATTCGACGGTCTTTTCTACGCAGACCGCGACTTGAAATATATACTTGGAACGGCCAGAAAGTAATCATGGGGATGTGGCAAGGAGAGCCTGCACATGTTCCTGTGCATCACTTATTTGTTTTTAATTGCTCGCCTCGCTAGTCGTATCACGTCGAAGCAGGCTGGCAGAGATGACTGGGCCGCTCTTGCTGCCTTTGTAAGTAATGGATATCGTCAATAACGAAGGAGCAGAGCTGATTTTAGGCCTCAGGCGTTTGTGATGGCTGGTGGTGCGGTCAGCCTCACAGCTATTTATTTTCATATTGTTGAGATATTGTTGAGATTCCGCCTGGTTCAACGAGCATTGCTAGTTGGTGTTCTGACCTCGCGCAGCTTGCAAATATGGCTGGGGGAGCCCTCGTCCCAGCTCTCAGAGCGCAATATACAGAGAGTCTACATTGTAAGTACTACTAAGTCCAAACCCAATTGATCGATATACATTCGCTGATCAGAAGAAATAAACAGCAACACTGGCTCTTCCAGATACTCTACAAGGTGGCAATTTGTTTGATCAAAGTATCGATCCTACTTCTGTATCTGCGCATCATGTCCCAGATGCCATACCGTCTCGTCACCTATATTCTCCTGACGATTCTCTCGCTCTTTGCTGTGGCGACGATTATTGCCGGGATTTTTCAATGTACCCCGATCCACAAAGCTTGGAACAAAACTCAATCAGGAAACTGCTACAAACTCTCGACAGCCTGGTACGCGAACGCCCTCTTCTCTGTCGCGACGGACATAGCCATCGTGGTTCTTCCCATGCAAATGGGGTATCGCCTCAAGACAGACCGGCGGGAGAAGGTTTTGCTCTTCGGACTTTTCGGATTGGGAGGCTTGTAAGTTGCGTCGCGCCCATGCCATCCATACTTCCGTACTGGCCTAGAGTACTGACAATAACCCGCAAGTATCACCGTCGTGAGCATCGCCCGGGTGTTCTCTCTCAAATCAGCACATGATAGAGATACTACATGGAAGCCAGCCCCCCCACCTCCCCCTCACCTTCTCGCACGGCATTGTTCCACTCGCTGATATCCTTGCCGACAACATCGATTCTGGCTACTGGTCTATCACTGATATCAACGTCGGCGTAATATGCATCTCTCTCCCTCCACTCCACGCCTGTCCATTCCGGCTATGCGCATTCTTCACAGGTTTCTATACTCGCACCAATGCCTCAAGCGGACCACACCATAAGAGCTACTCCAAAAGCTCTTCAGAGCCCGCAGCAGTAGGGACACACACGAAAACACAGAAATCTCAGAAAAAGAGGAGTTTCCTATCCAGGCAATCAGCGGGCAGCGATTTTGACCTCGTCTTTTTCACCAGCGACCATAATCTCAAAGAGGGTGGCATCATGAAGATGCCGGAGATTGCCGTGACAGGAGAGAGTCGAGCGGAAGATGCTAAACGCCATCTGACGGCGCCGTGCGAGAGCCAAATACACGCCGTCTGAACTTGACGCTTCGAACGCGATCTGTCTAGATCGTGCACGGATCTGGGGTCGTGAGGCAGGGCTCGGTCAACACGCTACCTCTTAACGGGTCGCCAAACTTCCGCTTTCGTCTCGAATCGACCGCCGGTCGTGGTTGAGAGCACGAAGGAAAGAAAGTGTCTCTACAGACGTGCATCAGGCCAGAAGCCAGGGCCGAGCTTGCTCCCTCACACCAACTGCAGTGTCTCCTTCACCCGAGCTCTGCCACTCGCTTTTAAACTCGGTGATATCGCGGCGGGTGGTCATTGAACTGAAGCTTTCAATCAGCTACGGTAATGCATGCTACTTAAGCGGCATTGACTGTCTGCCCGTGACACTCTCCTCTCCACACCGTCGCACAAGGGTATAGAGGAAAGGCTTGACATGTACTCACCATGTATCTCTAATCTGATCATATTTCGACAGGCGATTTTATTACAACTCGAATACGATCGTGACCCCTCTTGTCGAGCCTAAGAATTCTCCAGCACGGCCCCACATTTCGCCCTGCAGTGAGCGCCCACACCCCCTGGACTCTACGTAGCGAATCTTTATTTACATGCTGTTCAATTGCTTTCCACCTGCAGGTGGCTGGCTATATATACCATGACCGACCCCATCCCCATCCTCCAGTCTTCCGTCTGGGCTCATGCATTCCTCATGCTTTCTCCGCACCGGGCCTCTGTGGATGGCGAAATAGATTACTAAAGTTGCCATCACATTATCGTTGCGAAGAAATAGGGCTACTATACCAAGTAAGTAGTGAGTGAACCCTCTCGTAACCCAATCCCAATTTCTACACTCTCAATATTGAACCAGACCATACCGAGGAAGCTCTCTTGAAGAATGCTGCGTTATTAGTCTCTAGAGGTTACTCGCTACTTTTGTCTCTGCGAGAAAAACCGTCGGATGTCTTCGAAACTGTTCACCATTAAGGCTACTTAGTTGGAGAGTAAGCGGGATACGAAGGATGCTAGGTACTCGGCGCCCCTGGAGATGTAAAGCGCGATAGATTTTTAATTGTTAAAAATTAATTTTTTTTTTGAAGTTGAAATAAGCAATCTACAAGGGGAAGAAAGAATACTGCATTCGAGAGAGATCGAGATGATAGGATGGCTGGTGATCTGAATTCGTGTGGGTCTTTCAAGGTGTAGATTTCGAGAGGAAGTTGGATGAAATATTGGGAAAAAAAATATAAACGGACTTTCAATGATAGCGGTGAATAAGAATGTTTTTCAATTTATAGTTGCGAACTTAGCTTACGGGAATGGAAAAGAATTGGAAGGAAGATAGGGACGGTCAACTCATGCCGTGCCACGATACCAACAAAGCATTCAATTTGTCTAAGCCCCTATCAAACTTCAAATATGCGTCAATCTCGCATCACCTTTATCCCCATATATATATCCACCTGCCGTCGCTTCCTCTTCGCTCTTCTGCACCAACGACCACCTCTCCACCCCAAACGCACACGCGTTTCAAACCCAGATTACACGCTGCAGAGTCTACCTCCATCACATCATCACGTCCTCTCCCACGCGCAAAACAAGCAAGTGAGGTGAAAGGATGGGTCGATTTCACTACCTGGAGACCCAAGCCTATGACTGCGGCCACGAGATCACCGTTACGCGCGAGAGCAACCGCTTCGTAGCGTACACGTTCACGCCGCAGTATATCCCCTGTCGGGAGTGTACGCGGAGGCTCAAGATCGAGCGGAGCCGGAAGGTTGCTGCTGCTGCTGCTGCTGCCGCGACGTTCGTGAAGGAGGAGGAGGAGATGAAGGCTGGGGATGCTGCTGCCCCTCTTGAGGCCGCTGGAAAGGAGGTCGAGAGCGTGCGGCTTGATCAAACTGCTGGGAGGCCGGGGGAGGAGGTTACGGAAGGTCGCGAGGTCCAGGAGGGAGAGGGGAAACGGGTTGAGGATGTGGAAGGGACGCGACGCGTCGACGAGCACAAGGACGAGGACGAGGATGGTGACTGGTGTTTGGTTGAAGCGTCTGATGGTAGATCTGAGGAGGACGAGGGCGTTTGGAAAGGGTCCGGAAGGCGAAAGTGGTTGTTCTAAGGAGACTAGGGAGACGAGCGGGTGACGGGGGACAAGAAGAAGGTAGGTTTACTACCAGGCTTGTCGGATTGTTGGAAATAAGACAAACGGTGGATTGGGCTTGTGTATGAAATCAAAAAGCAAGCCACACTCACTTGAAGGAGAGAGATCGGTAACAGAATGTGAACAAGCGGTCTATTTGTGCAGGTTAGAAAGTAATAAAAAATGCTGAGTTCGGCGTGAGAAGGCTGTCGGGCATCACTTTTTTGCTTCTTGTGGCCAAAGAATAACATATGTGGGCCGGTAAAGATCGAGGTGGATGAACTTTTGGAGCTGATATCAATGACAAGTGTAATAAACTCGAAATCAAAATCGGAACGGCATGAGAATCATCAACGCCTTGGGGGATCCTGATCGCAATTCTGCCCCTTCTGAGACTTAATCGTCATTCAAAGACCTCGAGCTCGACGACCTGTCGCCATCATAGTCCGAATCATCATTTTCATCGAGAACAATCGACCTCAAAGCTGCGCCTCTGAGCTCAACGGGTACGCCATCATACAGAGTCGAGAACGAAGGCTGGACACCATCACTGAGCCAACGCCAGTCTCACGAAGGAGCTCTAGTAAACCAACCGCCCATGTTTCTCTTCACGTTTCGGAAAAGAGTGCTCTCAGAAAGGATAAGTTCTCGCCCCTAAAGGTGATAGATAGCATGTTAGCGTAACCACAGTCGAGTTGCGCGCGGCATTGGTTTGAACGTACTGCTGTGCGTGGATCTGAAGAATGACAAGCTGCACCATGAACTGCACCGTTTTCGCAATCGTATAGGAGTCTTCCAACACATCCTCAAAGTCACCGAACTCGATGTCCGTCAACCCCAGACCCCGTGCTAATTTCCTCCATGGCGTCTGTGACAGATTTTTGCTCTGCTCGTCGAACTCGTCTCTCTTATATGGGTTGACCTTCTCGACCGCCGCGGCAATCTTTTCGAACTCTTTCTTGCATTTCAAGAGAGCACCTTCGAACTTCTGCTGAAAGTTGTCTTTGAAGAACTCCTCGTGTTTGTTCACTTCACGACCAACCTCGCAGAGCAGACTTGCCGACAGGGAGATCCTGTTTGCGATTTTCCTGGCTGTGTCCGGAGCCGAAACAGCTAAGAGCTGGAGTGACTGCGAGACCGGTGTTTGCAGTATTCAAGATGAGAGTTCCTGGTTAGCGCATTGTTTTTGGACTCAGGATACTGTCGCAGAAGCCAAAGGCGTAGAAGAATCATTCATTTCACAATTACAATTCACCTAGGGCCTATAAACTCCTTCGCGGAATAAACAATCAAGTTCGCAGTCAAATGAGCTTTTGTTGGGAGAAACGCCTAGCTAGATGCCATGCATTGCATTGCGGAGTATCTTTGCCCGACCGTGCCGTGCTGTGCCGTAAAGACCAGCAAAATATCCATCCCAACCCGTTCGTCACACTACCGGAAGCACACCCGTATTGTACAAGTGAACGAGAAGTTTACTTGTGCATGGAAGAGGCTCTGCGCTTGCGGAGATCGGCACGTGCAGCCTTGGTCTCGGTGACACGCTTGGCAAGGACAGCGGCGTACTCGGTCTGAATGTGTGTTAGCACGCTGTTAAATGTGTCAGAGTCAGAGGGTCCAGGAAACATACGGCGGCATCCTTGGTACGCTCGGAGTTGCGGCGCTTGAGGGCCATGCGGTGGCGCTTGTGTTGGAGACGTTGAGGGGTGATGAGACGTTGGATCTTGGGGGCCTTGGTGTATGGCTTCTTGCCCTCACCCTTTGGCTGAACCTCACGACGGATAACAAACTTGCGGACCTGAAAAATTGGGCAGAACTTCGTTAGCAAAATGAAACTCTCACTCTCTGACCAACTGGGTCCGACTGACTACCCCCAGAAGCAGATGTTGAATCTGATAATGGAGAGTATGCGGAAGCAGAGAGCTAGGCGAAGCTGGATATACGGGCCACGTACATCATCTTCCTTGGTGAGACCGAAGAACTTGCGGATCTTGGTAGCGCGCTTGGGTCCGAGACGCTTGGGGTGGACGGTGTCGGTGATGCCGGGGATGTCGTTCTCGCCTTGCTTGACGATGGAGAGTGCCAGGACGGAGAGATCCATGCCGACGATGCAACCACGGACGGACTTGCGCTTGCGCTCACCGGTACGGCGGGGACGGTAGCAGGAGTGGCCCTCGGAGAGCAAGAGACGAACACGGGTGGGGTACATGACTCCCTGCTTCATTGGGAAACCTTGCTTGTCGTTACCGCCGGTGATCTTGAAAATGTAGCCCTTGAACTCGTCGCCGACGCTGTCTCCTGGAACCTCCTGACCCATTCTGTACCTCGCGTTAGATGCTTCCTTCGAGTATACGAGCGCTGGCCAGCGTTTTGTATCCGTACCTCTTGTCCATGAACACACGGAGCTTGCGATCGTCTTCGATCTCGATGAGCTTCTGGCTGCCATTGGCAGGCTGTGGAAGTTGTCAGTATATGGTGTTTGTTGTTGTTGTTGAGGAGGAGGAGGAGGAGGAGGAGGAGGAGGAGGAGGAGGGCCGAGGAAATTTGCGCGCGTGCCCAGATCGAGAAAACGTACGTAGGAGATGTTCTAGAGAGGAGAGATAAGTTAGCAGGCAATCGCAATTGAGGATACTCTCCATCGCAGGAAGAGGGCACATACAAGCTTCATCGTCGCTGTTGGGGTTTTGGTTGTGGGTTAGTCTTCGTGGAGTTCGTCGTCGTCGTCGTCAAAACTATCGTAGTAGTCAAGGTTGTCGGTGGGCCACTTTGAAGAAGATTGTTAGCGCTGTGTGGGATTGCCAGGGCGCTAACTTAGCCGAGTCACCTGATTTTCAATGTCCTGCTGCCAATGAAGTGGTACTGCCTCTTGGGGGACGATTTCTTGTTTAAGTACTAACAGAATTAGAACACGGATTGTCCAGAAGCGGTGGTAATATTGGATTGACTATACAGTGTCTACGAACGACCACCAGCGTGATAATGGCAACCAAAACCCTCAGTGTCAAGGAGAAATCCATAGCTGGAAGGGGAAAGTTAGCGCCGGAGCCGCAAAATCTTATCATCCGAAGAAGAAAAAGAACCGAATATCAACCGCTAGGCGAATGCTCTCTTGACCAGACTTCAATGTTAAGAAGGGGGAGACTTACAACGTCTGCTGTATTGAGGGTAGAGTCGTTGTTGTTGATTATCAAGGTGAAGCTTGTTAATTGGAAATTCTTTTATGATGGGAGCCTGCTATTAGTGCGCCGAGCCAAGCTAAGATAGGCAGATTCTGGTCACATGATACGGCACCAGAATCTCCTTTGTATCTTCCGGCAATCTACTCATAAAGTCTTTTGAGTCCAGGGCAGGGAAACGGGTTTAAATATCTGAACTTTTACCGGGATCTTTGTTCTTTCAGGTCTACATTCTAGCATTTGAAGACGTTACTATTGGAGCTGGGACAGACAGATCCATTGTTTACTTTCCGTGAAGGTGCTCTCTCCATACTTATATACAGATGTATTGATTGAGACGTTCTCTCCCGAGTTTCTGCACCTTCTTAATATCCTCTCAGTGCCAGAAGACATCCAAATTCTGGGGCTTCCAGGGGCTAAGATTGTTTCAAGGTGTGTAAAGACCATACTTTTCTTGTGCCATGCGTACAAAACCCGCTTCTATCATACCAGGCCGCAAATCTCAAACCTTATTGCATTCAAGAATGTCTCCAACAACTAACTACTCTACAACTTCCCACAGCTTCCCCAGGATACCGGTCTCGCTACTTCGTATCGTCTTCTAGTTCCGCCAGTGCGTCCATCCACTCCTTGTCGTGCTCATCCAGTTGAAACCACCTGATATACGAGATGAGTTGGAGGCAGATGGATTGATATTGACTTGCACTATTTCCGAGGACATAGAAAGACGAGAGCATGGGCGTGGAGGTGGAGTCTTCTATGAACCTGGCTGTGACGGCGATGAGTTCGCGAGGCATTTCGATTCTACTAAGGTAGATTTCCCATAGCTGGCTCCGTCCGCGGATATAGAGAATTTATTCACAAGACTGGTATAAATAGAGGGAGACGTGTTGTTCCGACGATTTGATAGCTATAGATTCTGATCAGTGCTCTCTCCTGAAACACGGATACCTTCAATCAAAACGGCGCAAGGAGTTCTGCAGAAAAGGCACATGAACAAGTGGTATTCGCCTCTGAGCCCTCTACTTCGAAACTATGGTTTCCGAAAGAGAAAGCCACAGAATCGCACACAAGTCTTTGCCGGGAACCATCAGCTCAGATCCTTGGGCACAACTCTCATAACCCTCTCTCAACGACCACGAGCCTACAAGCATACTGAACCTACGCCGCGCAGAGCTTGTCTTCGAATTCACCTCCCAGAAAGCCCCTGCCAGCGTCTCCATCCTTGCCATCATCGTTCTCATCACCTTGGCCGTTCGCCATATCCATCCCCTCATCCTCTGCGAGTATGGCTCGTCCATCGACACCCCACAAGATGATCTCGGGAAGTTCTGTGCTATCCTGATCCTGGAAGAGCATGATTCCCTCTAGGATGAGTAAATCTGTGGAAGAAAAAGTGTGTCAGCTGATGGCGCTTATTTCGTACTGATTTACGGAGGAATCGAGAAGAGCTTTGGATTACAAACAGAGAATACGGAGGCTCTTACACATGAGAGGATACCAGTCTTGAGGGCCGAAGGGATCGGCGATGGAAAGCACGATAGCAAAGACAGCCTGAGCCATGGGGACGTCATGGATTGCCAACGAAAGCAGGAGGAAGGCGTAGCAGATTGAGACTGGGATGGACTGCATTCTTGCGTTTTGTGCTCGTCTTGGCTTTTGCGAGTCTGGCTGTTGTCGATATTTCGTTGGCTCTCGTCTTTACTAGGGATTTTCCGACTGATTTCTCAAATGTGTTGTCTTTAAAGAGGCACGGTAAGCGTTTTCGCGCTAGTCCCGAGCGATTGTTCTGCCACCAGTGAGATTGAAACCCTTTTCTGTATTGCGATATTAGTCTTGAATTGAAGCTACAAATTTTGCTGTCAACTTTGCATGCTATGAGTCGGGCGGCGGAGCTTCACTCTTCCATCATATCTTCCGGACTGGACTTCCTGGCCCTGCTAAATATCTTTACAGACTCTCAGTTCTCCCGTTGGCTCTCCTCGTCACTATTGTCACTGCCGTCTAATTCATCATACAGCAGCTCTACCGCCAGCATTTCTGGCACAAAGATCACCATCCGGCCAGCGAGATCGCGCATTTCCTGGCACGAATTTCCCACTAGTCTATCAGAGCTTGCGTGATGACCGAATAGCCAGCCACTGCCACAATGAGGTTTCGGAGGGACGGGAAGACGTCTCACCAGGGATCCTTGGAGAATTCTAGAAGGAGACAATTGGGCTTCTCCATCATATACGAGGGCCCGGATCAGGATGAAGATGGTGATAGTAATTAATCCCGGATATGTTTTTGAGGGCAAAAATCGAGGAGGCTGGGTAATGAAAAAGCGGTTTTGAATTGGTGGCGATGGCGTTAACGTCGCAGAGGTATGAGAAGGCTGTCCAGGCTTCGGCTGTCAGAATCCAATCTCAAAAGAGCAATGACTGAGCTACTAGTGTGCTTGGAAACCACACGGGAGTTCAGAGCTAATATCGATATATTACAGCCGTTGTTGATCCAAGGAGTTTGGCAATGAGGCACCATATAGTGTTGTGGAAAAGTTGTAGCAGATAGTGGAACTTCTCTGGACGTATCCCCCTGGAAGGGCTATCCGCCTGTGGCTATAGATAATAAGACATTGAGGAGTGACTAATAATCAGCCAGTTGAAGCGGAGTCGCAAAACTGCCTATGGCTCTATTCTATTAGGGATGAATGCATGCTATCTGGATCAAAAGTTGAACAAGTGAGGTAGTATATCTGCTGTTTACGACAGTGACTGATCCTGTGCTTTGTGAGCAAAATTAAGGCCGGGAGTGAGTTAATGATTGCTGTATCTTTGCCCAAGATAATTATGGGAAGTTGCACGATGATCTTGAGGGACCGGGGACCGGGCCAAGATTGTCTCGCCTAATCTGACCTCAAACCGACATCATTTCCAAACACCAGGGTATTAGAGCATGAGAACTTCACGCATCTTCGGCGCATAATTGATGGATATTTAAATACCTTGGTTTTTCTCATACCCCCATAGTGACTGAATTTTCTATGACTTGCTCATGAAGTGATCACTATCAGAACTGAGATGGTGAACCTGGGCAGGACTACTTTTCAAAACCAAACATCATGGCCTCAACGTTGCTTAAGGCTCATACATTTCTATCGGATCTTAAAAAGAGTATTTTGAAATATTATATTGTAGCCTAGATCTTGCATACACCCGTCCTCGCTATACTATTACTACAACCCTTCTTGATGTACCACCTTGAACTGCTTTCTGGGGCCGTCTTCTGTGCCATGCTCTTCTGCCAATCCGTTTCCAGTTCGTCCTCTAACCGCGCGACTTCTTTAGACAAGAGAGAAATGACCCTTCGTTGCCCTTGCATGTATCACGTTCGAATCAAGGCCGAAGATTGAACAGAACGAGCAAGAGAGAGCAAATTGCTGGTGCTCTCAACACTGCCCATTGTTAGATATGCATTAGAATCGTTGACATCGCTAGCGTACCGGCTATGAAGCTGATATTGCCAAGCCACGCTAAAAATTTAACCTTAAACACCAACAAAGAAAGAGGTCGCGCTAGTCCCCATGAGCGACGGTAACAAACAGACCAGACCCACTCTCCACGAGGGCAACAAGGCTTTTGTTGCACGTCGCAGCGGAGGTCGAGACCTCCCTCAACGCACAAGGCTGACCCAGCACCCAGCCTCGAGGCAGCCAGGAACGGAGGAAGGAACGAGGCTGAGGGCCACGAGGATGATGTGCAGACAACTGAAAAAATAAACAAAACACCTTAGTCCCCTCTGCTCTGGTAGATCAGTATAATCAAGCGACGGTTTGTATCATTCCAGCCGTCTGCATATTCTCTAATCTAAAATGTAATCCTGACTCTACTCCATAAAGCTTGAGACTTGAGACCACCACCCGGGGCCGGCTCAAACGCTTAAGCGACCCCCGTAGTATACCCGCACAATACTATTTTACTACTAACATTATATTCTTAACTACCACAACAGACTACATCAAACAGCACGGTACTTCATCGAGTTCACTATGCCGCGGTCAGCCCCCCATAGCTGAGGCGGTGTGAACATGGTTAGCCGTGTGAGTGGTAATGGTTAAGGTTGGGGCGCTGGGGGGGGCGCACTCCCGACCTTGCCCACTGGGTTCCCTTAAATGAGGTCTTCCATCCGGCCCAGCCGGACACGGTCTGTCTACCCCCGGTAGTCGCGTCAAGCGGTTTATTTTTTGCAATTTTTTTGCTTTTTTTTCGAAGGAATAACTACTTTTTGGGGATGGCGAGGGGGCTCGTGATTCATGTCTCCCCCCGGAACTAAAAAGAAGGGGGGACGCGTCGGCAGTATCTCTCCGCCTACAACATCTCTGATTCTCACGGCCTGTCCAGCTACATTGTTCAACAACAACAAGGCCTCGAGACCCCCGATAGAAATGATTTATTGCACCTCATTTCCAAAATTTCAGCTCTCCCCTTCAGACTTTCCAGCTTGCCATAGGCTGGTGAGCCCGGCCTAGGAAGTGTCCTGCCCTCCTTGGGGTTGACCCTACTGACTTCAGATCATGGTAGACTCGAAGTAGAACAATGCGACTGATCCTTCCTTTCCTCAGGGACCGCTGATCTTATAGAGCAGCGTTTCAAAATCGCGGTTCCTCTAAAATGGAAAAGAGGAGTTACTTCAGGAGTAAACGAAAGAGGCGACGATAGCGGTGATTGATATGATCGATATGGAAATAGCAGAGAGAGAAATTTACATGGGGAGTTTGATAATGGTGACAATTAGTGCAGAGAAACGGATATAAAGCAGCTGAGCAAGAGTCGTCTGTATTGAGTTTGCGTGTGAAGAGTAAATCACAGAAAGTAAAACGTAGAGAGGCTTCCAGTCAAGTAGCACACGCGTTATGAAATATTGGCTGAATTTTGACAACTTACAGTCTACGTAGAGGTGTTTTCGATGCAGAAAAGTCGTCGCCTGTTTCTTCCGAATACCAGGAGGAGGAGTAGACGGCTTGAATCTCTCGATATCCTCGGGGCTAAATTTCATCATCTAGCTACAGAGAGCCCTTCTGATTGCCAATGTTCGAAGCGTTTGCATGCTAGAACGATGAAAGGGGAGCCGGAAAAAACAGCTATACTGCCCTCTGTAGAACTTCAGTTGTTGTGACGTTGGAGAAGAAGCGAACTTCCGTAGAGATTTGTAAGCAAGCGTGATCGAGTTCCGAAGATACGCCGGGCATTCAAGACGCGTCGACGCGATCCTCACTGGACTTCAATTATCACCTCAACCCTCTCGGCCCAGAGCTTGCAGAGGCAGCCACTCCTCTCCTCCTCCAATTTCAAAATGTCCAAGGTTGAAGTCCATCCCAAGCCTCTGGTGCCACCTGATGTTGCCCAGAACCCTCTCCCGCAACTGCTACAGACCCCCTCGGGCCTTGCGCTCCTCGAGATGCAAGGCACCATCAACCTGCCCTCGCAAGACGACGAGGATTCCAGCATAACTACCGATTCCCAAGCTGGGGTCGCGTCCCAGGAGACGCCCATTGGCAGACTCGTCTTCCCGGACTGGGACCCGGAGAAGGCGACAGAGACGAAGTGGATGAAGAGGGTGTATCTGTACGTGGGGAAGCACCAGAGGCTGACGGGCGAGGTCAAGAAGCTTCCGAAGGCTTTGGCCGTGATACGCAAAAGGAAGGGTGCAGAAATGGCTCAAGAAGAGATGGATCCGGATCTGGATCAGGGCGAGGAGGGCAGTGAGAGGACGGAGCATTTGGAGGTAGTGGAAATTCTGAAGTACAAGATTCTCTTCTCGATCAGGCCGGAGCCGGTGGGTACTTGGGCTGTTGGGGATGGGATCTGATGACAGGGACGAACGGCAGAGAGGCTTGCTCGCTCGCCTTGCGATTAGGGACGACGAGCCACCACTTACCCGTTCAGAAACTACCAGATACCCCTTCTCATGCATCGTGGTACGACATCGAGCATCAATATACCTACAGCCCCATGGGTCTCGAAAGTTCTCAACCCGAGCGATACCCAAGAGCGTTCCACTCCTTACGGAGTACGCCCTGAATTCCCCCTCCCGGACCTCATATACTTCTCCATTCTACCAGGAAACCCTCCTGCCGAATCAACATGCGTCCGCATCTGACTAAATAGATGGTTAAAGGGCATAGATGCTATGCGGCTCTCAAGGCACACAGTCGGCTGGCTATTCCTACCGCGGGCACCGTCAGTCGCAGAAAGCAAAAAAAAAACAAAAAAAAACGTGATGACCGCACTGGGACCAGGCAGAATATACGATGGTCGTGCCAGCAGGAGTAGTGCAGCCCAATCATTCATTCATTCTAGGAGCTGACAATCAGCCCTCACCATTTTGAACCCAGCAAATCTCATACGGACCGGACCGCCCCGCCCAAGGCTGAGCTGGGCTCCTACAGCAGCTCTTGAAAGTAGCAGCCATGCGATGACTACGGTACGACAAGCAAGCACGTGGGACTTGTATCTGTACCCCCGAAGACAGCCCAACCCCCAAAAACAGAACGAAGAAGAAGAAAAAGGGGGAATAAAAGGCTGCAAAAGCAAAAATCCAAAGCCATCCATCCAATTCATTCATCCCCCCGTCCCAAGATGAATCTGATCCTCTAGCTATAGTCGGTAGGAGCAAAGGCAATCCATCCATCAATCAATCAATCAGTCAGTCAACCATTTAGTTAGACGGATTTAGCCGCTATCGTAACGAAAAACAATGAATTGCACACTCTCTCAACTTTCTCGTCTCATTGGCATACATGTACGGAGTATATTTTGTAGTAGTAATAATAGTAGTAGTAGTAATAATAGTAGTAGTAGTAGTAGTAGTAGTAGTAGTAGTAGTAGTAGTAGTAGTAGTAGTAGTAGTAGTAGTAGTAGTAGTAGTAGTAGTAGTTCATGAAGAGACAAATTCCTAGTCTCTCCCCCGTGTATATATTATTATCCGTCCCCAGAGAAACGCCGCGCTTACGAAATCCCACATCGTCCCGAGTCCGGATCCAATCCACAGCCCAGCCATGGATGCCATACCCGCAACTCGCAATTGATAGCCATCGCCATCGCCATTCCAGGAAAGACCTGCTCCCGCTCTCCCAGCACCACTCTACCTCTCCGCCGTCTCACCATAGCTCATCGTCGGCCCCTGCGGCCTGTATTGCGGCGCGTTGGGCGCATCCGTCCCGTTGCCCCCATCGTAGAGGAACCCAGTCCCATCATACGGACTCAATTCCGCCTCGCTCTTCACCCACTGCAGGACCACCATGCGTTCCGGGGGCTTGCCCCCGGCGCCGACCAGCTTCAGATTCGGGGGCGGCACCGGCTTGTACAGATCCGGATCGGCGTTCAGGAAGCCCGCGTACGACAGGGAGTTGTTGATGGAAGCGAGGTTGGCGGGCGGGTGGTTGGCGTAGCCCGTCTGCGACGCGACGACGGAGAAGACGTTGGCGCCGACGTCGTAGCGGCCGAGCGTCGGCAGCTCCCAGTTGTTCTCCAGCGTCGAGAGGATGCTGTAGTGCGTGTACACCATGTCGTCCGTGGTGCCCTTCAGCTGCTCCGGTACGGCGCCGCCGAGCAGGAGGGAGACGATGCGGTTGGGGAGCGGGTACGTGGCTGACTCGTCGTACGTGAGCAGGATGAGCGTGCGGTCCATGAGCTTCTCGTTCGCGAGCAAGGGGCCGAGGAAGGACTGCGTCCAGTTGGTTGCGTATGCGAGGGTGGTGTTGTGGCCGTCGTTGAGCATGTCGGGGGAGAGGTGGGCGTATTGGGGCAGGGTATCTGCTTCCACATCGCTGGCAAAGTCGTCGAAACTTTGGAGCCGGGCGAGTCGAGTGCCGTTGTGACTGATATTGTCAAAGGATACAAAGGGACTGCAGCGGTGTATATCATCAGCATGGGAATTGGAAGAGTTGGTTGAGCTTAGAAACCGTCCGTACTTGTGTTTCCGTACATAATCCCATCCGCTACCATCTGCACTCGTGCTCCCCTCCCCCATATAGCCAGGCCCCGGTATGCCTTCGAAATAGCCCTTCCACGAAATCCTTCTCGCATCGAGCAAGTCCACCAGGTTGCTCACGTTGCCTGGGATCTGCACGAAGCCGTCATGGTTCAAACCGAAGTAGTCGCCTCCGATGGACGCAATGTAGTTCGGTTGCGAGGGATGCGTGAGCCCGTAATATGAGGTTAACAGGATGCCTTCTTTCGTAAGGTCGAGGACATCGCCGTCTTGGGATACGGCGGAGAAATCCTACAGCTGTTGATTAGCATTGGGTCGTGAGAATATGAGGATTGGAGGAAGAGGGAGCGGTGCGGACCTGGTTCTCGAGCCAGATGGTGATGAAGCGGTCGAACACTTTGCCAGGAACGTAAGCCGCTGTCGCCGCTGTCGCCGCTGTTGCGCCGGCGAGTAACAATAGAAAGCGCATCATTGATATTTCGGATTCTGATAAAGCCGCAGATACCTATGCTAACGCATCCCTCGCATGATGGCTTACTGTGGTATCCATATTCATTGCTGGGGGCTTTGCTGATAGCCTCGTCCGAGTCAGGAGGTGCCCAAAACCCAAGACAAATAAATTAATGACTGTCGGCCGAGCTGAGTCAGCCTTCAACGTCCTCGAAACGCCCTACTCCGTACAACCACCACATGGACTATTTGAATGGCACGGAGATCAGGCACTCATGTGTTGGTGAGAGAAATGGAATGTATTGCCGGAGTAGCCGGTGTTTAGTACACGTTTCGAGCCAAAAATAGCTCCACGGGGTATAATGCCTCCTCAGACGAATCCAAGCCGGCCTCTGAGCCCTTCAAAGTCATCCGGATCGACAATATCGACCTCTCCTCCAGCCCTTACTCCCTTTCCTTCCAAGTCCGGCAAGTGCATGTGTATCCGAGCAGCTAGAGCACCCCTTGATTTCCTCTCTATTCCCCGGTTAAGATCCCGCTCCTCTAGGACGCGAGCCTTCTTAACAACGCCATCCTTCCAGCTGCTCCACGCCTCATAATTCTCCCTTTGTCTGGCCACATGGTACTGGGGCGTTGCCTTTGCTGGCCGCCACGCAAGTCTGTTCTTGGGCATAGTGGTAAGATCATAGACCTTGGCTGTGCTGGCAAGATTGAGGAGATCGTTGAGGACGTCCTTGCCCTCGGCCAGGACAAGAGCTTTCCGCTCTTCTGCTTTGGTCATAGGCTTGACCAAAGGAGTCTCAAGCCAGTCGAAGTTTTGGGGGTCAGTGAGGCGTGCCCGGCGAACATCCTCGCGAAGGAAGCGTACAGCGGCCTGAAGACTTGTAATTTCTGTCTTGAGTGCATCCATTTCTCGAGCAGTGGCAACGGCCTGCTCTTGACCCGCCTTGGTGCCAGGTGCAGCGACACCAAGAGCCCTGGCATCCTCAGCGACCTTCTTCCATGTTTCTCTGTCGGCTTCGATAGAGGTGAGCTCCTTGTTCTGAGAATCAATGGCCTCGGTAAGCTCAGTCTCACGCTTCTTGGCGTCCTCAATCCGCTTCTCGAGCTCACTGATCTTCTCATTCTTCTTTGCCGCATCTCGCATGCGACTCTCGAGCAGCTCGATCTTGACCGAGGCCTCCTCAAGCGTCTGATCCTTCATTGCAATGACTCGAGCCCGCTCGTGATTATCATCCCTCAGTCTGCGCATCTCTTCTTCTGCGTCCACATGCACAGTCTTAGAAGACCTCAACTCTTGCGATCTTGAAACCCATGGGGCTGATGCTCGTTCAAACTCCTGAGTCATCTCAAGATCTGATGCCAGTGTGGCCAGGTCCATCAAGCCGGTCGTCAACGTCCGTAGCTTATTCGAGTACGTAGAGAACAGATCAGACTCGCTCGATAAGAACAAGGTTGAGGCAGTACGGTAGACTGTATTCTGAACTTCGCTGTAAGTGAAGGGCTCTATGCGTCCTTCCTCGTGCAGTAGCGTGTAAAGATCATCGCCGATCTGGCGAGAAAACTTGGCCAGATCCTCGGTAGCTGTTTCGCACTGTTCAAAATTCTGAATGGTATCTGGCATCAGAGACAACGACCGGGTCTTGAGCTCCTCGAGCGCTCTGACAGCCTTGCCGACAACAACCTTGGCACTTCTAGTGTTGCTGATGACAGAGTCGGTCTTTCGGGAGAAGTGTTGAGCGAGCTCATCCTCGTCACCTTGGCTTGGAATGATGGTCTGCACCATGGTACGCACCGCAACCAATGCAGCTGCTGCATTTTCAAGATGGCTTTGCATGACAAGAGTGCGCATGTGAACATCATCAGCATAACTTGCCAATCCAGTCGAGATGTGCACTTCAGCTAGATGCGACATAAGTGCAATGGTGCGCTGAAGCTCGCTTGCGCACTTCTTTTCATTGAGCTCATCCCGCCTCAAACCATCAATCCAGCCATTGAGTGCTCGCTCGACGGGTTCCAGCTCGTAGAGCGCACCTTCAAATCTGGCAAATTGTTCGGCCGTGCAGTGGCTGATGGCGTTGACGAAGCGGTCGCACATGGCAGATACCCAAGACAGCTTGTCGAGAACATCACAGCCCGCGAACAGATCATCCTCGTGACCTGTCGGCGGTTGTCCATTGACTCGCTCCTTCACGAAACCGTGAAGTAAGTTAGCCTTGAAGCCAACACGTTTGAATCGAAGGAGCGCAAGGACTGAGTCTCTGTAGTTATTAAACGCTTCGGGGAGGAACAATTGGACAATTGCAAGATGCTCAGCTGCTTCCTGAGCATCCAAGCGACGAAGTTCGAGATCAATAGTCTTGACTTGTGTTCTCGCAGCAGAGACCTGGAGCTTCATGTTCAAGTCCATCATCGCACGCGAGCGACTGTTCAATTGCTCGGATTCTGTCTCGGTCATGGCGTGTGATGCTTTCATGTCCTCCAAATCGCTCTGCAGGTTCGTAACCAGCTCTCTGAACCGTGACAAGGTGTATTCCATATCTTCCATGGTCTTCACTTGCTCCTCGGCTCGCCGCGCTTGCTCCGCGATGATGCTATCCTTGAAATCAATGTCCTCTTGCATCTCTTTCTCCGTTTCAACGTGGTTGATTTCCAGCTCATCATTCAGCTCCTTCAAACTCTCGAGGTCCTCGATCGTCGCCTTGAGCTCGTCAATTTCCTCGCTCATGCTCATGTTTCGCTCTGTGAGCTCCTCAATCATATCTTCCGCCCCCAAAGCGTTGTCAAGTTGTTGCCGAAGGTCTTCGATGGCTGCCTCGGACTGCGCCAACTTATCCTTGGCGACATCGTAATGCTCTTTCACTGACCCCAATTCCCGGGCATCTTCCTCCAAGCTCTTGATTTCGTCCCGTAGTTCGGATTCTGTCTGCTGGGTCATATCTCGCAGTCGAATAAGGGCTTCTCTCAAGCGTTCGTTATTCCGTTCCATCTGTAACCAGCCCTGGCTACTCTTCTCTTCCGGGCTCATTTCTCCCCCGAGTTCGGCGTTCTCTTCGCGTAAAACTTCTACCTCCAATTCTAGCTCTTCCATTTTCTGTTTCAGAGCATCCAATTCCGTCTTCAAGACTTCCGCTGTCTCTTCGGCCATTTCTCTATCAAGTGTCGCCATCTCAACGCCAATTTCATGCTCAGCCTTTTCGTTTTCGAGCTCTTCGGTTCTTGCCTCGGCTTCTTTGAGCTGCTTCCGGAGGTCGGTAATCTCCTGCTGTTGCGGCTGGTATTTCGTTTGGAGCTTCTGGATGATGCCTTCAAGCTTGTCCCGCTCGACTTGGACTTTCTCCAAGCCCTTCAATTTATCCCTGTCCTCCATCCTCTTCTTGTCCATCAGCCGAAGCTTGGTCTTCAAGTCCTCAATTTCTCGGCTGGCTGCCGTACTTCCCCCCGGCCCTCGTTGGGCAACAGGTGACGCAGTACTCCGACCACTGTCAGAAGTATTCGATCGAATTGCTGCTGATGTCCTCGACAGTGGGCTCATTGCTTTCGGAGATACGGTATCTTCACTCTCAAGCGGCGACGCTCCTCTATCTTCATTCTCTGTGTTTTCCCCGCTGCCAGCGTCACTCGCCCGGGCATTGCTCAATTGACCTCCGATAGACCTCACCCTGTCTCCAACTTGAAGCCTCGGCCTGGGCGCGAGAGACACACGCTTTGAGGTTGATACGCCTGTTTTGTTCCCAGCACTGGTGGTAGATGGTCTTGCTGCCTGCGAAGCTGGTCTTGGCGGTGGACCCATAGAAGTCCGGCTTCCTGCAATACTCGGTCTGGGTTTGGTGGTTGAAACCGGCGGGACTCGGGCACCGGAAGGGGTTCCGGTTCTCGGTGTAGAGCTGGTTGATGTGGCACTGGACAGCTGTTTGGTCGGAGATCTTGTAGGAGACTGTAAATTCGGTTAGATAGCACAGAGAATTGGACGTGATCCCTCCTACTCGTAACATGCTGGAGGGTCGTGACCTCGTCACCGGACTAGGACTCGGAGCGTTGATGCTCATTCTCTTTCCCACTGCTGTGTCCGTCATAGTACTGACCCTCTTGGCTGCTGGAGGTCCTCCCACACTGCTCGGTCTCGCAGGCTTCTTGACAGGCACGGGTGCAGTGGGTTTGGCCGCTGGGGCAGGACGAATGACCACCGCCGCTGCTGGTCGCAGAAACATGCCGCGGCCCGGGGCGCATTCAAAGTATCGATCCCCCTTGACGCTGCCATCATTCTTCCCATCATCGGTTTCCAGCTCGACGCCCACCCAGTCGCCGTCTGCGAATTCGGTTTGGCCGACATAGCGGACAACACCTATGAGGCCGTTGGTGAGCTTGACCGTGGCTCCGACTGCGAGCTCAGACATGCTGCAGACACATCGAGTATGATATTCCGCGGTGGATGGAGGTCCCGGGTTCCAGTAGGTATGTCGCAATGGCTGGGCTGGTGAGGGTCGCTGTCCATATGCTCTGGCTTGCCGGCGCTCTGTTTGACGTTGGAATGCGCGTTGGCCCGACGCGTGGCTGACTCAGCAATTCCATTCCAACTTTTTTGTTTTCTTGGTAACCGTAGCGGCCGGATCTACTTTCTTCCTGTCAAAATCAAGACTTGAACAAGCCTTTGTCTTGGTGACAATGCGACCCAGCTGAGCGGGTTACACAAAGACGACTACCATGCTATTATTCTGTTGGCATTTTCGGCCTCTCCGGAAGAACCAATACCCATCTCATGCCCCAGCCATTGAGATTCACTCGGCAATGGCTCAACCCGGGTCCGGAGTTGTGGACAAAGAAGCAAAGAAGTTCGATTGCTCTCGGTCTCGGTCCGCTACATGGTGACATCAATACTTCGAGTCGTCTCGATCAGCGAATATAAGTGCCGGTATTCTACCTTGGTGAGTCCGCGGTCCGGCATAGCACTACTCCTCCCACGTCCAAGAGATATCTACACTTATTTAATAAACAATCATTTCATGTTCTCATCCCAACATACCATCCATTTGGCTGTAACATTCGTTTGAATAACACCCTCAAGTCAACTTTTGGCAGCATTTCACTTGTTCCATCACTATCACTATCACTATCAGTATCATTGTTATTGTTGTTGTTATTGTTGTTGTTGTTGTTGTTGTTATTGCTGTTGTTATTGCTGTTGTTATTGCTATTGTTATTGTTATATCAATTGTCAGTCAGCATCATTAGCCGACATGCGCTCCGATCCCCCTTCAAATCGTCGTGTCGCCTGGGTCACCCTCCTGACTCGCAAATCCTACATTCCAGGCACCGTCCTCCTCGCCCACAGCCTGCAGAAACAAAAGTCTCAATACCCGCTCATCGTCCTCTACACGCCCTCGCTTCCATCCGAATGCCTTCCAGCACTCTACCGCGAGGCATCGCTGACCAACGCCACGCTCCACCCGATTCAACCTCTCGTTCCGAAAGAACAGCGAAACCTCATTGCAGCGCGGTTTGGAGACACCTGGACCAAGCTCCGCATCTTTGAGCTATTCGAGTATGAACGATTGGTGTTTCTCGACGCCGATATGTTGGTGTTCCGCAATATGGACGAACTGTTCGACATCGAGTTACCGGGGAGAGATTGGATAGCGGCGAACCACTGTTGCGTCTGTAACCTTGACAACGATGAGTGGGCACCTGCGGATTGGAAGAAGGAGAACTGTGCATACACGGGTCGGACGCATCCTTCTTGTCTGGATAATCCCTCTCGAGTTCCCGAGCCTGGAACGGGACTTCCTACACACACCCTGTTGAACAGCGGACTTTTCATCTGCACACCCAATCCGAAACTCTGGAAAGACATATTAGACTTCTTGGAGACGTCACCACTAGTCAAGGATTTCATGTTTCCCGACCAGGATTTCCTAGCCGAGTTCTTCAGAGGGAAGTGGAAGGCGATAGGGTACCAGTACAACGCGCTGAAAACAATGCGGTACTGGCATCCGGAGATGTGGAGGGACGAGGAGGTCCGGAATCTGCACTACATTGTGGACAAGCCATGGAGTAAGCGAGTGGGGAGCGACGGTGCTGCCGGGTATCTTGGCCACGATGGGACGACGCACCAATGGTGGTGGGATGAGTTTGCCAAGTGGGAGCAGGAGCGAAAAGGGATGGGGGAACAGGACATCCTAATTATGGTGTGGAGTTCATCTGAGGCTCTATCGTAGTTTGGGAGAAGGGCAGGAAAGATGGGCAGCGGTGTCAAGACGAAGACACCCACCCGTAAGCAACCAGCATACTGCCGACTCTACTTGTATGAGATTTCATTACTTGGCAGCACAATCTTCCGGTTGACTATGGGTATATAATATCCCCGGCTCGTCCTTCATACACATATACAAACATACCTTACAATATATATAATTTCTCACTCCTTCGATATCTGCATATCCTTCTCATAGAAGCTCCGTCACTCCGCCCGACATGATGTTCAAACCCCAGTCAATCAGAAGAAGCATCGACACGGTATCCAACACCCTCCAGTAATCCTCATTATTCACCGAGAAAACTCCCGGCAGGAGTATGTATACACGAGCCAGCACCATCCGGTTCTCTAACCCCCAATTTTACGTGACCTCTCTATCTACCTCTCTATCCATCTATACACGTCATCTCACGCGCCCCCTCCACCTCCCCATCTTTCCGTATCTGAGCGGCTGGCTTACATACACACCAAGCACAGGTAGCAGGCACGTAAAGCACCTCAGGAAAGCTCAAGTACAGCACGCCGTGAGAGACCTGTCTACAACAAGCCTGCCCAGCCCAGAATATATTCTGCATCGCAATGATGATAAGAAGAAGAAGAGGAAGAAGAAGAAGAAGAATCCCGCTGCTGCGAAAAAATGGATATGTGCGCCTTGACTGAGCGCGTCTGGATCCTCTCCCTCGCCCCCCGCCCTCGCCCCCCGCCCCTCGCCCCCAGCCTCCAACGACTGCCTGCGTGTTGATGCACCCTGAGTACGCGAGCTTTCGGTGAGGAGTGATGATGGATGTGATGAGTGCTGTTTTTATATATATATCTATATATCTATCTATATATATGTGTGTGTGTATGTGTGTGTGTATGTGCCAGAAAGACTAAACCCCGCCTTCTGCCCCGCTGGCATCTCCAGAATCCTCACCCGGTCTGCCTCTGTCGAGGACCTCGGTGATATGCTGCTTCGAGAGCCAAGCGTCGGCTGGCGTGAACCACCACGAGAGGAGGGCGAAGATCGTGACGGCGCTCATGATCACAGGGGCATCTAGACTGGACTTAGGGCACGATAGAAGAGGCATATAAATTTTTTTTTTAACAAAATAACAAAATAACAAAATAACAAAATAACAAAATAAAAAAAATATATAAGAAAAACCGGGCTTACTTACAGTTGAGGGTAGCTCCGGTCACGGGAAATTCGTAGGGCGAGAACAGGACCGCGACGACCCAGCCGTTCCAGAAGATGCCCACGAATTGGAAGGGCCGGCTCAGTCTTCCCAGACTCCAGCGCGGTCGGGGGAAGTGCTCGGGTGTGATGAAGAACCTCCCAAAGCAGATCAGGCCGTAGGCAGCGGCTGACGGCACGCCGGCCGCCGAGATGAGGGAGGTGAAGGCGACCGAGGAGGGGAGGATGGTGCACGTGACGAGGGAGGCGATCATCCAGATGACGAGGACTGCGTTCCGGGGCTGGCCCTCCGGCGAGACTTTGGAGACCCATCCAGAGCATGGAAGGACCCCGTCTCGGGCGACGGCGAAGACCAGGCGAGATGCAGCCACGATGGCGATAGCTGTGTTCTGCTCGTTGTCAGGGAGGTCATGAGAGACGAGATCGGGGCCGGGGGGAGGGGACACTTGCAAACCACAACGCGATGATGCAGATTACGTTCATGAAAACATGTCCGCCCTGCCCGAGGATGACTGCATACAGTGGCACGAAAGGCTGAGGCGAGCCAAAGGAAAAGAGAAGGTCAGGACCAGGCTGCGGGCATGAGCTCAACCGTAAACGAACTGCGGGCTAAAGGCGTATAGAGTGATGATACGTACTACGCAGAAGAGGAACAGGATTATGGTCAGGAAGCCGCCGATACCACTGATAATGGTACTCCAGAAGATACCTCTTGCAGCTGTAATGCTAGCATTCTTGGTCTCCTCGGCCACATGGCCAGACGCATCGAACCCGATCAGAATACCGGCAGTCGCGAGGTAGGACAGACACCAATTCCACCCCGGCGGTGCTCCCGTCCCATTGTAAGTGGTCAGAAATGCTTCGTGGGCCGTACGGAAGCCATACGTGTGAGCCGTGCCGATGGGGAGCCAGATGATGTTCAGCACAAAATCGAGGAGGACGAAGGCGCTCGAGAGGTAGAATATGAATCGGAAAAGTCTCGCTGGCAACCTTGTTAGTTAAGCAAACACCGCAAGATGCTAGCGAGGGATCCGAAGCTTCGGCTAGCTTTCACTTACGAGGGAGGAAGTTTACCAGCACTGCCAGTGCCAACATGACCTCTGTGCAGATCCATTGTACGGCTCTGAATTTGACGCTGCTCGCATCGGAGGGGAAGTTAAGCTTGAAGACGGTGATTTCCTAGGTGGAAGTTGGAAAATGAGCTGGCTGGATCAGGGAATCGGGATAACACCGCTCACAGATAGCATATAGTTCACAGCCGCCTGCGTGTTACCTAGATACACGGTCAGCCGCTGTCACCTGTATCATGCTCGGCCTGGAATATTGACTTACTGGCACAGAAGGTTGTCCAGGCCGTGGTCGACCACCACGCCACGATGAAGCCCAAGAGCCTCCCGTACTTGGGTCCTCCAGCCTCCGCGGCCCACAGGTAGATAGACCCGGCGGTTGGGAGCGAAGAGCATGTTTCCGCTATCACCGCTGCAGTGATGAAGGTGAAGACGCAGGTCGTGATGTAGCTCGTCCTGAGCTTTTTCGTTAGTCCAGATCTCGTGACGTTCTAGATCTCGTGACGTCCGGATGTTCGCTGTGTGAAATAAGTGGAAAGAAACCACGGACCAGTATGCAAGATTGCCTCCAGCGGCAATGCCAGTGCTGAAAGTCACCCGCACGCCACCGACGAAATACAACGCTGCTGGACGGACATCAGTACCGACCGGGAAGATAGACTCAGTGCTCATGTGACTTGCCAAAGGTGGTCGAGAAATTCTCGATCAAGCCGTAGGTGCGATGCAAGATCTACTATTGTCAGCATATATACCGGGTCTCCCCGATAAGGATGTCAATCCCCACCGGCTTGTATCCAATGGTTTTCTACTCGATATCTGTTAGCAGGCCAAGCTCCTGATATATATATTTATATATAGTCCCGCGACGTCGGTCAGAATGGCCACGGCCACGGCCATGGCCCAACTCACCAGTAGCGCATCATCCTCCATATCTTGGAGTTGCTCTCTTGTATCTTCTTCCACGTCTTTGATGTCGTCCGTCTGCCGGGCAACTTCAGGGGCGTCCGCCGCTGTGGGATCTGGGGGGCTTGAAGGTGGCATGGCCGGGTGGTCTGGTAGTCGTCACAACCAGAATCGTGTGCGTAACAAGTCACAATGAATGACTCGTCTGACAGAGAGAGTTAGAGCAGTATCCCCCAATCTTGCGATCCTGGACCGATACAAGTTTTCTCGATATCCGGATTTCCAGTCAGAGCTTCCCGGAGTCGTACAGTAAGCTTTGGATATTGATATCGGAACGAGGTCGGTGCGGCGTAACGATTATATACCTATTCCGAGGGTAATAATTGGTAATAATTGGCGCACCATCTCGCTTATCGGAGGATCCAAAGTTCCAGGCGGCCCGAAAACTATTTCGTGAGAGGACGCGCTAACTGGCCGATGTCCTTCTTAGCTTCGGACTGATAGACGCCCCAGGCACCCACTTCCCTTTCCCTCGCCAACCTCGAAACCTCTCTCAGACTGACTACTACGAAGTATCACAGCCTCTCAGTTTGCAGGCAGACATGCGATATCAAGACCCAGCAATTTGATGCCTCGAATATTTGGTGTGTTCTTGATTTCGATTCCCGCCCAGCCTTTGCCTGCAGCACGTCACGATCTAGATCTAGCTCTGCCTCGCACTTCCTCCAACATCACATGGGACTCACATGACCAACATCTCTCGGGCGAACAACTTTAGTGCCCACGATCCTGATAAGTCTTCTTCGCCTTGGTGGGTAGACAGCTGTGCCCTGGATGCGGATCTCGTCCGTTTGTTGACCTTGACTTAGACTTTCGCTTCCCCAGTTAAGCGAGCAAGCCTTCTTGGCTCTGCTCTACCTCTTTCTCATGGTCACTCGCAAGGCCCACAGCCTTCGAACACAAAGGCAAGTGGATATCTTCCCACGGAGCACTGGATCACAGCGAGTCTCAGTCTGTCACCAAAAGCACGCATGAGTCGAAGAGGAAAGAATTTTATGACCACGCCCGGGCCCAGGCAATGGCCGTGTTGACATTGAACATAACGAGTGACTAGATATGCATCATGCGTGTATAGATACATCTCCAAAGGTGGAAAAGCAGCAGAGGAAATCTCAGGAGCAGTACATGTATGTGTCTGCCCGCTCCCCGAACTCCGATCCCTAGGCCATCTCTCGCCCGTCCTACCCCGGCCTAGATCCAGACGCAGCCAGTTCCTGACTGACCACAGACCATCTGGACGTGGAGAGCGGTCTCGTCAGCTCATGATCTGAAGAATTTGGGTACCGAAACTGACAGCGACGGAGCACATGCTGGCGAGTACTACCCACCGCGCACGCACTGGGAACGGGCGACGGTGGCAAGGTGAAGGGGGTTCTGCTTACGACGTTTGGCTTGCCTCCTGGGCAGGTCCAGAGATCACATTGCTCCTTCTGCCCCGAGCATCGGCAGTTGGTTTGGCCCACGACGCGGCCGCCATTACACGCAGGAAGCTGTTCGGGAGCCACGGTCAGTCCTAGTGCTGCTACAAGTCACGTAGAGGGCAGCAGGAGAGGAGGACAGAAGGAAATGAGCGTCTCGCTCGGGGGAGTCTCTCAAGAAGTGCTGTTTCAGCAGGAAGGGGACAACACAGCGTGCTTTTCTACTTACAATTCTGCTGCAGTCAGCTCGGGCTTCCAAGGCGCGTGCTTCGTTCTCGGCGGGCATGGCCAGGGCAGCGGTAGCCAGGAGTGCGAAAACTGGGAGAGTGAAGAATTGCATTGTGAGGAGGGCGATCTTGGAAGGCTGGAAGTTTATGAATTTGTTTGTGATGTTGTTGTTGTTGTTGTGTAGGTATTTGCGAACGAGTTGAGGATGCCAGAAGGAAATCCAGGACCCGCGTGCTGGGGGTTTATATACTCATCTGGATGGCAGGTCCCTTCCAAACCAGCATCCTCCTCCTTCTCCTCCTCCTCCTCCTCCTCTCCATCATCATCCTGATCATCCTGATCATCATGATCATCATCATCATCATGATCATCACCAGAGTTACAATTTACGTCAAAAGCTGACTGCCAATCTCCCCCTCCCCCCCCAAGTATCACATCTCCAAGACCCATCCTCACCTCCATTCCCAGCCCCATAGCCCCCCTCGCAGCGCCTTCTCCAGCCCAGAAGCAGCGGTGAAAGCCAACCCCCCGACCCAGCCGAACCCACCTCTCAGCTCCCACTCCCCTCTCAGCTCCCCCCATCCGAACAGCAACCGCGTCACGAACCCGGTCAGGCTCGGCGGGTTGTCAGACCGTCATGTCAGCGTCCGGGACCGATGGCCGTCGCCTGTGCTACGCCCGGGGACGTACACGATGCGAGGAATGTGCGGTACGTATACGGTACACGAGCGCAGCGCAGCGCGGCGCGGCGGGCTGGAACACGTCGTCGTCGGCGCGTCAGCGGGTGCTTGGAGGGAGGGCGTGTATGCGGGTGAGATTTTGGAGGGGGGGGATTCTGTGCTGGAGAGAGAGAGGGGGAATGGCTGACTGGAAATGGGGTTGGTTGTTGTTGTTGTTATTATTATTTTTATTATGTAAGTATATATGTATGTATGCATGTAAGTATACATGTATGTATGTATGTATGTACATATGTACATAAGCATACATGTATGCATGTAAGTATACCTACATGTAGGTAAGGTACGTACCGTATGTAGGTACGTATCCACGCGAGTGAGCCAACTCCGCCGATACGACGGGCCCGGGCTAGGAAACGAACAGCCGGTGCTACCTACCTACCGGTCCCGGTACATCTCCCCCGAGGCCGAGTACCACCTGAGCGGCGTACAAGCTCCACACCCACGGCTCGCTTAGAGGGGACACGATCGTCGTCCAGTCTCGAGGAGAGGATGAGACTCTGCTGACGGGAGCGAAATCGAGTTAATCACCAACTATCGGCGACTTTTCAAATGTGCCCGGGGAAAGAACACGCGCGCGAGGAAAGGATCGTGAGGGTGAGTCTTTTTCTTTCTTTCTTTTGTTTTTCTTTTTTCCCTCTGTTTACAATACTCTAAAGTCAAATAAACAAACAAACACATCAATCAGGTGATGATCGATCTACGGACGGACAGACGGACAGACGGCCGTCCCCTGGTAGCCAGTCAGCCAGTCAGTCACTCACTCAGCCAGTTACTCAGCCAGTCACTCAGCCAGTCATTCAGTAAGTCAATAAGTCAGTCAGTCTCCCTCACCAACTCAAGACCAGGCCCCAAACTCCCCAAGCGCAATCCAATAACCCCCATCTGCACTCACCACCCCCCCCAAACGACACGCTCTCGAGATCTGAGATCTGAGATCTGAATTCTGCACTACTCAGGCAAGCCTCCATGATCAGGCACAGCAAGCCAAGCCCATCTTGAACCGGAGATCGCCTCACGGTACGCACATACCCGGTCCCGATCAACATCTCACTTACTTACTCAATCTCTCTCTCTCTCGCTGGAGGAATGTGGCGAGGTTTCTAAATTACTTTTTTTTTTTTTTATTTTAATTTTTTTTTTAAAAAAAAACAAAAAAAAACAAGACCGCACCTCAGCTGCCAAGATCAGCAAATACAGCTAGCTCCTTTACTCTACCTAGATCCGCGACGGTACTGCGCCGCGGGAGTCAGCAGGACTCCATCTTTAAGGCACGCAAGCACGCAGGCACGCAGGCACGCAGGCACGCATCCATCCGTCTATTCAGCTTGCTCTGGGGCTTTTCGTAGGAAGGGTGCCGCTGGCTGGGCTGGGGTTGGGGTGGGCGCTGCCGTTGGCCTGGATTATCATTATTATCATCATCATCATTATTATCATCATCATTATTATATATATATATATATATTTTTTTTTTTCTCTCTTCACAATGACTTATCAGTTGCTCCTCCTGCACCGGATGCATGACGCTGTAGATGCCAGACCTTTCAGGAGGGATACCCAGGCCGTTTAGGTACCGTACCTACCTAACCTACCCACCGAAGACGGACTACGATACAAGTCAAGTCAAGTCAACCGAGCCGGCGTCTACAGGAGGAAAAAACGAACGTAGAACGTAAAGCCGCCATCCAACCAGGCGCACTGGTTCCCTCCGCTCCGGAAGCACAGCTAGCTGTATGCTTGCTAGAACACCGCCGTGGGAACTACCGGTACTGTATCCTGTAAGCGTTGGGAGTCCCGACCGCGGAAGAAGAAGAAGTATGTATGTGTATATGTATATATCTATGTATCTATCCACGTCCGTCTGTCTGCCTATCCAATCCCTCCGCCCCAAGTGCCGCCACCCCGTAGAAGACCAGCCCAGTCTCAACTACCGGTAAACGAAACCGCACCGGACACGAAGCTGCCGACATAGCTAGCAAGCTAGCTAGCCAGCAAGCAAGCCAGCAAGCAGTGCCCATTGTTTAGGGTGCGAGGTAAGCTTTCCATGCTGTAAAGGGATACCATACCGACCGGTACATACATACATACATAAATCGAGGCAGTGGCGGCGTCGGCAGTCTCCATCGCGCGACCGAGCCTGCACCGTGAGACAAGACAAGGTACGGACGGACGTACGTACGGACTGACTGACCGTGTTGTTTTTCTGCCGAGCGACAGCAACATCTCCACATCTCAGCGGGGTGGGAACAATGTCATACGTAGCCATAGGCTGACTGTGATCATTCCGTTTTCAGATCCTGCTTGCCTGCCCTGGCGGCCCGGCCAATGTGTACAGTATCCAAGAAGCGAATTCCAAGAAGCGAGTCGAGAATCACTTACCGGTTACTTGAGCGAGGACGCCAGAAGCAAACGAGCCTGAGTCTCGACAGCAGCAGAGCAGTAAAGCAGCACAGCACGCAATCCCTCCCCATGAGAGCAGAGGAAGAAACCACAAGAGGTACCGCCAGACCACGAGGCAAAAGGGGAGAGAGGTGGGAAAGTACCTACCGGGAAGAGAGATCGGAGATCCTCGCTCCCCAGACCAAGGCAGCCTCAGACGCGGAACGCGGCGGTCGGCGCGGCTGGTGTTGCTGAGGACTGGCCCCACGCTGTGCGGGCTGCAGGACGGCAGTTCTTCAGGCCAACAGTCGCCCGTCAGCCATGCCGGCAGTCAGGGCTGGGGTCGGTCCGCCTGGATTCTCAGCAGAGTCTTCTCGGAGCGAGCAGTATCGGCTCGGCTCCAATGGCACGTATCCGCCGAAGCAGCAGCTTGTTTTCCCATCAGTCTTGCCCTCTCGCTGGCACACAGCACCCAGGGGGGGGATTCCAAATACCCACACGCATCGTTCTCCTTCCTTCAAGCCATGCACGTCAAAACATGGGACGTCGATATAGTCTATAGTGTGGTCTTTGTTGTGTATGTATTGCTCGCTATGTCTCTGGTTTCGCCTCGTGTGTGTGTCTCTCTTTTTCTCTACCAGTTCTCCAAGTACCAAATCCGATTCCGAGTCCGGGTCCTCCACCGAAGAAGAAGGAAGAAAGAAAGGAAATGAAAAAGGGAAGGGCAGAGACGCCACCGCGCCGAGTCCCTCGGTCTTCTGCCGAAGAAATTGCACCCGTATACCAACCACCTCCTGTAAAAAGCCACCACCCACCTAATCCGTCGGCGCGTGCGTGAAGAGAAAACTGACACTCTCCCCGTTGTGCGTCCGCCGGATCGCCTCCGCTAGCGTAGGACTGATATCCATGACCCTCAAGCGATCGCAGCGCTCGAGCTTCTCGCCCAGCGGCACCGTGTTCGTCACGACCACCCGGCTCAGCTGGCTCTTGTTGATAATCTCGACCGCGTTGCCGGACAGGATGCCATGCGTGACAATGGCCACGACCTCCTTGGCCTTGTGCTGCATCAGCGTCTCGGCCGCCTTCGCAAGTGTGCCGCACGTGTCGGCCATGTCGTCGACGAGGATGCACGTCTTGTTCTCGACGTCGCCGACCAGCACCATGCGCGAGACTTCGTTAGGCCGCGCGCGCTCCTTGTGGATGAGGGCGAAGCCGAGGTCGAGGCGGTCGGCGATCGAGGTTGCTCTGCGTGGTTCTGTTAGCACCGGTGCCCGCTTCTACCGAGCACTTCGTTCGCATAGGGGACCGTCAAAGGGACGACAAACCGCTTAGCACCCCCCGCATCCGGACTGACAACCACGCACTCCATGACATTCAAATTCTCTCGAATCCACCGCAGCGTACTGGGCTCCGCGTACAGATTGTCCACCGGCACATTGAAGAAGCCCTGGATCTGGCTGGCATGCAGATCCATCGTGATGACATGGTTGCAGCCCGCCGTCTGCAGCATATTGGCGATGAGCTTCGCAGAGATGGGAGCCCGCGACTTGTCCTTCTTGTCCTGCCGGGCGTAAGGGAAGTTGGGGATGACAGCGGTGATGCGCCGTGCGGAAGCCGTCTTGCAAGCGTTGATCATAATGAGGAGTTCCATGAGGCCGTCGTTGATGTCGCCTGGGGCCGTAGATTGGAGGATGAAGACTGAAGGGCCTTGTGTTAGCTGGTTCTTCTCGCTTGTGTTGTATTCATCTCTACTTTGTGAAGGTATTCAGGGACGGTGAGTACGCACCATCTTCATCTCTCACGCTCTCACCGACTGTAACACTGGTCTCCTGGTTCGAGTAGTTCAGACTCAACGTCTTTGCAAGCTCAATGCCCAGTCTGTATAAGCCATTAGCCTACAGTCCTATCCTATCTCTCTCTCCTCTCCTCTCCTCTCCTCTCCTCTCCTCTCCTCTTCTCACCTCCCTTCCATTCCTCCTCCCTTCTTTCCCTTCCGTTCCCTACGCATGCGCACTCCTCTAGTCCTCAACAGTAGGCAGAATGAACATACCGATCAGCAACCAGCTTCGCCAGCTGCGGATGGCTGTTGCCTGTGAGCAACTTGATGCTATTTGTGGCCATCTCGCCCTATTCGTCCGTCCTCTCTGTGCCTCTCTCCCTTGATAGTCTGTCTCCCTTTCTCTCTCTTCTCCTCTCTCTCTCTCTCTCTCTCTCTCTCCCTCTCTCTCTCTCTCTCCCCAAATCAAATATAAACCCAATCCCGTCTCCTGTCAACCGTCTCTCCTCGCCCAGCTCGCACACAGACAGACCCGACCCTGCGACCCTCCAATAATCCCACTACCGATCTATCTTCTCTCAACTCCCAAATCCTCGTCCTTTTTTCTTTTTTTATGGTTGGGTGTGGTGTGGTGTATACGAGCAGCCACAAAGATGCTTCTTGTCTGGCCGTCCCTCTGTTTCGTTCAGTACGTGCGTGCGTGCGCGCGGCGTGCTGGATCGATTGATTGTTGATTGTTGATTGTTGATTTTTGATTGTTGATTGTTGGATGTTGAATGTTGGATGTTGAAGGAAAGAGACGGGCAAGCTCCAGAAAATTATTGTGGCGGGGCACCCATGCGGAGATGCCCAGATGCCCAGAGGTCGACCGTGGATCCCAAGCGTCGGCTCGGGTCACGGGCTACAGAACCGATATACGCTGGGATAGGTGAGTCAGGTGACCATAACCACCGAACACAACACAACCACCGACCGATCGTGAAGCTCGAAGCTGGCTGGATAAATACATGTACATACTTACATACTTACATAGCTATCTATGATTTGTTCATAGCGTGCATAGCATAGCTATGTGTATATCGAATCCTGGATACTGAGAGCTGAGAGCCTGAGATGCCCAGATCTTCAAACCCATCATGAGCTCACAAAAAGAGAACTCGGGATTCGAAGATCACATACCTAACTTCGTCATATCAGTAAAACAAAGTACCAGAAAAGGATCCTAGTAAACGGCTCTCTATTGCTACCATTGCTACCAAAGCCACCATCCATCAAATGATGGCTACCGCTATCTAGTTTACATAACATGACCCTGTCCATCCATCCTTTGCTCCCTACGTCGCCTAAAATATCCACGCCCTCTATAGAGAGCATTTCTCTCCCAATTCTTATTCCACTCACTCGAAATGCCCCAGCGAAGTAATGCGAACGACCTGCACTTCGTCGCAACCCCACAGTGCCAATGCGAAAGAGCGAAACAGGAGCCGGGATACCTCCATGTTCGTGGATACCGGAAGGATGCCAAGGCAAGAACCACCACTCCTGTACACACCCCCCATGCCAATAAACCTTGAAATAACCGCAAGAGACGCCTTCAAATGCTGTTCCAGGCCTGCAATGCATCATATCGTAACGAAAGAGGAAGAGAAACGCTGCAATTTTGTCGAGATCGACGATGGACTATGCAAAACCAAAATACTCGCTTCCCGCCGTGATGGCGGTGAGGACTTGGTTGCGCAGACTCTCGTAGCTCTCGTACTCCGGCAGGTCAAGTTCTGTATCCTGTTAGCAACATCCTCATTGGAAAGTCAAGGGAGTGGCCTACGGTTAAAGCATGTGTGCGAACTCGGAAGACGATCCTTGCTGCCGTAATCACGGTGGATGTTGAAGCGACTAAACCCATTCATACCCTCCAGCTCCTTGAATCCGTTGAGTGGCACCTTGGAGGTACCGGTAACGAACTGAAGCAGCTTGGCACGCTCCTCCTTGTCGAAGGAACGGATGGCACGCCAGAACCATTGAATCTGGGGTGAGGAGGCCGTGTAGTTGTGGTACTCGGTGTTGCTCTTCCAGTCGTCGACGTCAATCTCGGGAAGACCTGAAATCAACAACTCGAGTTCTTGCTCGTTGAAGATGGCGACTAACTCGGCGGGAATGATGTCGTGGAAGCCTAGAGTTTGTTAGGATGAACATGAACGTCAGACCCCAAGTAGAACAAACTTACCCTTCAAAAACTCATCCAACTGCTCCTTCACAGATCCCGTGAGTCTCCATTCAGTCATCAAGCGAACGTATTCATGCTTGTTCTCCTCTGTAACGGGGATGTTTCGGCCGTTGGGGATAAAGTCGATTGTCTCCGTAACACCAAACTTGTCCTGCTCAGTAGAGAACGTTTCGGTGATGATGTCAGTGATATCGTTCTCCAGCATCCAGACAAGTGATTTGTAGTAGTCCAGATCAAGAGACTCCATATCCTTTACTGAGACAGCCTTGCCCAGAATGCGCTTGTAGACAGCACGACTGAAATGGCAGTCCAAGACACGACCCTCGTAGAGAGCCTTGCCGATGATGCGACCAATGAACTTGAAAAACATCAGATGTTCCTCGTTGATGCTACTGGAATGGTTGGGGTGGAAGGTAGTTCTGTCAGAAGATACGGGAACGAAGAGAGCGTATCCTGGATCGAACATTTGTCGGGAAAGTACTTGGAACCATTCCCGAGTAACACCACCAGCATCAACACCCTCCTCACCGTGGAATCGGATGCTGAGCTTGCCAAACTTCATCTGGTCGCCTGTTTGGAAGTAGAGGGACTTGAAGGAATCGTGGAAAACTTGGTCTCGACGAACGGAGAGCTGGAGAGGGGGGAATGACTGTCGGCTGTTTGGAGCCTTGGCATGAACGCTACGTGTAAAGTAGTTGCGCTTGTTGTCGAATTCAAGGACCTTCGGGTTCTTGACCAGGAGTGAGAACGTACCGGACATCAACTTGGGAGTGTTTCGGACCAAGTCGTTGAGGATCTTGCGATGCTCCTCAGTGAAGGTGTAGAACAAGCTCTCCATTTGACTATCGGGTGGTGGGCTCGTCAAAAGCATCTCCTTTCCATGTTGGGTACGGGAGATTGGCGTATCCTTCAAAGTGGTGTTTTTGCACACAACCATCAATGCCTCGATGAGGGGAAGAAGGATGGTGGCGACATTGAGCATCTGCTCTCGTTGTCTGATCGCGCTGAGACAGGCGCTGAGTCGCTCCCACATTCTACCAAAGGTAGAATTCTCGTAGAGAGAAGACAAAAGATCCTGCTTCTCTACCAGCTGGAAAGATTCGCCTTGGGCCTCGGCTTCGGTAGGCTTGTCCTTCTTCTCACGCTTAGGATCGAAGAGATGGTCAAGAGCTGTCAACACTCGCAAGAGCTTGTTCTGGTCGGAGCCTCCAGGGGAGAATTTGGCCAGAGCGACGCCTTGTATCTCAGTACCGGTTGTAGCCTTCTCGATTTGGGGGAGGAGTTCCTCCAGATCAATCAAGATGATGCTACCTAGTCCTTGTGCCTTGGAGATAAGTTCTCGTCCAAAGACAGCCTTGGCATCAGGAATAGTAGACAGGTTTTTGATTGTTGAAAGTGTCTCTCGGAATGTCTTGGAGGAGCATTCGCGAGCCACGAAGATATTGATCACCAGCTTCAGGTTGTGGTCTGGAATGACTGGAGGGTTGAAAAAGGCGATTTTCTTCTGCTTTTCTAGCTCCTTCGCAGGTTCAGATTTGGGATCCTGAGCATCCACGGAAGTTTCGCCACCTTCTGGAGCCGACTCTTGACATGGGACTTCAGTGACTGTTGCCTCAGCACCAGAAGCTTCAGCTTTTGGCTCTTCGGGCTGATCACTCGTGGTAGTCGTCGTCCCAGCTAGAGCAACAGTCTCAGCAGCCTTGGCGGCATCGGCTTCAGCCTTTCTTTTGGCCTCTTCGGCTTCCTTTTGCTTCCGTTGAAGACCTTGAAGGGGGGATGTGATGGTATTCAGGAGCGTAGAAAGGTGTTCCATAACCTTCGAACTCTCCATGATGAGATCGCGGTCCAAGAGGCTGAGCAGTGAATTAAGAGCATACTTGGCCGCCTTGTTATCCTTGCCCTTGCCCTTCCGGCTAAAGGTTCGCTTGAGGCCTTCCGCCGGGACGTTGTGCTCGGTCAAGAAGTATGCTGGAACGTGCGGATTAGTCTGACTGAGAGTTACCAGTGCATCCAAACATTGTGCCGCAACCATGAGAGGAGACACGTCAAATGTTATTTGTGCGACCGGCCCCAAGTTTGTGAGAGTTCTCTTCAGGGACGGCGTTTGGGGAGTCTTTGGCTGGGTTTCCTTTGGCTGCTTGGCTCTCAGGGAAAGATGAGAGAAGCTTCTCTCAACGGCAGATATATCGACGCTGCCCTCTTGTAGAACGTGCAGAATAGTACTGATGATCTCGTTCCTATTGTGTCGGTTCATCGAGATGTTCTGGAGTAGCGTGTAAAATGTCGTGCGAAGGGACCCCTGCAGTGACAAGAACATCAGGCGCAGTAGCGTGGCAATACCTGGCTTGTCGAGCATCTGGACAGTAGCACGTCGCTGGGGTCTCTCAGCAGCCTGACGAAGCTCGCCAAACGAGTTCGGTACGCCTCTGCGTGCATAACCAACTGGCAGTCGAGGCGGCATTCTGTGACCCCCTTGCGCAGCCGCGACAGCTCGGGCCTGGACTTGAAGGTCCTGAGGTAGCAAAGCAATTGTTGCCTCATCTTGCTCGGCGAGCATTTGATTTCTCAATGCTGGAGCTAGGTTAGCCAACATAGCTGCGGTATCCGCATCCACAACTGCAGCTGGACCTGCTCCGCCATTTGCTTCCGCAGCTGCACGGTTACGCTGTTCTCGCTCGCGACGACGTCTATCTGCTCTCTCCTGTTGCATGATTTCATCGCGGATATCATCTGGCAGCGCATCAAGGAACTCTTGATCAATGTCCGATGGCTGACCACCAGTAGCGGCGGCGGCAGATCGGCGTTCAGCAACAGCACTCATGATGACCTCTTCTCGAAGTTCATCTGGCAGTTCTTCGAGGAAACTTGGGTCAATGCCCAAGTCCGTGATGTCGTACGGGTTACCACGAATCATTGTTGTGATTCTTGGTTGATTTGCAGCAGGTGCCGCATCAGCTTCTGCGGCCTGCTCGGCTGGTTCGGGGGCTTCGGACTCGATGCCGTCCATACGATCAAGATCGGGGGTTTCCAAGTCACCTTGAGGCTCACTTGATTCCGGCTCGGGTCCACGAGCGGCAAGTGCCTCAGCTGCAACTCTCTCCGCCTCCTCTCGTTCCTCGAGTTCCTTTCTCTCTCTAACCACTCTCTCCTCTTCTTCCTTCTGTGCTCTCGCTATTCTCTCCTCCTCAACACGCTTCTGCTTCTCCTCCTCTTCCTTACGAGCCTTCTCAGCGGCAGCTGCCTTAGCGGCCCTGTCAATCTCGATGGCAGGAGGAACAAGGAGAGCCAAGATAGCGGTCGCAAGCTCATTAGCTCTCTCGATAAAGGCTGTGGGCGAGCCAAAAATAATCTTGGCTTCTTCCAACCATCGGGCGCTGGTTGACTGCGGGGCGAAGAAAGTTGCGCTTCCAGGCTCCACTACAGTCGATCTCGACGACTCCCATCTCTGTGGACGCATACCGAACATGGCTTGGAAATCAGGTGGGAGTGGCTGACCAGGTGGGGCGGTGATGTGGAACTGCAAGGCGTGTCCGTTGCGAGCAAGTTGGCCTGGCGTAATCGGTAAGGATCTGATCACTTCATCCAGCAGAGCTTCAGTTGCGGGGCTCTCACCGAACGGTCGTCCACCGATATCCAAGATTTCTCCACTGTGGCCAGCGAACGCTTGCAGCCAGCCTCCCGCAGGTCGGCTAGAAAGGTCACGGATTTGGGCCCCTGGGCCACTTCGTTGAAGTAGAGGGTTGATTCCATCGTCCCCGGCGCGAGCTGCTGGAGCACCAGGTCTGTGTGATCTGTAAGAGCCTCGGTAATCTGGTACTGCATTCGGATCAGTTCTGTTTCTGCCACCGGAATGTAGTGAAATTGAGAGTTGGAGCTGATCCAGATGGTCTTGAGCGGCCTCCATCTGTTGAGTTAACTGTGCTAACTGGAGTAACGTACCGCCTAGCGGGTCACGAGGACCGCCAGCAAAGGGCAGTGGGAATGGGGAGAATCCGCCACGAGGGCGACGATGTAGAACCACAGGGGGTTCGACGTCTTCTGGCCAGGGGAAGCCACGATCTATAAGAGACTATCAGTGATTGCAGCTGGTTGATAGGAATTTCGAGCTTGCCTTGATGCTGGTCAAAGAACAACTCTGCCTCATTCATTTCATCCTCGTCCTCATCTGCTAGGGCGCGATGGATTAGCCATGTGCTGTTTCAGTTCACAGAAATGACACATACCTTCTTCATCATCCTCTGCATACTCTCCCTGCATTTGCTCCTCCTCATCCTCCTCACCGGCATCGATGCCATCGGCCTCCATGCGTCCGATGATCTCAGCGGCCTCGGCATCTCCCGCGAGAGCACGGACAAGATGACCAATGGGACCGCCCGGCATGTCAATAGCATGCATGCCATCCTCTTGTCCAGCAATCTCGTCGTCGTAGTCCTCTTCCTCTCCTTCATCGTCAACTTCTTCTTCGCCTCCATCATCGCTCACCCACTCTCCGATCTCCTCATCCGCGGCGAGTTGTTGGATGTTTCCGACTTCGTCAATAATTTCAACACGGCCGTCATCATCTTCTGAATCATGGTCGTCGTCCTCGTCTTCGTCATCATCATCCGCACCACTTGAATCCATCTCGTCGTCGTCTTCATCATCGTCCTCCATAATGACCTCGACATCAACGCCGTGGTCGCCGTCCAGACCTTCGATTGGACCCATGCCTTCGATTTCTTCATCTTCGTCGCTGACACCATCCTCTTCGGCACCTGGGGCACCGTCATCATAGTCCATCTCATCATCGTATCCATCCTCGTACATCTCTTCGTCCTCGTCGTCCGAATCGGAAGAGGAATCATCCTCTCTGCCAGGTTCCAGCATACCCAAGGAGGAGTTGCGAAAAAGATCTGGAGTCTCCTCCCGACTCTCTTCCTCGTCAGAGAGAGATGTTGCAGACTCAATCTCGTCCTCATCGGCCTGGCCAGGTGTACTAGTGATGAGTGCAAGGTCGCTGAGACTAATGGCAGTCGCAGTCAACGTCTTTAGAGGCTTCAGGATGTACTTGACGGCGCGCTTGGCATCCTGGAAGTTGAGATCAATGTCCGCAATAGATGCGGTTAGAGCCGCGACGTAGCCCTTCTCGAACATGATACGTCTCAGCTGCTTTTGAGATGCATTGGCGACCGAAGTGTCCTGGATCCCAAGGTTCTCCTTTCCAGTCATGATGTGGTTCATCAGCTCTGCCAGAGACAACAGTTTTGCGTATTTGCTGTCCAGAGGTTCGGAGGATGCGCTGGCCTCCTTGTAAGCCTTCAGAATGTTCTCCAAGACGAACTTGCGTACAAAGAGCAGGTCGGGTTCATTATCACTGTCGTAGGCGTCGCGGGTCTTGTCGACTGGTAGCTCTCCTGTCTTGCATACAAGTGCAGTGATAACAGAATCGGCCCAGTTTGACGTGACCAGCTTCTTTCGCAAAGCGGTACCTTCGACATGCTTCAATGTGCCTATGGGAATGAGGTCAGACAGAAGGTAGCTGAGTACCGTAGATCGCGGCTTGGACGGGGTCATGGCTTGAGGTGGAGCACTGCGCTTAAAGTTGATGAACTCGATCTTTGTACGGTTGTATGACGATAGGAGTTCAGTGAGGCATTGGAGGAGAAAACATCTGTAGATGTAATGTGGGTGGTCCTCGGGCTTAAAATCCAGCTTAGGGGTGGACTTCGAGTCGGCTTTGGCATCTGCCGCATGTACGCCCTCTGTGGGAGAAGGGTTTGTCATTGGCAGATCACCATGGATGGCTTGGGCACTCTTATCGGCAAAGATCTGGCCTGGTACGGAGTCGCTGTCCTTCTCATGTAAAATCCGGCCAGCCATAAGCTCTTTCAGCAAGAAGTGGATAACACCATCGGGGTTTTCTACCACCGGCAGCTTTTGCTCATTTGCATTTGTCTTTGGCAAATCGGCCATCTCAATATCACCAGCTTCGGTGGATGCCTTCACATCTTGGATAGAGAGATCTTCCGTAGCCTGGACAGTGGGATGAACACTCTCGTCAGCTATTTTGGAAGGTGACGCCGGAGCAACTTCCTTCAAGACCAGCGATTGGGTGCTTCGGCTCTCATGGACTTGATAAGTCCAACGATTGAACTTGACCATCTCGTTGGTAACTTCCACAAAGAGTTTGGGGCTCCGCACAGCAGTATGAGCCAATCCGCGGAGGTATGCCTTCTCGTCGAGAGCTCGTGCTTGCCGATTGGCTTCCATGAACGACTTGATTTCAGAGCGCATGATCTGCTTGATGGTCTCATCATCTTCGATTATGTGACGTAGGACGATCAGCAGCGGACTTTGAATGCGAGCAGAGCTGGCACCACAAAGTTGTTTGGCCAGTAAGAACAAGCCCTGGATGTTTTTCGTCTCGCCTAGATACTGGGCCATGGGACGGCTTCGGGTCAAGATCACCAGAATACGCAAAACAGCTAACGCAAGCCCTTCGTCCTTACCGATGTGATTCAATATGCCAAGGATCGAGTCCAGAAGCTGGGCTCGCTGTGCGGGCGAGAAGACCGGCTCGGCCAATTCCAGTACCGGTGGGTCTGGCTTATCGTTGTCATCCTTGGGCAGAGTCCACTTGGTCTTCTGGGGTCGGGCATCCTCGCTCAAAAGCATCTCCACAATCAGTAAAATCTGCGAAACCCATGGGGACTTCCACTCCGCAGAATGACGGGGTGCCAACTTGATGAAACCGAGCAAATTGTCAAGATTTTCTTTCAACTCGTCAAGAGCAGCTGCGAAGAAAAGCTTGTCTCGGAGCATAAGCGCGAGAAGATTGGCAAAGGCAGCAACCTTTTCGCCGTTGGTATCCCAATCCTCCTCGCCGGCGAAGGACATAAGAGCAACAACCAACGTCTCACTAACCACCTTTCGTTGCGCGGTAGGATCTTCAGACTTATTAACCACCGCGCTAATCAAATCGGATATCTCAAACGTCAAGGTGTTGTGGGCGCTGAGTACATCAAGACACTTGTCGATCAGGTCGTCTCGAATGAGAGCTCGCTCTTCGTTTAGGTCGTCGACGGTGACACGCTTGATTGCGGATTCTCCCTTCTGAACTTCTGCAGGAGCCTCCGCCACCGAAGACCGATTTTGGGTGAAGAGGGCCTCAAGATTCGGAGGTGTAGCAGCGACAGAGGCAGCAAGCCCGGGAACAGCAGCTTGATTGAGGCCATGGTCAGTATCTTCGATACTTCCTGCCATGTGATGATCAACAGGAGTAGAGGCGCCAGTTGAAGTGCTGGTTTGAGCACTCGAGGAAAGGTTCGATGCAGGGATCGAAGGTGGGAGATCGCCTTCCGGTACTGGATTTCGCTGAAATGCATCCAGAGCATACAGCTTGCAGTAATCCATGGCGAAAGAAATGTTATTGTTACAGCGGTACAAGGCCTCTTCTGCAAATTCTTTATCGACACCGGGATATCCAAGCAAGATCACCATGTGTTCTGGAGTGATCTTCAAAGTCTTGTGGGCGGGTTTAGCAGGAAATACCGGCTTATCGGATCTCTTCAGTGCATTGCTCTCGCAGTCAGCGAGTGCAATGGTTCTAATAATGTCGATGAGCTTCCCTGCAATATCACTCAGGCCCGTCTCAAGCAGATCAGATACCCAAAGACTGCGGACGAAAGGAAGAACAGCCATGCGAAGCTCAACCAGAAGTTGAGAGGGCGAAAACTGGTCTACACGGAGGGCTTGTCCTCTCTCTCTAGGCAGCATAGACATGGTCTGAATCGCTTCGGTCAGGTTCCGTCCGTTGACTATTTGGCTGTAGAGGCCAAGTATGCGCTCGGTACCTTGCGTAGCAAGTGTGACCTTCGTCTCTTCTGGGCCAAGCGGCACTGCCTTGAGAATCTGAGCGGTCTGGCCCTCCGGAATCTTGTATGAACGAATACAGTGAGTGAATTCTCCCAGGATATGATTCAGAGCCTTGATTCCGTTTTGATCCTTGAAGGCTTGCAGGACGATGGTGATAGTCTGGACTGGTCGCTCATTGTGACGAGAAGCTGCGATAAGGTCAGTAGTGGTCCAGAGAAACACTCAGGCCGACTTACATTCGACCAACATGTCATTCAAAACTGCAATGATTCCTGACCAATACGAGTAAGTCTCCGAAGAACACTCATCATCAACTGCAGCCAGTTGCCCAATCATCGATTCTGCCAATGCTTCTGCAATACTTAGATGGCCCTGCTTCAGGAAGGAGTCGGTGGCTCGCTTTGATACCAATGCCTTGCCAAGGGTCTGGAAGAATGGCTTGATAACCTTGGGCATCTTCCCAAGAAGGTATTTCAACGTCTGGTAGTTCTTGAAACAAGGTGAGCTTTGCTCGGCTTTGGACACCGTCTTGGGTTTTGCAGCAGCTAGGTCTACAGATGTTGAAGGCTCTCTGATGGCTACGCTAGAGGTATTAGTGGTATCAGCTGACTCACCACCGACGGGTTCCTCGGATGTAGATGTAGAAGTCTCGCCTTCGCGACTGGCATTTGCAGGAGATTCTCCAAACCCAGACTCTTTCGTACGGGAGACGTGCTTCCAATAGTCGGGTACGGACTTCTGCAGGCGCATCTCTTCTCTCAGGGAAGCACCTAACAAGGGACCTAGAATGTTCACAAGGCGTACGTAGTAGTCTGAGACATTGACTTGCGAGAAAACATTGTTAGTGTTTCGATGGTTGTACGGCGATGGTTGAAAGGTTGCGACCATCGTAGGAATTGAAGAATGCAGGAACACAAGCGCCTTCACGAACTTGGTGCCCCGAGCAAGAAGCTGAACGTCGGCCGATTGTCGAGCTTCCGAATCGACGAAAGGGGCAAAAAAGGAGCTGGAGCCAGTGTTGGAGATAAATGGCTGAAGATCCTCGGCAGCCTTCAGGGCGCTCTGGATCAAGGATGGCATCACCAGATGTGGCTTTGTCTCGGCAATTAAAGAGATGACTTGATTAAAAGTGCGGCCGCCAGTTGACTCTGCGAAGTCATAAGAGAGGCAGTCAGAGTGGGCCATGCTCAGAACATATGGTAGGCCACCTTTGTTGCAGAAGTCAGATCGTACGGATGTATTGCTGAACATGGCTGAGAGGAATGTAGCAACTGCGGTAATGTAAGGGGTCATGGAAACAGTTGAAGCTATGTCGACAGGGCCTGATGCTACACCTTGTGTCGGGGTCGATTCAGCATCCTCCATTTCCACATCACCGCTATTATCAGCGGCCTTGCCCTTGCCGAAGCGGTCGACGAGTGCGTGTGTGATTTGATCGTTCGCAATGACAGGCTTTCCCGACTGATCCGTAGTCCATAATTTGGCTCCAACCTTATTGTTTGCAGCCTTCGTCTTGCACAGGTGATCCACGCGGGCGACCATGTTCACAATCGATGTCATGATCGCATCCTTTAGGGGAGGATGATGGCGCATAAGTTCGTCGAAGCTGCCGCCAAGGCTACTTGGTAGCTCCTTATTTGTATCCATGCACTTGACGTGCTCCGGGCTCTCGAAGATCTCGAAGAAGATTTCGAGAGCCTTAGAGGCCTTGAACATTTTCATACCAGCGTTATTGAGACAAATAGCGCTGAAAGCCTGAGGTACAATGTTGATGGTTTCGGATGTTGGCATGATTCCCCGAGCCAAGGAGTTCGCACGCGGAGCCTCAAGCATAGGCTGCGTCACAGGGAGCACTTGGTATCCCTCGTAATCGTCGCGACGGGCCCCCTCATCGTCGGATGCCGGAGAAGGAGTGTCAGTCGCAGCAGATTCTGCCGCGCTGTCGCTGCTAACAGCAGATTCTTCACCCGCTGGCTCGGAAGGCTTCGTCAGTTCCGGTGGCATTACGATGGTAGTTCCAGTGACAGCCTCGAGCAGACCACGACTGAGTCCGGCCTCGGCGATGACTGCAAAGCTGGTTGGCTCGTTGTTGATAAAGTCGTTCAGAATGCTAACCGCATTGGTCCAGACAACAGATCCGTAGACACGCGCGTTGCCAATGATCTGACGAAGACTAGCCAGGAGGGTTGACGAATCGATCAGATTTCTTAAGAGCCGGTCAAAGTTCCCACCATAGCCACCCGGAGTAGCCATCATATGATGGACGAATTTGAGGACCCATTTGAGAACCTGCTGTTGGAAGAATGCGACTTCGTAATCGACTGATGCGGCGCGGTACTTGAGGGGAATACCAGCCCCAGAAGATGCAGTCCTAGCCGCGACCGCAACCTCGTGCACCATCAAGTCCGACACAGCATCAAGTCCATCGGCACTCACGAGGTTCTGAAATGCCTCGCGCGTACTGTACATCAGAGAATCGAGGAACGTAAGCACCATAGGCTGATATCGCTCGGCGGTAGATGTCCGTAGAGTGATGACTTCTAGCAGGATAGGTATCAGTCCTGCAGTGACTAGGTTACCCGCAGTGTGTTGACTGGTGCATAAATTGGACAGCAGCGAGAATATAGCATAGCGCCACCCATCATCGTCGTCACGTTGGGCGCCCTTGTCCTCGGTATTGAGCTCTGCGACAGCTGTTCTGACCACGTAGAGGAGCACGCCGTGATTGACGTTTGTGTTGAGCGCAGCGCAGACCTCAGCGTTCTTGAATTGGTCCGTGATTCCTGCCAGTGCATCCAATGCGCCGAGTGCCAGGGTTTGAATGGGTCGTGGAACCGCAACTTCACCTTCAGCGGGTGGGTGTACTAACTCCGCGAGTTGGGATATCAGCTGTGATCGACGGGGCTCCTGCTGGTCTTGTTTCATGAAGTCGTTAGCGAGGAAGCTCTGTTCTGACTGCACATAGATCAAGTTCGTAATGGCCAGCAGTCTGATGGCGAGAATTTGACGTCGCGTCTCCAGGGAGGTTGACAGAGCATTTGCGACACGGAGCTTGTGTAGAAGCTCGTATCGCTGATCGGGCTTCAGCTCAGACATGTTCTCAGCCAGGACCATATGCATGCCATCAGATCTGATCTTCGAGCCAGCGATTTCGATGTACTTGTAAGGGTCACGAGCGGGATCGCCGCTCGCAGTAGCAGGAAACGTCGAAGTACGGGGTAAAGTTGCTGGCGAGTCGGCGCTTCCCGATTGCCTATCGGTTCGCTGTTGAACATGGGGTCCTAAGTTAGACCTCCGAGAGGGTGTCGGAGTTGCTGGCACTGCCGGAGAGTGAGGTGTAGGCGGGTTGACGATGCCATTCATGTCTGGTTCGGCTCTGGTCTCGAATTTAATCATGACGTCGCCCCATTCCTCCCAAGATGAATCGACCCTTGATTTAGGATCGAGTCCACTTTTCACACTCTTCGGGCTTCCACTGACACCAGATCCTCCCTTCACCATCGAGGCAAAGTCATTGGCATAGACTTTTGCAGACGCAACCTTCTGCGGCGAAGGGACGCTGAAGATGGCCTTTTCCTTGCCTTTGACACTCGGCGTGGCAGGTGTTGCGGGCTGCGCAGGTTCTGCGGGGCTGGTCACAGTCTTCGAGAATGGCTGAGCTAGTTGCAGAACCTTCTCCAGGTTGATGTTGTAGTGACTGGTCAGCAGGCTGTTTGCGACGTTCCGAATTGGGATATTCGTGCGCTTCAAGGCGGCGCTATAACGCTGTGCTAATTCCGACGCCAGCTCCAGGGTGACCTGTATGAGGGAAAGCGAGGTTGTATTTAGTACGTGGTTGAGATGCGAACTGCTTGCGTAGATGGTCCGGTTACCGCAGTTTCGCATTAGCAATGTCGAGAATCTCAGAACCGACTCCACAAGCTCTCTATCTCCTTCACTTGAATATCCAAATTGGGCCAGGTATTGTCCGAAGTTTAACCCGATCGGTGCTTCCTTCAATGAGTTCTCTAAGAGTGAACATCCAAAGTCCTCGGTCTGGGGCTCCACCAGCTTGTATGCGGCGCAGAACATGGCAAGGATGTCGTCAAATCGGTTGAGCAGCGGGATCCAGTGATACAGGTCACCCCGTGGAAACGGCCATGTTGTTGGGAAGGTCGCGAGGTGTTGTGGGAGGAACTCTAAGGGTGCCGCGCACGCAGAATCGCGGAATTCCTTGACATAGGGCGACTGATTGCGCTGTTAGAATCGGATCCCCCATACGGAAGGAACTTCTACTTGCCAGAGACTCGGAGTGCTTCGTTTGCATAGTCTTGGTTATGCGGACCATGTTGGCGTTGGGAGCGGCAGGACCGCTGAAGTATCAGTTTCGACCCCCTCCGCTGCCTCCGTATCTATCGTAGCTGTCGACAGCTTGCCCGGGGGGCGAAGGAGCGTCCAGGATGGACAGCCCCGAGTGTGATAGGGTAGGTGTGTGGTAATCGCAGAGTAGGGCAAGTCCGTTGGTATCGATCTGAAGGTAGCCGTGCGGGATCTGCAGATTAGTTTTCACAATGAATGTATTCAGTTTACCTGCTCGCAGTCTGAAATTCACAGTCCCTGCATGAAGGGGAAGAGCTGGTTGGCGCGTTTGATGACGAGGTGCGCGTTTGTAGTACAGAAGTTCTGGGGGTTGAGCCGGGTTGGGTTGGATTGGGGGTAGTGGGAGTCGAATGGAAAAGAGCGTGATGAAGGGAACGGTGCAGGCGCCCTTCGCGGCTCTAGGTTTCGATGACTCGGCACGGTATGGAGAATCTGGTATGAGGTACCAGCACTCTTGAACTGAGGTATTCGGGATGGTGAGCTGTAGTTGAGGTTGTTGATTGTGGTGATGTTGGTTGGTGGGGGGGGGGGGAGGTTGAGAAAGAGCAGAGCTTAGGAAGATCGATGGGCTGCGGATATTCTCAGAAGGTGGAGCCCGTCGCGCTAGCGCAATACTTTACTTGCCGTACTATGGTCCAAGCTTCAACAGGGCGAGATCGTTTGACAACACATTCATTCCAACTTTTATTCACCACATAAGCATAATGCGTTCATTCGACCATTTTGCTATTTTATTTCCGGCGCTCACTTAGTTTAGTGGTTTCGTCATGAACTCGAGCTTCTGTTTTTATCTACGGATATTACCATCTATCCTTATCTAGAGCTACAATACTCGTATGTCGAGAGCGAGAGCGCGAGAGCGCGAGAGACAAGAGTCAGAAGACTGGCTACAAAAAGGAAGTAAACATGACATCCATATCGAATTATGGGATTACGATAAATAAGCTAATAGGTACTCTTTGATTAGCGCAAAGAAGCCGAAGCCGAAGCATTGAGGTGAAAGTCATATACCGGTAGCCTTTCTATATCAGTGGTATTGGTATAGCATCCATCGATGGCGGATTGCTCTGAAATGTCTTTGACCAGCGGATCGATTCACAAGCTGAGCCTGCAAGCTTGGAAAAGCCAGGAGACTTTGCCAGCCAGTTCAACTTCTGCATAGAGCAGACTTTGGCTCAAGGCTATCTACCTACCTTGTATGCAAGTGTATACAAAGCACCTATGATTCCTATGATCTTCCAAAACCTCACTTTCGGCTCGGTCCAAGCTCCTATTCCCTCTTCATCACCAGGTTCTGGCTATTCCAACGAAAGCGTCATCGATTCACTTCATGTTTCACGAAAGCAAGCCTCCAAGGCAACTACTACTACTACTATTACTACTATTACTACTATTACTGCTACTACCAACTGGCTACCTTGTGAACTACACGATCCTGATTTGATTCGCCCTCCAATAATACAAGAACAAAAAGAACAAATATAAGAACAATTTACAGACATCTTCTGTCAGCCTCGTCTCTTCTGATTGGACAGCCTCGTCAACAAGGCTGAGCCGTCGTCACCACACAATCCTTGGTACCGGCCGGTACTGCCGCCACTTCTCCCATTCAAGCTTCTCCTATTTAAACAAAGGTTCCCTTGGTTTCCTAGACGTTTTGGATGTTTTGTTTACCATTACGGTACGCCTGGCAACTTCAACTTCTTCATCTTCACCTCCATCTTCCCCGTCACCGTTATTCCATGTGACCTACCTATTATCGATCACAAGGCTGTGGAAGAAAGAGAAAGCTTCGAGGGGGGTCGATAGTCCAGATGCCCCCAAAGAATTGCGTTACGTGGTCAGTAGAGGCAGTCTTGCCCCTGGCAATAGTGATATGGAAGTCAAACGCCTACTCAGTGCCTATACAATGCCTACTCAATGCCTACTTCCAAGTATGATAGTGGGAAAGACTGACTACATGGAGGACGAAATAGCAGCCGGCAATAGGGATGCTCACGGTCGGTGGCTGGCTGGCTGGCTGGCTGGCTGGCTGGCTGGCTGGCTATACGGAGGGTGTGGCTGAAGACCGGAATTGCAAAGGAGGGACCAGGACCCGGACCCGGACCCGGACCAGGACCAGGGAACGGGAACGGGAATGGGAATGGAATGGGAATGGAAATAAGAAATTCAGCTGAGCAATGACGGACTTGAATAGGTATGCAGATAACCACCTGAAAGCTCGTTGGAAGAATACGAGAAGAAAAAACAGAAGAAGAAAAAAAGATAAGGAAAAAGAACAGAAAAAAGAAAAGAAAAGAAAATTACTCGAGTTCACCCCCTTGCCCAGCCTCCCCAGATCTCGGTAGGTTAGGTGAGCTCCGCCAGCACGGATTCCCATCCGACCTCCAGTAAACAAGTACTTCCGGTAAGTTCGTACTTCCTGGAAAATAGTCGAGGCCGACACTTGCCCATCACCAGGATCTCTCTCACTTCTTCTCACCTCACCTCACCTCACCTCTCCTCTCCTCTCCTCTCCTCTCCTCTCCTCTCCTCTCCTCTCCTCTCCTCTCCTTTCCTCTCTCCTCTCCGCTCCGCTCGCTTGCTCTCTCATACACCCACTCACCACCGCCACCGCCCCAAGCCAAGCAAGCTATACTCACTCAACCTCAACCATCATTCTCTCCTTTCCCATCGATCATCTCACACCGGATCACACCCCATCGCATCCATATCATACCATCCTCGGGGGAGACTCAATCCTTGATGGCCTTGACCACTCTGTGACCCCTCACCGTCTACGCCAACACTGCTTATTCCCTTGCAGGCTCAGGCTCAGGCTCAGGCTCAGGCTCCGGCACAGGCACCAAGCATCATGTTTGACGCGGAGCATAAGGAGAAAGGGGATGTGGCGTCGGTGAAGGAGGACACGAAGCCGGACTCAGATGTGGACGAACATTCGGATACCGATCCTTCAGAAGTATTCCAGGTTGTCCATTCAGATGCGGACAATTCAGACCGGGAGACGGTACGTTGAATCACAACCCCCCATGGTGCTGCGACCTCGCACAAAACCCTCTTGAACCCTTTTGGCTTCGGTGCAATTGAGTGGCATGACTGACTCTACGGCCCCCACCAGGATACCTTTGAGGATGCAAATGATTCTGCGGCCACCGAACCCCTAGCCAAGAGACCGTCAATAGAGAGGACTCGGTCTCTAACGAAACGACCAGATTCCCCCGCGGAGAGTGCTGCGGAGGGCGTGGAGGACCATCCCCCAGTTCCTGCGATGCCTGGAGTCGAGGTCAAGGAGGAGGTGGAGACGGAACACACGAAGCAGCCAGAAGATGCAGGAGAGATGACGGACACCGATATAGAAGCAGAGTCAAAACAGCCCAGCAGCCCTCTGTTAACCTCCCACCGCATATCTTCAAACGCCTCCCTGGATAACGTGAACCTGGACAGTGTGAGCTTGGATGAGGATTCGAGACCCATACTGCTAGTCAAAATCAACGGTAAGCTTGCCCAGCTTTCAATTCGGTGGACGAGGGATTAACGGAGTCACCCATCGCAGAATCCCCGAAATCTCCTCCTCCTTTAACATCCCAGAATCCTGCACCGGGCCTCCAAGGACTCTCTGGGAGTCTCCCCTCCGTACCGTGGGGTGCGCCTCCCCCACCATCCCCTCTGAAGGAGGCCAGCATCCCGGCACCATCTCCTCCCACCCGGAGGTTGACAGGCCCCTTCTCCTGGCTCTCACGGAACACGACGCAGCAGAAAGAAACTTCTCCCTTACCGCCGCCAGACAGCCATGCTCGCAAAAATACCGCCTCCTCGATTGCTACCATTGGCAGCAACCCGGAGATGATGTTAGGCAAGTTAGACGAGGGCGACGAAGGACATGATGCCGCTGCTCAAGGGCGGCCAGCACGCAACAGTCTGAGAGACAGATTCAAACTATTGCGGATGAGAGAAGAGGCCGGCATTACTCCAGTTCCAGATGACGAACACGGGGGACCAGGCGGTGGTGGCTTGACAGGCATACTTTCGCGGGGTGCCAATTTTAGCGCTGGTGCCCTCATGAGCCCTTCAGCAGATGAGAGATCGCTCAGCCTTCAATCCCCATCCTCTCCGCTCCCTCCCGTAAGTCCAAATACGTCTCCGTTCAATCCTGCACTGGCTCCTGGTACTGCTTCTGGAGTATCTGCGGGACCATCGCCAACTGCTGAACCAGTCGATTGGGATTTGTGGCAAGCTGTCGTAGACGAAGGACCATCCGCAGTTGCGAGGACGAGTCCAGAAGAGTTGAACCGAGCCATTACGAGTGGCATACCACAAGCAATCCGCGGAGTTGTATGGCAAATCCTGGCTCAGAGCAAGAACGAGGAACTAGAGAGTGTATACAGAGATCTTGTAAATCGTGGGACCGACAAGGACAAGAATCGACTTAGTGGATCGAGTGGAGCAACCAGTGTGGCATCTAATGGAGAAAAGAAGGACGAGACGGTCGCCTCATCAGCATCTTCCATCCACTCAGACCACTCGACCCCAGCCACGACCATCACAAATGGCATGCGGTCACCCTCCCCACCCAAGGACCCAGATGTGCTGGCAAAGGCTCAAGCCGTCGCTCTAGCTGTGAAGAAGAAGAAATCTAAGGAGGATGCAGCGGCTCTGTCGAAGCTCGACAAGGCTATCAGGCGGGATCTCGGCGCCCGAACCAGCTTCTCCAAGTTCGCTGCTAGCGCTGGTCTTCAAGAGGGCCTTTTTGGTGTGTGTAGAGCATATGCACTATTCGATGAGGGGATCGGATATGCGCAAGGCATGAACTTCCTTGCCATGCCTTTGCTCTTTAACGTGGGTCTACCAGTCTTGAGAAGTGTTCCCTCTCACTAACCATCATAGATGCCCGAAGAAGAAGCCTTCTGTTTACTCGTACGACTGATGAACCAATATCACCTCCGCGACATGTTCAAGCAGGACATGCCCGGGTTGCATATGCACCTGTATCAGTTTGAGCGCCTTCTAGAAGATTGTGAGCCTGCCCTGTACTGCCATCTCCACCGTCGACAAGTTACCCCCCACCTCTACGCCACTCAATGGTTCCTTACCCTATTCGCCTATCGCTTCCCCCTCCAACTCGTTCTCCGGATCTACGATCTCATCCTGAGCGAGGGCTTGGAAGCCATCATCAAGTTCGGTATCGTCTTAATGCAAAAGAACGCCGCCGCCCTCCTTGGCATGAAGGACATGGTAGCTCTTACAACCTTTCTCAAGGACCGCGTCTTCGATGTCTATATCGACCAGGCACCGTCCCCAGGCTCTATCCTGGAGTCGGGCTTCTTTGGCAGCTCTGGTGCAAGCATCGACAAGGAAGTCTACCGAGCCGATCAGCTGATCCAAGATGCATGTGCTGTGAAGGCCACCCCCGAGCTGCTAAAGACCTACCGCCTGGAATGGGAGGAAAAGACTCGGCTGGAGAAAGAGCGCGAGGCTGAATTGGAAAACCTAAAATCCAACAACCACTCCCTCCACCAACGAGTCCGCCGCCTAGAAGAGCGCGTCGAGGAGCACGACACCGAGCACGCAGCCCTTGCGACCGATCTGGTCAAGACCAAAGTGGAAAACGAGGAACTGCATGACGAGAATGAAACCTTAAAGTTGCAGGTCGTAGAGCTGAAGCGGGTGATTGAGAAGCAGCCCGAGGAGGTTGAGGCCAGACTTCAGAGCGAGATGGACCGCCTCATGAAGCGGAATCAGGAGGTACACGAAGAGAATACCCGATTGGAGGATGAGATGGCCGAGATGGAGCAGACGCTGGTGGCGACCAAGATGCAGTATGCGGAGATTAACGCTGCGCACGAGACGCTGAATCGTAAGTGGATGGATTTGAGAAAGGCGCTGGGCGATTAGCCCGCTCGGGTGTTATTCTTTTTCATTTTCTTTCCTTCTCTTCCGCCGCTCCTGCTCCAGGGCACATTTCGACTCGACTACGACTACGACTACGACCTGTTCAGCCCGCTCTTTCCAGACTTTTCCAAGAGCTTTTCTCAGCCGATTACGATTTGGCTTAGCGACTCGACTGCTTACACATACGCTTACGAACGAATAACTAAGCACCCAACCTCCCTCGACTCGACACGGCGCGTTGCGTTGCTTTGTACCTGTGATATCCTCTTTCTTTTCGCCTCCTTTCCTCGCCGCTCTCCAGCTTGCGCGGCTGGTCATGTATGGTACGAAGTGTTTGTTTTTGTATGTGCATAAAATTCGTTATACAACGCGGGTCTTTCTTCCAAGCGGCATTTTTTTGCGCGGGTTGAACGAACGGCGGGTACTCAATGGCGAGTTCTTTCTCTTTTTCTCCTTTTCGGCTTTTTTTTACGTTTCTTCTCTCTTGCTCCGAAGCACGAGCCAAGCTGGGGTAGTGGCAACGCGGATCGGATCGACTGCTGGCCATTAATTATATTGTATGCCTGGGAGCATGGAGTATGCGCTGCATCGCCATGCAATATGCGCTCGCAAAAAAGTCAGCGGTGAGTCGTTTTGGCTGGGTAAATGTGGAGAAGAGAGGAGAGCAGAGGAGCGTCGGATGGGGGACAATTTTGTACATAGGGCACCTCTGCTCCGTCGGTACCCTATTACTCTCCGACATGGGCACAATACCACACCTCAAAACCCGAACGCGTCGCAATGCTTCCATTTGGTTTCTCCTTCTGTCGCCTCTTCCTGTATACCGCTGGATTCCCTTCGGTTCGTGGCGTGGACGCGACGCCGCCAGGCAAAGGAAGGTAGGTAAATCTATCTACCATCTCGGTAGCGGGTTCTTGGTCCCTTGGATACCGGCCAGCTGTCTACCTGCCTACATATCTCGTTACCTACCTACTTCGCTACCTTCCTACCTCCCTACCTCCCTACTTAACTGAAGCAGGTATTGCCGTGGGGCAATCGCACCCACACCCACATTCCCGAACCGACCGACACACATGCCTGCCTGGTGATCTCGCATGATGAACTCGCTACGAGACGATTAAGCGAGGGAAGAGAAATAGTTCTAAGGAAAAAAAATCATGTTGTGGTTTCAAAATCTATTTTTCGATGCCACGATCCCACCCCCCTCGTTTCGTCGCGTTTCGTTTCGAAACCAAGCTTTTGCTTGGGACACGGCGCCGCCACGGGAGTCTGTGGGCCCGGTCTTGTCGTGCATCGGGAATGTCGAGTAGTAGTGTACCGTTGCCTGGGGCCGGGAAGAACCCCCAGCCCAGGTCGACGTCGACGGGGGCTGTTTAGCCAAGTGTCGCGGAAGCTTCACTCCTTCGCCCTCGCCGCTTCCATCCCGGTTTCGTGGGGTATAGACGACAGACGTGTTGTTTTCTTTGGATCTCCATGCGAGCTGCAAGCCAGGAGCTGGGGATTGGGCTGAGACTGCACATGGCACGGCTATAATAACTTGTCTTCTCCTCCTATATCGTTTCTTTTCTTACGAGTTTAGTTGTTGTCAATTTGTGTCTGTGTATTTTTTTTCTGTAATTTGTTTTTGAGCTGTTCCTGTCCTTTGTTCCCCTCACGTCTCTCTTAATCTTATTCTTCTCATTATTCTCTTCTTTTCTTCCTACTTAATTAATCCTTGGTTGTCTCGCAAGCGAGATCAATAAACCGAACGCAGAAAATGTTCACCTGTACCCCCTTCTTCTTCCTGGCGGCGGCGTGGGCCACGGGTGCATCGGCGCAGACGGACCTCACTTCCGTGTTGGCTGCAAATAGCAAGATGCTGAGCACATTGACCGGTACGTACTCCGCTCTGTTTTCGCTTCACCCTCTGATCGAGTCGTACTTGATATTAGGCCTCCTCCAAAACAATCCTACGCTGGCCGACAACCTTGACAACTTGAGAAACGTTACCATTCTCGCACCCTCCAACGATGCGTTTTCCAAGTTCATGTCGACTTCTAACGGGGAGGCCACGACTGGCAACACAGCTAGGGTGACTGCGCTTTTGCAATACCACAGTAAGTCGATCTCTTCTCATCCTTCCCCCCTCAACACGCGTCCTCTCTGCGGCATCTCCTTCCCAATGTCTTAAATAGGATTGATACTGAGCCATCTCCCCCAAAGTTTTGAACGGCACCCACAACTCCTCCGGCATTACCACCACCCCCGCCTACGTTTCCACTCACCTCACAAGCCGATCCTACACCAACGTCACAGGCGGCCAAGTCGTCAGAGCCGAGAAGACCAACAACAAAGTCACGTTCATGAGCGGGCTGAAGGAAATGAGCACCGTGACCAAAGGGGATATCACTTTCAGAGGCGGCACCCTGCACATCATCGACAGAGTCCTCACGATACCTATGCCTGTGTCGCGGGTCGCATTAGATAGCAATCTGGTACGTACTCGCGGGCGTGCCGTGCCGAAACCTCTCTTTCTCAAATCTCTTATAACGCATTCCATGAAATCCGAAAGAAAAAAACCCCAGACCAAAGAGAGAAAATGCTGATCGCGAATGTCTCAAAAAGTTGGCCCTCGCCGGGGCTCTTCGCACTTCCAACCTCGTCTACGCTTTTGACAACTCCCGTGACCTGACTATCCTCGCGCCGTCCAACACGGCCTTCCAGCGCATCGGCTCCGCCGCCTCGGACCTGACGAACGACACGGGCGCGCTGAGGACCATCCTCGAGTACCACGTCCTGAACCGCACGCTTGGCTACGCCGGCAGATTGCGGAACAGGGACTACCCGAGCGTCATGGGCAGCCAGGTCCGGGTGCAGATGGAGAACCGGAGGACGTTTGCCAACTCGGCCCAGGTGGTCATCACCGATATCCTGGTGGCGAACGGCGTGATGCATGTTGTAGACAAGTATGTTGTTCTTTATCCTCTAACCCTTACCTTGCCCATCCCATTCTATCCTATCCTATCTTATCCCACTCTACTCCACCCTCACTCAGCAAAACGAAGCAACCAACCAAGCAAGCAATAAAAAACACACACATACAAAACCTCGGCTAACCCCCTGCCTCCAGCGTCCTTAACCCCTCCAACACTGAGCAGAGCCCGAACCCGACGGCCACCACGCAGTCCGTCGCCTTCCAGGGCGTCACCTCCGTGCCCTCGGTCCCGTTCACCAGCGGCGTGTCCGCGACGACGACGGCCCCGAGCGCAAGCACCAAGACGGCGGCCGCCGTCCGGGTCGAGGGTGCCGTGGGCGTCGCGGCGCTGCTGGGTATGGGCGTGGGCGTGGGCGTCATGGCTGCGTTTTGAGTTTGTGGAAGCGGGTGTATGGTGGAGCTAGTGAATGGATATACAATATGTATGATGTGTACGTGTTGTAGTTGTAAAATGTTTTATTTTTTCGGCCTTGGGCCTGGCGTATCGATTGGATTGGTCTGGATCGGATCGGATCGGATCGGATCGGATCGGATCGGATTGGATTGGTATGGTCTGGTCTGAGTCTGGGGTATTGGATTGGTCTGGGTCTGGCTTTCTCTTTCTCTTCTTCTTTTTTTCTTATAATATATACAGATTACTACTACTACTATTACCACTACCCTGGCTCTGGCTCTGCGCGCAGGATTAGTTGGGATCGGAGTTGTGTTTTCCTTCGAGCTGCTGCTGCCATGGCCTACGGCCGTAGACTTTTTGTAGAGGAAAAGTGCTCCCTTGACCCCTCAAGCGATGCCGAAGCATTGTCGCCGAATGTAGAGCCGGCTGTGTTACGGATTGGTGAAGGCACCAGCTGCCAGAGAATGGTCATGACCGCAAACAGCGAAACGAGCACCGGCTGCAGCACACCGATGCCGTAAACATCAGCCAGCGATCCCACCAGGAACGGAAACAGGGCACTCCCAGATTGCCCGGCGCCAGCCATCAGACTCAACGCGCCGGGATGGTGCCCGTGGGGCGTAGCCTTCGTTACGAGCGCGACGGTAACCGGGTAGACGGGACCCATCACGAATCCGCATACAGCCACGGCAACCACGTTGAGGGCAAGCGAGCGTGAGATCCAGATAAGGGTCTGCATAGCGAGGGCCAGGAGGACACAGAGACCGACCGCCTTGTTCTCGCGCAGGTAGACGGTGAGCGGAAGCAGCAGGATGCGGCTCGTCGTCAGGCCGCTGTAAAACGCAGCGGATGCATAGCCGGACATGCCTCCGCCGCGCCTCTCCCTGATCAAGAACGACACGATCCAGCCTGACTCCGTCGTCTCGCTGCCCGTGTACAGGGCTATGAAGATCAAGGCCGTCCACACGACCCGGGACGAGACGACGGTCCGCAGCGAGGCAGCCCGGTCACCACCGGCGCCGCCTTCCGACTGCAGTTTACCATCCGGGGCGCCCGCTCCCCTGCACCCAAAACCCAGGGCCAGCACAGCGATGCTGATGATGCAGAAGGTGAGGTTTTTCAGGTAGAACATGGGAGGCGGGACCTGGGCCTTCATGGCCAGCGTGGCCGCCACCGGCGATGCCAGCGCTCCCACCCCATACAGCGCATGCATGATACCCAGCTTCGTCGCTGATCCCGGCAGGCGAGCAATGTACGTGTTGAACTGGGCGTCCTGAAGCGCGATGCCGAAGCCGGCAAGGGAGTAGCAGACCACGAGACCGAGGAACGGTGGCCGGGACGCAACGACGGCGGATGCGAGGCCTTGGATCGTCGCGCCGAGCACCAGCAGCCGTCCCAGGCCCAGGCGGTTACTGAGCGCGACGTTGAGCAGGGAGGCCAGGCTGAAGCCGAGGAAGGAGAACAGGAAGGCCAGCAAGATCTGGCGGTCGGGGAGTCTCCGTATTAGGGTTGGAGATAGGGGATGAGGGCGCCGATGCAGCCGTCGTGCCAGCTCGCTGAGGCGCACGAGACGCAGCAGCCGACGATTCGGGCAAGTTCTCGGTATTCGCTGTCTCTCTTGGAATTGGTCTTGTTACTCGTGTTATCGGCACTCGAAGCGTTTGGACGGCCGAGGAGAGGCTCCCGCTCCGAGGCGCTGTGATGGGGCTTGGATGACATTCGAGATGAGTGGATGTGTACGAACGAGAGTGTAATAGCATTAGCAAAAAGAATATGGCGAGTAGTGTCTGTTCCACTTCTCCAAAGTCGATTGATTATAGTTTTGTAGTAAAGAGAGATGCAAATTGATCGTTATCGAGAATCTTACTGCGAGGACAAACGTTGGAACAAGCTTGTGAACACAAGTCTAACGAAACGCAAAGTTCCCCGGGCTCTCCAGCATCCGCTATGGTTTTAAGAAATCAGAAGAGAAAGGCAGGTAGGAGAAAAAAGAGCTTCGGAACAAGTTTGGTATTTGCTATTTATGAAATCAGCATCTCGGGTCATGAGCTGCTCGAGCTCATCATGGGTGAGTGACTGACTGACCTGGACCAGATTTATCACGAGGACATCCAGGCGTCGCGTTGTCGTGATGACTAAGCATACCCAAGAACGAGATCCTGAGGGAAAGCTTGCCAGCGCACCACATCTTCGGATCAAAGAGGGTGGTCTTCTTAATATCATATTCCAAGCCAAGATGCTCCAGCCTTTCTAATAGAATAGAGAGACTCGATAGCGACAAGACACGCCAGATTAGTCATCCATCCTACTCGGTCCCATAATTATCCTCGCTAAAGCCGGCACCAAAGTAAACAACTAGCCCTTGCTAGTATCGTGTCACGTGTCCTCAGGTCATCCGACAACATGCATATGCATAGTCTCACCTTTGCTCGAATTCCGAGATGACCGCAGCGCACGTGGAGGAGTCTTGGAGGTTTGCAGACGCTGTAGAGAATTTGCAGCTTTGCTTTAGACATTATGCTTATGCTCATCTGCCTTACCTAGGCGGTAGATCAAGGCGAGCAGAAACGTAGCCAGCAACTTAGAAGGCTACTATGCCACAATACCATTTGTCGCATATCAGCTACTGGATCTTGCAGGCCGTAGCCCCAGCCTGTGGACCAGATTCAGCCTGAAGGTCTCGTTGTCATGCGTGAGCTGGAGCTAATGCTCAACCGTATCTTCGCAGCCGATTTTTCAGCCGGGCAAATATCCATTTCGTAAAAAGGGTGGCTAGTGCTTTAGCGTCGGGTGGGTGGCTTGCCCCTTGGGACCTCCCATCGGGTACGGCGACGTGCTAAGCTAAGGAGTTGTATACAAGACGGCCCTAGGAAAGCAACTCAAAGTGGTACAGCAAAGGCTGCTATCATCTGCGCCCTTCCCTTACAGATAAGATGGATCACAGTAGAGAGATCTCTCCTTTAAGAGACGAGAATCAATGGCGCAAGGCAGTGATTGCCGATAGTACACGCGTGTGGAAGTCAGGAAGTTGGTGTTCACCTTCAGCTAAGTTACAATCATTACATTGCTTCTTTTTGCTTATTCTTACGTCCAAATCCGAGCGCGAAACTCCGACCAACAACAATTCTCCAGATCCAATAAGAACGTTCTCACCAACGCATTGTTAATCCTGGTTTGCTTCCTGCCGCCCGAAGTGCTCCTTTCCAGACACCACCGATAACGTGTAGCCTTGCCAATAAGCCTTCAAACTTCCTCCACAACGGCCTCCTTCTCAGCGGGCTCCTTCTCAGCGGGCTTCTTCTCAACGATTTCCTCCTCAATGAGATCGCCCTCAAAGAGCTTTGTGTCGGGGATCGCGACGCCGCAGCGGAAGTAGGTCACCCCATCGACCAGGACATCACCATCCCAAATCTTGCTCAGCTCCCGCAAGAACTTGTAGATGTTGGTGCGCTCCTTAGCATCCATGGTCTCCTCGGGAAACTCATTTCCAAACTTGATCGTGGGACCGGTGGTGTTGAAGTGGAGGTACTTGCTGACGCCCTTGAGACAAGTGCTGGCCGGGTCGGAGAGAGCCTGTCGGTATTCGGCATGGAACTCCTTCATATCAGCATCCTCCGAGTATCGCTCAGTGCTAATCTTATTGATCGATGCCATCGAGATGATGCCCGCAGCAGCAGTGCCCCGGTCCTCACCAGCCGCGACCAAGGTGATCGTCTGCAGCTTACCCTCCTTGGCCCACTGCCCAGCGGTGAAGAGCAACTCCTCGAGCTTCTCGGCACCCTCGGTGAAGAAGTCGATCTCGAAGCGGACGAACTGCAAGTTCTCGGTGAGGCTGTAGTGCAGGCACGTCGGGTTGAGGCGGAGGGTACGGAGCTTGTAGAACCACTCGGCACCTTGGAGGACGGAGGCGTAGTGCAGCGTGTTCTTGGCCCAGAAGCGGTTTCGGCACTCCTTGTGCACCATCTTGCAGGTCCGGAGGAAGCTGAGACGGATCTCTCCCAGCAGTTTGCCCTGCGGGCTGGCACCGGGTGGGATCGGCTGGATCTTGGAGTGGAAGCAGCCGAGCACGCCTTTGATGCGGGATGCCTTCTTGAGGTTGACTTGGCCGCTGGGAGAGACGAGGACGAGATCGTAGATCTGCTCTCGAATCTCGGCGGGGAAGACGGCCGGGAATGTAAGGGGTACGATGGCGGACATCTTTGGAACGGAGGGGTAAGGAGTGCTGGAGTTGTAGAGTCGGGACGAGATCGGGCTTGCTTTGTGGCAGTCAGTTTCGAGCAGCATCAGTACAACCTGGATTAGGAAAACCTACGAGGGAGCTGCACAGTGCTGCAGGCTCTAGAAAAGCGCGAAGTCTTGACGTTCGGCCGAATCACTCTGTCGATGGAACGAGTTCGTGCGAGGTTCTTTGTGTGATGGATCGGGGTGAATTTACTCGGCAGGCTTGACGCGTTTAAACAAACGAGTTTGCACTAGCGTGTTTAGTTATGGATCACAGCCAACCGGGCCCACAGTCTCTCTTCTCGAACCACGTGGAAACTCCCCATGTGGCGTAGTCTATTTTAGCCACTTTCAAAGGTGAATACCATGGAGTCAGAAAGATGATCCTGATTAAAGCAATCGATCATTATCCCGCTCCTGCCTAATTTGATCTGCCTACTGTTTATTTTCCAGAATTCGAAGTATAGGGGATTTGACAGCCCTCGCTATGATCTCGGAGTATATGAGGATGATTTTTGCACCTGCCTTTCATGTTTGTTGGAACGGCAACCCTCTCGACGTATCATATACTCGACTGCAAACGATGTTTTCTTTTCTCAGATGTCCCCCCGAAGTACGGAAGCGCTCATTTGTGTATCCGGGTACTTCTCCCTCCACCAATAATGCAAAGAAAAGCAAGAGCCATGACCGCAGCCTTCTGTCTTCAAACACCTTCTCATCTAGCATCGACGATTCTTCTCCTGGTTATTCTACGCCAGCTTCTCAGATGCCAATTTTACCCCAAGTATTCCCTCCACATCCAGTGAATAGATTTAAGATCCAGCTCCTGTGATCCTGGAGAATATCAGAGTGAGTCTAATTCGTTTCTTTATGGCAGATAGTAACATACATTTTCAAAACACAGCGCCAGGCCTGAGTGAGCCCCTGTTTTCCAAACTTCGAACCGACTTACCACACAACGCCTCGAATATGTGCCTCATTAGGCCTTGCTAGGAAATTGAAAGCAGGGCCCACAAGCCCCAACATCAGTGTCCACTTGAACTTAAAAACCTGGCAGTTCTCTTCCAAAAAGTCACCCTCGAACTCAATGCTCTAGACTCGGGCTGCGAAGCCTACAAGTATCTGGGAATCCACAAGACAACCTCTTAGTGTTGCGTTCGCAGAATATGCGACTGGATTGTTGGCAGGTCTGATTACTGGCTCCCTAGATAGAAAGCAAGATAAGTGCTGGATCCCCGGTCGTGGTGGTTATGCGGACCTTGACTAATCGAGTTGGCTAACAGCCAGCATGCCTGCGATTATTAGCACCCTTTATCGATACACGGCCGGGTCACATAAAAGATTATATTCGAACACTTGATCACTGAGCTCTCAAGGTATGGTCAATAGCTTTGGAGCGGACAGAAATATGTGTCCCAACGGATAGGACAAGTCGCTCACAGCTTCAAGTCTGTGGTTCATAGATCTCGATCTTCGAAATGGAATAGCCCGACCTCGCACGGAGGCACGAATTTTTTTTTCTTTTTTTTTTTTGGAAGATTAAGTGCGGAAGATACAAAAAATCAATGGGTGTTGGTGTTGCTGGCTATAAAGTGTCGTTGGATTAAAGTGGGTACATTCGAAAGCTGGTGAGACATGGTTGATCACTTGGAGATGGAGTCGGAACCTGCACACTTGAAGCCTTCCTCCTTCTTCTGTTGCTCTTCTCTTCTTCCGCATTTCTGGGAGCCCCGTTCGAGAGTGATACGGCTATCAACGCTGCATCGAAATTTTACGATCGGAGATGTTTGCAAAGTGCCTTTGGCCCTCCACTGGTCCCTGCATGGGGGTCCTAGGTATCTATCTGCCTTACCAGAGATAGAATTGATGTCTAAAGTATTCCTCACCCAAGAAACCCTTGGGACTCTGCATGTGTGCAATTCGGAGAATCGATAGACTGATATCATTGCTGCACTCGAAGTCTGGTATACACTCTTTATAAGCTCTCCGCGGCGCTGGCAGATCGAATTCCTGGTGAGCTCTACAGCAAATTTGATTCGGCGTAAAAAGAACCTAGTCGTAGATCGCCTCGCAGATATCTGGTGGATAGACTGGGGGTCCGCGGAATTCTAGAAGGAAGAGCAGTCTAGGTGATTGAGTACAATTGATCGCAAACACGGCACCATCGATTTGGATTCCATGGTCACACGACCTTGCTCTAGACTAAAAGTGACCCAGTCAGATGATTATTTCCTTCCTCTCTGCTGACGACTGCAGCGCTACTTTCTCCATGATATAAGGCTGGATTTGCTCTTCAGCCCAGCAGCTTCATCAAAGCCACCGTATTGTTTGGAGGGACCGCTGGGCTTGCATGTCAAAATCGGCGACTCCTGTCCGTTTAAATATTCACGACTAAAGCTCCTTGATATATCTGTAAAGGGCCTCGTCGCGGCATGTCCGGAGTGGAAGAGGAGGCCAAGTGTGGGAGGAATAGGCTGGGGCGAAAGAATATATGTCTGGCATTAAGATTTTTGTAAATGCTTCAGGATCTGAACAGATTCTACGCACAATATATGTTTGCTACAGAATTAAAAGATCTGATAAAGAAAGAGTAAACGAGAAATGAAAGACTGATTGAGTTCCAGGGCTGACATTCAACAAACAACGTCGGCTAAATGATAGACGCGCCCGAAGCGTGACATGCTCCCGGCGCTTCCTCTTTTTAGCTTGGTTTTTTTCACCCGGTTAATATCTTCGCACATCGAGTCACCCAAACCCTCGATCTCATCAATCCTAATATTGTATACCAAAGCTCTCAGCGGCCATGGTGACCTTGGAGATGTTGGACTCCGATTCCAATCAAGTGGCAACACCAGCCACGGTAATACCACCACCATTAATACCAGCAACCCCAGACTTCATGGGCATACCTGTTGAGCTGCGAGAGAAGATCATCGGCTACATTATCGAGAACGCGCGAGTGGTACGTGTCTCGAGCCAGCCCCTATTACGTCTATTTGTCTAAAAACAGCTGGAGACTTGTTATAGTTTCCTAAAACTCGTTCCCAATTGCTGACACCAGATTATCCAGCCTCCAAAAGAGCCTCATGAATGGTCTATAGGAGATGGCACGGAACTACTGAAATGGGACTTCAGTGTCAACGCGCTAGGATCTAGATGCCACTCTATGGAATCGTTCCCCATCATCTTTGTCAACAAGCAGGTTCATCTCGAGTCTCTCGCCGTTCTATACCGTCTCAGCACCGTAGTTCTTTACGCAGAAGTCACCAACGACACATCGGCCTTTGGCTACATCCCCTCTATGCTAGGTCACATCTCCCCGTCGCTCACGGCCAACGTCCGAGCACTGACTGTCAGGCTCTACAACGTCGCACCTCCTGTAAGTACTCTTCTTCTTGTGTGCACAGATACAGACGCTTTCGTATACACAAAGCTGATATGTCCCAGTCCAAGCCCGGATTCGATAACAAGAGATCCTGCGACCGAGTTCGACTTCGAGATGCGGAGGAGAGCTCCGCGAAGGCACATCTTCAGGAGCTCGTTGACTTTATCAATAAAGAGTTCACGCAGCGTAGCAGTCTAGTAATCATAGCTGGAATCAGAGGTGCTCTTCCACCCGAGCGTGAGTGTTCTCTGAGCCCTTTTTCCCCTTCAAGTTTATCTCAGGCTATCTCAGAGGACTTTGGGCTCTGTTGTTCATAATACCTCCTCCTATTCTCCTGAAGCAACTAAACACCCTTCACCACTACCTGTTATAGCATCGCTGACTCCGACACATCTGTTGTAGTGAAGATACTCTTTGGCCTTCTTGCTGTCCCGGATGAGGTATGCTCCCAAGTTATATCGCGAAATTTGGGTAGTGTCACGGCTAACACTAACTTCCACAGGTGGTGGTCACCTTAGTAGAGCTATGGCAGACAAATGATATTAACCATTACTATGGAGTGGGTACATACAATCACTGGACTGGGGATGCCAAGAGACACGGCTACAACAGATATGCCCAAAGCGCTGCGAAATCTGCGGGTCAACAATGTAAGTATTGCGGGCGCGTGCAATATTTCTTATTCTCGGTGTCTCAATTTCCCTCATCGTTCTGTCCTCTTCCTATTTCGATCGCTGACACGTAAATCTCCAGGGCTGAACGACACTCGATTCCCGGACTTAGTCCAGGATGGTACCATGTTAAAGAAACCTATGATGAGTGATGCGCAAAAAGCCATGTTCAATTGGAGCGGGATAGCTGTGGAATGGGCAAGACATCGATGCTGGAAGAGGAGAGCCAAGACCAGCTGTGGATTGCCATCAGGAGCGTGAGGCCCTCAGACATTTTCCAGAAGATGAAAGTTGCGCGCATAAGCTCCTGTGGGTCATCCTTAGAGTCGCTGTCTAGAGGCTACCCAGAATGATCTAGCAGAGAGTTCTGTTTTCTCCTAGATAGCACCAAAACATAGAGATTTCACCATATCGCAAGCCTCACCCGTGAGGTTCCGAGTAAAACCCTAGGGTCCGAGTTCTGTGAGCTTGCTACGAGCGGCCATCATGTCAATAACGGGCTTAATAGCTGTTATCCTTACTGTTATCAGAATAAAAGCACTCCTATACCAGTTCTCGCAATCTAACAGGGTCGTCAACTACTATGCTCAAGGACATCCGAGCTAGGGCATCAACTCACAACTTCCCAAACTCATGTATGTGTATCCAAGATAGCAAGAAAATCGCCCAAATACAGCTGCAGAAGGAGCGCTGATCTGCACTTTCCAATTTCAGAATTTCAGAACTTCTTATCTATACACACCATTCGAATACATACACATAGTCCAGAAAAGATTTCAAATCAGAATTCATTCCCGCTCTGAAACCGACGGTCTGTTTCATCTCCGGCACAAAAGAGATCCGGTCGCGTATCCCTCTCCTCTCACTTGATAAAACAAACATATTTATATTGGCTGGAAGCCTCAGAAATTGCAAAAATAGAAAGTATCATGTAACAAAGGAGTAGGTCCTGAATTTTTTTTTTTCGGTTTTGGGTTTAAAAAGGGTAGACTTGGTCAAGGCAGGCAGGCAAGTGTTGATTTCTCAGCGGGCCGTCAGCGGGACGCCAACAAGGAGGCTCGAAGCAAAACTCCTCGAGCTTTCCTCACCCTGCTCGATTCGTGCTAGAGACAGAATCAGAATCGATCTTTTCTGCCAGAGACTGTCGTCGTCCTCGTCTTTGGCTTGGTAGGAATTTTTCTGCTTGGGATATGGGAAAATAGTTAGGGTTTTTGCTCTTTTCGCCGTTTCCGATTAAGATACCGTATGTATGTATGTAGCCTGCTGACGCGAGTATCAAAAAATGACATTTTTTAAGACAAATTCGAGGGGAAGAATGTAATGATGAGAGCATTTAACTCAATAAAGGTTAGACGGAGGAGAAGGAGGAGAAGATAGAATATATGATTTGAAATGAAGGTGACAGCTTGCTTTGGAGTATCATCTACCCAATGTAGCTGCCATCTAACAACGAACATTTGCGTACTACCCGCCCCTTCAAGCTCCAACATTGCGTCGTAAATGATACATCCCAACTCACCCTCATCACCTACTCATAAAATATCAAACACCTAACCTCGATGCTCTGCCGTCCCGGCGCGCTCGCAGGAGTTCCGGGATCTTCAAAAGCAGTATGCGGCGTACACCTTGCCAGCCCCTTCTTCCCGTTTGGCAGCCCTTCCCCTCTTGAATCAAAACACTTGATGAACATCGCCTCGTCAGGGGTCATATCCTTCATGTACCAGAATCTATGGTTCGCATTCGGCCGCACGGCAAACGTCTCGCCTCTCGCCTCGTAGTTCTCCGTGCTCTCATAATGGCTAGGATCCGGCACGACCTCCTTGCCGCGGTCGTCGTCGTCGGCGTCGTGAACAGCAGCATTGCCGGCCGTCGCTCGTTTGGGGTAGAGCAGATCGACTGCGACGAAGTCGTCGGGGGACGTGCTTCGCCAGTCGATCACCGCGAGCGGAAAGTCGCTGGCGGCGTGGGCGATAGGCCGCCAGACATTGATGATCTGGTAGCGACCCGCGAGCAGCTCCTCGGCTTCTCCGGCGGGGAGATGGCGCCTGACTCTCGCCTCGGCAGCGCCGACCGTCTGGTCGACGTGCACCTGCTGCACGGGCTGCCGCGGCGCGTCCTTGTCCCGCTTGCGGATCGTGTGGTCGAAGATCACGACCTTCTTCACCCCCGGCAACTTCGCTCTCACTAGCGCCTCGATTTCCGCGTAGTAGCCTACTCGGACATCCTCTTCGTTGTTGAAATCAAAGGGCCGTGAGGACGGCGAGTGGTAGACTGCAAAGCCCGCCGTGTCGGTTGAGAACTCGGATTCGTGGCCGCGGATGTTGGACACGGGCCGCTGCTGCGAGGTCAGGCGGTAGGAAGTCCCGGGCCCGTCGACTTTGCCCCAGGGCTTGATGTGCTCGCCTGCACTGGATGTGTAGGATGCCGGATCGATATGCCTAAATGCGGCGGTGGTCATTGTGAGTGAATCGTCTGTAATTTTCTTTTTATTGTAAATAATCTTGTGGTAATGAAAGTCGGGCAGGGGAAAGATAGTGTGGGGGTACCGGTATTTATGATATGCCGTCGGGTTTAAACGTGGCGCTTCGTTACTGGCCCTTGCTTATGTCCGAAGATGATGGAATATGACGAGCGATGCGAGAATATGGTACAATCGGAGTTCTGAGGTGCTATTTGAAATCATTCGGAAGAAGATCGAACGGATTGCAAGTCGACAAACCCCTCGCTAAAAGTAGGAAGTAAATATTGACATTTGTGGTCCTTGGCTAGGAGAAGGGGTGGATTAGTAAGCGAAACTAGAGTCATGGAGATACCGGTACAGTAATGATCCTTCAAACCCCACACTCCTCTACTGTACCAGAGCACCTCGAGACGAGACAAGCCTGTTACCATCCCTGGGACACAAAGCTGGGCCAAACTCAACTTTGTCGCAAACCCTATCAATGTACCCACTCGGCCTCAGAGCTTGGAGATTGACAAACTCCGGACTGACATCTAGGAATCTTCCCCTACGAGCGAGAGGCTTGGAACACTGATCTCGTCTTCCACAACCTCCATATTCTCGCAGATAATGGCACCCTCGCGCTGGCGCATCCTCGAAGGCAAGGTCGTCGCCATCACCGGTGGCACAACGGGCATCGGTCGGGCCATCGCCCTCGAATACCTCCGCCAGGGCTGCAACGTCGCTATGAACCCTTTGGGCCTCGAACGAGACGAGAAGCACAAGCTCAGCTTGGTCGCAGAGGCTGCAGCCCTCAAGGCAGAGAAGGTAGAGGGCGAGACGACATCCAAAGCCGGAGATCTGCTCGAGGTCGTGGGAGATGTGACGAAGGCGAGACAGGCACAATACTGGTTGAGAAGGCGGTGGAGAGATGGGGAAAGCTGGATATATTCGTGGCTAATGCTGAAGTTTCGAGCCGGCAGATTTCTGACGTTATTTCGTGTTCATCTACGGAAGGACATGGCTAATCGAACTGTAGACTGGACCACGAGCTTTATCGACCGGACTGTACGGATTCATCTGAATGGTGCATTTTACAGTTGTCAAGCGGCAGCTACACAGATGGTTAAGCAAGGCCATCGAGGATCTATCATTGGCATATCTTCGATCAGTGCCCCCGTCGGTGGAGGATTGCAGACGCATTACCACCCACGAAAGCTGGAGTGCTGTCCTTGATGCAATCGATGGCTATATCATTAGGCAAGGATAATCTCAGATGCAACACGATATTGCCAGAGACTACCAAGACACAGTTGAGCGAGGACGATATGAAGAATGATGTGAAGAGGAAGTATCTGGAAGCCAGAATTCCCATGGGCAGAGTCGCAGACACCTCGGACATCGCTGGTCCAGCCGTATTTCTGGCCAGCGAGCATCTGAGCCCGTACTGCAACGGACCGCAACTTTTATCTGACGGGGGCATGTTTGTGAATTTGCAATGAGAGGCACATGATCATCTGATCATTCATTCATTAAAGTATTCGGAACATGTCCCGAGTCCCGACGCGACGCTGTGACGGGCCGGCGGCGGCATCAACCTTTTTTGTTTGGGCTGAAACCAAGTACTTCCGGAGTTCCGCAGTCTTGTTTTCTCGGGGATGCGTCGCGGAATTATAATTGAAAAAGTATGATCTTGACACCACGTTTCTACGATACAAGTCCCTTATCCTCCACCATCGCCATCACCATCTAATTGACAGATAAGAACGGACATTATGCAATATTCTTAGGATCTTATAGGCTTTCAATAACACGTCGCTTAACCTGTCAGTCTACCTATCTATCGCTTGCTCTCCACTTTAAGTTAAGCGCCACTAGTCAATTCCCTTGGGGGTCTTGAACTTTCTCATGCCAAGTCAAGGACGACAACCACAACGACTATCACCAACCATCATCACTCTACTACCGGTATACTAACCATGTAATACTTTCCATCTCAACACTCAATCTGTCACGCTGTCGCCCTCCTCTCTTCTCGTTTTAAAGAAACTACAATCAATGGCCGGCGAGGAGCGGCCAGCACCGGCAACAGCACCAGCACCAGCACCCGTACCCGTACCGCAGCGGAAGCCCAGGAATAGACAATCACGCGGCAAAGGCTTGAGGAAGACGACGGGATGGTAATAGACAAGAAGCTCTAAGCAAATGTAGAAAAACTTCAACTGACAGCTTGTCTGTATATATATAGCATCACGTGTCGACGACGCCATGTCAAGTGCGATGAGACTCGACCTCATTGCGAGAGGTGCAGAAAGGTGAACCAGACGTGCATCTACGCTGATACCCACGCCCACGCCCACGTCCACGCTCGTCCGGAGACCAGCCCTCAGCCTGGACCTGGACCCGGACCCGGGCCTGGCCTACTAGCAACATTGCCAGCTGCAGTGCCGTTAGCAGATCCAGAGGTTCAGCAAGGACGCGTGCGGCCTCCAGATTGGCCACAGCAGCAGACGCCATCGACCACTCCTTGGTCTGCTCCTCCCCCTGAGCAGTCGTTACGATATCAGCCAGCTCGTTCATCAGATACTGCTGGTGGAGGCGTGACCTCGGTGCCGCCGTCAGGTCAGAGAGCCAGTGTGCAGATCGACTATTTACTCAATACACCTGGGCCGAGTCCGAGTCTGGAACCGTCGGACCAGCACAAAGTCATCTCTCCAGATATGTCCGCTTACGCAGCCACTCCATTTTCAATGAGCAGTAGCGAGCAAAGCATAGTGTCGAGATCAGTATCTTCGAGACCAACCTACAATGTTGCCATCTCAAGATGGTTCGATATGCTCGTTGGCGATTCCGCGTTCGAAGCTGTTGTTCCAGAGAATGAAACTGCAGTGGACGATGTACGGGGTATGGGCACCCCACGAGAGACTCCGAGAGGCCACGATCGGACGAGCAGTGCTCCGTTTGCAGGTTCATGGCAGAGTTCAGCGGCTTGTGGGAGAGGCTATCAAGCGGCGTCGCCGGCTTCTTCGAATCCACAGCTGCTGGAGAGGAATCCACCGCTTATGATGAGTGCTGCGTCTGAGAATTGGCGGTGGCAGGCAGAGGCACCGATTGAATTGTTACCTCGTGAGCTCTTCATCTTCCGCAATTTTGTGGAGCGGATAAGTCTTTGGGTAAGTTTCTTTGGTGATGATGGAAGCGAGAATCTGACTTCATGCAGATTGATCTTTTCGACCCCACTCAGAGCTTTTCGAGCTTTGTTCCCCATCTCGCGGTATATTTACCCCAAAAACTCTCTGCAGGGACGTGGCTGACAACAGCCGAAAGATCCGAAACGTCGGCTTGCTGAAAGCCATTCTGGCGCTCTCGGCACGCCACATATCGCTCATGAGCCATCCAGACATCACTCCAGGGCAAACGCATGACCGAAACGACGCCCTCCAATACTACAACGAAACCCTTCACTACCTCTCAAAAGCAATGCAATACGATAGCTATAAAACCAGTCTCGAGCTTCTCGCCACCGCCCTCATCGTCTCCACCTACGAAATGCTTGACGGCTCCGGCAAAGACTGGGAGCGCCACCTTCAAGGCGTTTTTTGGATCCAGCGCTCCCAAGTCATCCACGGCGACTCCAAAGGGCTCAAACAAGCCGTCTGGTGGGCCTGGCTATGTCAAGACGTCTGGGCCGCCTTTCGCGAAAAGAGGAGAACATTCACGTTCTGGAAACCCACAAGAACGTTTGCGGAAATGAATCCATATGGACTTGCAAGCAGGGCGGTGTACATTATTGCGAAGGTTGTAAACTATTGCTCGAAAGAGGAGAGTGAGGGGGGGGATATGAAGACGAGGACGGGGAATGCGGAAAAGTTGCAGGGTATGCTGGATGAGTGGGAGAGATTCTTGACGGTGGAGTTCTCGCCGCTGCCGTATAAGAGTGACGAAGTGAATGATGCGTTTCAGCCGATCTGGATACACCCTCCTGCTTTTGGTCAGTGCTTCCCTGCCGATCGCCAGCAAACGAACATTGTGGATATTGATGTGTTTTAGCGGTTGCCATGCAGCTCCACTACTCGGCCCGTCTCCTGCTTCTCCTCAACAAGCCGTCGAAAGGCGGCTTTGGAGGCTACCTCGAGCAGAGCCAGATGATTTCCAAATACATAAACAATATTTGCGGTATCGCGATGACTCTGAACGACTATGCCTCAACTGTCATGAACTCGCAATGCCTTTATATAGGTGCGAACTCCTCTTCGTGTGCTGGCTTCGATGCTGACCTGTGTAGCTGGGATGTGTGTCCAAGACGTGCAGCAACGGCAGACTGTTTTGAGGCTCCTCGAGAAGTGTTGGCAACGCTCGGGCTGGCCGGTGACGGACCTTGGGGAAGAGCTGAAAGCCTTCTGGGATACGCCTGAGGGCGGACCGAGAGGCTGAAACTGCCGACTTGGTTGACGACAAGGACGGTCTCGAAACTGAATGAACACTGAGCTCTAGTACGTACAGGCTGCTGAATCGGCCACGCCTCGGTTTCCTCGACCCAACCCTGATTATATCGACAATCTTCTGAGCCGATCTCAGAGAAACTCAAATTCTCGGCTTCGAGAGGAAAACATTGAAAGCAGAAAGTCAATAACGATTGAGATTTGAGGGCTTATATTGGTCGACAATGCTGCTTCAATAGCTCGTGCCGAGGACATCATGCAAGGGCTTCGTACCTTCGCTTTGGGCCGCGCATCTACAAGTCAGAGAGGTACACCGCGTGTCAACTAACAAGCCTTGAAAAAGTCCGGTCCAACTAGCAAAGTTCGTATCCTCGCTGCTAGGACATCCTAGAGCTTATGCGACAGGGGCATCATAGTACCCTGGCATTTCCTGGCCTTGCCGGTACAAATCTGACCTTTCATTGAATCTACTGACAACTCGTCGAACCTCTCGTTTCGCCCTTCCTTCACGCTTTTCCCGCACTCCCACAAACCTCCATCCATTCCCGCGTCTGGTTGATCACTCTCTCAACCCCTGTCTCCATAAGCCTCGTCAACGGCATCTTGTCCACATTTGACTTTAGATTCTCCGAGTACTCATCCAGCACAAGTCTGTTCACATTTACCTTCGTGACCCCCTCGGCTATGCACTTCTGCATGAGCTCCGGCTTAAATCCATTGGTTCCATGCAGCGCTATTCTCACCTTCCCTCCCAGCTTTTCCCTTATTTCTCTTAATCTGTCGGGTCATCAGTGTTCGGCTTCTCATCTCTCCTAACCAGAGAAATACCGTTTAAAATCCAAATCTGGATCGGATTTTGCGTACGGGTTCTCCCCATGCATGTTCCCAATAGCAGGCGCCAGCACCTCCACTCCCGTCCTCGCAAAATTCTCCACCTCTTCCATGGTAGTCATACTGCCTTCCAAGCCCTCCGTATCCATCACTCCGTCCTCACCCCCTTCGATCCTCCCCGGCTCTGCTTCGGTGGCGATGCTCCTCTCGTGACAATACTTTACCAACTCCCCCGTCTTCCTCAAATTCTCGGCTTTCTCGCAGTGGCTCATGTCAATCATGATGCTGTCAAACGGTAAGCTCTCCGCCGCTCGCCTGATCAGATCGGCGTCTTGAGCGTGGTCGAGGTGAATGGCGATGGGCACGGAAGCAGACCGCGCGGCCAGGGACGCGGCGTGGATGAGGAGGCCCGAGGAGAAGGTGATGGCCCAGGGGAAGAATTGGATTATGAGCGGGGAGCGGGCGAGCTCTGCGGCGCGCACCATGGCGACGACGTGCTCGATGTTGTAGGCGACAGTGGCGAGGACGCCATATCCCCCTCCCTCGGCGGCGGCGAGAATCTTGAGGGTAGTGTTTTGAGCGCGCCAGTCTGGACCTGGTTTCGGGGCCATGGTTGAAGGAGTGGTAGCTGTTTCGTTTTTGTGTCTGAGAGGCGAGGATATTTTCGTACTTTTAGTTTGATATATCACGAATCAGGGCTTCGATTTTTTTTTTTCGGGGGATCGGGGGGGGGGGGGCTCTGGTATCATACATAGCATATAACTTATTATATATTTATTATCAAAGCTGGAAAGGAGCTTGGCTCGAGGCGAGATCAGCGCGAAATTCCCATCAATCAATCCATCTATTCATGCAAACGTTGACAGCTCATTAACCATCCCCCCCCCACTCTTCACTTCTACGCCGTAAAAAAAATCCAAAACTGATCCCACCATATCACCGAAAACCTAAAGCAAAACGTCTAACTACTATCCGCAGATCCACCTTTCTCCCGTCCTGGGGTCTCGTCTCGGGGACGATAAACTTCTGGATGTCAAGTGGAGACTGGAGACTGGGGAGGTGGAGACTGAGGGGTTGGAGGTGGCCAAGTGATAAGTCTAAGGGCCTGCTAGTGGTAGTACATTGACATTGGCGACATCTAGGGGGGGGGGGGAGTATTGGGTAGGTAGGTAGCCCTCTCTCTAAGTTTCGCGTTTTTTCGATATAAATACGCATTGAAAATAAACAATCAGGCGATGATGAGGTGAAGTGTATGTCGAGATGGGAGAAGATGGGGTTGCGAGGGGGGGGGGTTGGGGTGAGGGGGTGAGGGGGTGAGGGGGTGAGGGGGTTATGGATGTGTTTGGGTCTTTGTGGGTGTGTGTAGGTGCTGCTGCTGATGATAACAGTGATGATGGTGATGATGGAATTTTTTTCTAAAAGAAAAGGATCTTTGGGTGTGTATGGAAGTTGTATAAGTTATTTCGTTGGCTAGGTAGGCAGGGAGTTAACTGGCTAGGTCGGTAGGTATTTCTGATTAAGATTTGGGATTTGAATTGGAAGCGGAGGAGAGAGAGAGAGAGATTGAGACGTTAGATAGATAGATTCAAACGGTTGATATAAATAAAGGCTATTTATTTACAGTCTTCGTCTGGCTTGTTGACAAAAATTTGCCGCTAAGCGAAGACGCGCTCTGAGCGATCTGCGCTCCCCCCCTCTCTCTGGGAGCAGCATTCGGGTGTAAAGGTACAGGCCTCAGAAGACCGTCGTTATCAACTCCGTATAGCATACGGAGCTCATACACCAGATCCGCACTCGCATAAGTAGTAGTATCATGCGGGGCCACGAGCAGAGACCAGACTTGTCGATCGCCCCCGCACCGCACCGCATCGCCCTCGAGACGAGGTGCCACTCATTATAAGCGAGAGCTCTTGTTTTCATTCTCGTCTCGGCTCTCGAGAAATTAACAACCCCCACTGCCATCATCATCATCATCTTCTTCTTCTTCTTTTTCTTTTTCTTTCAAAGCGACCTCTCCAGACATCCCCTCCCCCTCCTCTGCACGCCCTCGATCCCAAGCAGCGCGATAACAGATAGATGGCCATTCTTTAAGTCTTGAGATCGACGGACCTCGCCTCGAGACGAATAGAAATGCAAACACCAAAATGCTCGTATACCCCACGCTCATGCAGAGCGGAAGTGGAAAGACGTGGTCCCGATAGACACAGCCGGCCGACGAGACCCCACTTCACAATTCACTGATGATGAAGCTCCGGAGCTGAAGCTTGCCCGAAGGCCCGACGGCGTGTGTCGCTGCGTGGGGGAGGGGGAGAGGAGGAGGGGGGGCATACATAGATATGTGATAGAGCTAGCTTTAACTAATATCGATATCTACCCATCAAGAGCAGACAAGACGTCCGTCTTCTCATTAGCTACTCCGCACGACCTCGCCTCACGGAAAAGAGATATAAGAGCTCTTTTTTCATCAAGTTTGCCATCGCGAGTCGTTGATCGGTTTTCACCGTAGTAACATCCCCTATATCAACATCAACATCAACAATGTCTCCTTCCATCGCCGAAACAGCTGCTGCCGGAGCGCCGCCGCCCGCCGAGACTGCCATCGCTTCGCCGATCCAGACCCAAGTGACCCTGGCGGGCAAGGTGATAGCGAGTACGTTAACGTCCCAGCTCCTCCTCCCCCTCCTCCCCCCTCTCCTCCCCCTCTTCTTCTTCCCCCGACATCCCAACTGAACGCGTATTCTCCAACCAAAGTCACCGGCGCAAACCGTGGCATCGGTCTCGGCGTAGCAGAGTGCTGTCTCAGCAACGGCGCGGAGAAGATCTACTCGATCGATATCACCGCCCCAGGAGACGACTTCGCCGCCATCGCGGAGCGCTTCCCCGGCCGCATCGCGCACATCCTCGCCGACGTCACCCGGGAAGCGAGCGTGACCGAGGCCGTCGACACGATCGTGGCCGAGGCGGGCGCTTTGCACGGGATGGTCTGCAACGCCGGGCGGACGAACCACAAGTCCGCGCTGGATTTTACGCAGGACGAGATCGAGCAGCTGTTCAACGTCAATGTACGTGTCGTGTCGCCTTCTTCTTTCATTCTTTTCTTGTTTTTCTTTTTCTTTTCGCTGAGAGACTGGGGACTGTGGTGTTGGCTTGGCTCTCGGCTGGCCGTCTGAGTGCAGAGTTACTAACGAACGGGGTCCGACTCCGGGATACGATAGCTATTCGGATCTTTCTACTGTGCGAGAGTGGCAGCTCGAGCTTTCATCAAGGCCAACTACAAGGGCGCCATCGTCTTTACCGCCTCCATGGCTTCGTACAGACCCAACAAAGTCCGTCCTTCATTTTCCTCTTCCTCTTCTCATACCTCCCTCTCTCCCTCCCCCCAGCCCAAACTTACAACCAGCCACCAGCGCGTCCCCTCCACCCCCTACGGCGCCTCCAAAGCCGGCGTGCGCAACATGACCCACACGCTCGCCATGGAGTGGGCCCAGCACGGCATCCGCGTCAACAGCGTCTCGCCCGGCCTCGTCAACACCGCCATGACCTACTGGGTGCCGCAGCAGCCGGACTGGGAGCAGCAGCTCAAGTACTACGGCGGCATCCCGCGGCTGGCCGAGGTGCAGGAGCTGGGTGGCGCGTACGTGTATCTGCTGAGCGACGCAGCAAGCTACACGACGTCGATCGACATCCCGGTCAACGGTGTTATTGGGAGTGAGTCTGTCTTCTTCCTCTCTCTCTTCCTCTTTCTTCTGGCCCCTGCTTGCGAATCCGAGGTAGCTAGCTAGCGACTGACGTTCTCGCAGTCTGTTGACTTTGGACTTGTTTGGCATGGGTGTTTTCCTGATGGATATGTTTGCAAAGCAGAATCAAAATAAACGCTTATATATAGAACAAAAATAATTTCTTCCAGAAATGATAAGTAAAAGGTGACAATGTATGGGTAGAACGTGACAACATATGGTATCCTGCGTCCGAGGAGGTAGCGGCGTAGCCAGCGACTAAGATCTAAAACCTAAAGCAGTAGTCTCAGCTGGACTTGCAAGAGGCAAACGTCAAGCAGGAGGAAAACATAATAGAATATCCCGGGAAGGAGCTCCATGTGTTGCTGAGAGGCCTACGCTAGGCTGGAGAACACCAGGGAAGGAGAGCTGGATACTTGTGATAACAGTCAAGATGGTCACCTATTAACAATGATTACTGTGATCCGCTCGAATCTATCTATTCAAACAGGAGTCCATCGCACTTGCCTTTCACAAGGCTCGCACCAACACCAACAAGGCCATCGAAGTATGCCAGGAAAGTATCAAGCGGGACCATGTCCATCAAGCCAAAGCTTGGATTCGAGCTTCTCAACACTTGACCCTTCCAAAGAACACGCATATAATAGCTGCTTGAACCAGGAGAGTGTCTTGGCGCAGAAGTTGGTGCTGCGAAAGCCGAACTTGGGCTTCTGGAAGAGTCCTTCTGGTAGAGCTCGAAGACGACTTCAGCGCCCATGCCCGGCCAGACCATGACATCCAGCTGCAGGAGAGACAATAACATCGAGACCGAACCGTCATGGGCAACGTTGTGTCTGTATATCACCTTACTTGTTCCATTGATGAACTCCCGGATGTGGGAGGTAAGCTCGCCAACCCAGACGCCGTAGCCAGCAGAAAATGCAGCCAGACTTCTCGGATCGTCGCGGTAGATGTAGGAGTACTCGTAGTTTCCAAGACGGTACACCTTATTTGCGAGATCTTGGTTGACGCAAGTTGTGGAATTAAGTCCACCAACCAGCTTGCAAGGCAGCGGCTTCCCGTGACACTGTCTTGCGGAGAGGTTATCATAGTAATGATCAAAACTGGCGTGAAAGCCCTCATCTGTGGGAGATACTCCAGAGATGTTATCTAAAGTCGCGAATAGCGAAGAGGCAGCAGTCAAGTGATTCGTCCAGTTACTCCCGGACCTGATCGCATTCAGAAGACTGGACGAAGTTGCACAAGAGTAGTCTGGCTCTAAGGAATCATATCCCTGGGGCTTCGAGGAATCAGCCCAGGCGAATATCTGACGGCAAAGAGCTCACCTGGATCAGCAACGGGTAGGCCTCCTCTATCTTGAACATACCATTTACGACCATGCCGGCAACCTCGCTGGTAATGACATTCTGAGTGACCCTGAATGCGACTTTCTCGTTGGCAGTATCCGGCAAGAATCCCAGAAAATCATGGTATACGCCATAGAGATCCTTCCCATGCTGCCACGAATCCTCAAGACCCTCTCTTGTGACCTGAGGAAACTGACAACTGCCCAGGAACCCAGTAGGTACGAACGGGTTTACTGGCGAAATGTAGCCCTGCCAATACACGCGTGCTGGCTGCTTCCCAGCCTTCGGAGCTCCGTACTGGAAGAGAGCTTCATCATCGCAGTTCCACCCGTATGATTCGACTGGGAAAGAGTTCGACGCATAGACGGTCCGCTTGTGATGCCTGTGGATCTGCGATTCTTGTCACTACCTCGACGTCCCAGATGATGCCGTCGGCACTCACCACTTCGACATATTGCAGCTTATACTCCGCAGGCGGCTTCTTGTACTCGGTTGCCCGCACGTGTGGCATATTGCACCAATTGTAGGTACCATACTCGTTTTCCGGGGTAGTAGAACTGTTGTAAATAAATGCGTAGGTGCCGTCTCCCGCAAGAACCTTTGTCAGGTCATTTACCTCCGTCGCATTGGGCGCATACCAGCCCAAGTCGACAGTCGATTGCGCCTTGCCATGCCGGGTAAAGCAAGCAGAAATGGCCGCATGAAACGTGGTTCGAGGGTTGGTTCGCATTGCGAGGTTTTTCCCGTATATAGAGAGAAAAACAAGGACGACCACAACAACCAAAACGATTCTCACAACAGCCCAGACGCCACAGATGGACAAGCGGTCCCTAGGGGCGGGCATCTTCCATCCTTACATCCGCCCCGAGCTGTATCGCGCTCCGAAGGTTGTCGGTCGCGATTCTGGCAGGCGGAGAGGGAGAGAGGGAGAGTGGGATGGTGCACCGCAACGTTGCGCAACGAGAGGTCGAGAGGAGCAAGCGGTAGCTCAGGCCGGCGCCGGACGTTAGGATCTTGATAATGATTTTATGGTCGATATGGTACCTACAGATTTCAGGGTAGGACTGTGGTTTCTGCCGTGGGAGCTCTGGAAGGTGTCGGATGGAATGGAGGATGGTGTCTTGCTGAGACAACCCCTCGCACGTGACTAAGTTTTAGGATCACAGTGGTTGAAGTGTTCCAGGGACGCCGCTTTTATTGTAAGGAGGAAGAAAGTAGAATCGAGGAGAACATCCTTCTCAATCACCTATCTAGCTGCTTATACATGGCTTAATATATGGGCACTGGACTCGACGAGTGGTGGCTGGCTATCAGCTGTCTGAAGACTTTCTGAGACATCTCCCCTGAGCGATTCGCTTATTTGATCAATCATAAGTAAAGTAAACAAATGCAGCATTGTAAGCTTGCTCACACTTCTCGACGCCGGAGGATGGAGGAACATCAAGACCCGGAATGGCTTCAGATTTGATCATTATGTCAGTTTCGTATCTCTTCAAAAAGTCAAAGATTTCCCGTGTCTCTTTCTTCATATATCCTATCTTCTATTCCACCCCCTCAGTATTTCAAACACCGCCATATATCCAACCCCTTGCAGCACCTCGTCACCAAAGCCTCACTTATCCTTCCACGAGGCTTCAAACCCTCTGTCCACTCCATGTACTTCCAAAAGGGCGTATTGATACTTATTCTTAGGAGATGGACCATGGGCACCTGTGTTGGGATGTAGCACCACGGGAAGTGGCTCTCGGTAGGGGCCCGCTATGTCCGGAACCCGCTGGATGTTTCTGGGTCTTACGTCAGGTTGTTGGAGCTGCGAGGGTCGTGGCGGGGGGAGACCGATACCATGGGTCATGTGTGGGTTTCTGAAAAGGCTCCGGGGGTGGTTGAAGCCGTTGCTTGGAATATTGGGGCGTGGTAACGTGGTTCTTTGATCTTGGGCCCCTTGTAGTTTTTGACCCATTTTTGAGTTTTTTTGGGGAAGGGGAGGCCTTCTGCTGCTTAGAAATATAGTAGGTGAGTACGGCGGAGTGTCTTATATACTCTTCGCTGGACTGGCTCTAGTCGTTGTCGCGGTAGTGGGACCACATGCCATCCGTAGAATCACAGAACACAATACCAGTCTCCCGGGAATCACTTACAATCATTGAATCGTAGACCGCTTCATTGGCTGATCAGCCGATAAGTATGCCACTGTAGGTCACAGACGAAACCCAAGGTCATTGAAAGACCGGGTCTGAGATAAATGCTGGATGGCCTGAGGAGACTGTTCCGCCTACTGAGATAATCGATCTAGGCATCACAAGTATTCGCTCACAACGCCTGAGAGTATTAGCTGGAGAAGATGCAAGATTTTGATTTCTCTTGTCAGGATTGACCCAATTTTAGGACGGAAAGGGTTCTCCCAAAAAAATGCCCCGTCTCATTCTTTGTTTTCATGCTGCTGTTTTGCTGTAGCAGAATATCCGTATGATCTTTGGTAGTATCGTTGCATTAGTCCTTACTTAGAGACTTATCTAGGTCATTCCACCTGCCAACCCTGAAATAATCTAGCTTCCGAAGCTCACCTAGCCATGCCTTACAATCTTGCTTCTCCTCAGGTCGAAGTTCCCGTTTTTCCATACCGCACAGAGCCATAGTATACTCAATCAGAGCATCGTAGATCCACTTGCAGTCCTCGGCGCCGTCTAGCATATCTCGTAAGATCAGCAGCTGTTTCCCAACATACTCGATGCGATCGTCAATCGTGAAATTTGGGGTAATGGTGGCGTGACCCCCGGAGTCGGTAAGGGTAGTCATAAGAAATTGGTAGTAGAACCAGGCGGATTGAGCGTAGGGGTACGAGTCTGTGTACATGGCTGAGACGATGAGATCAAATTCTGGCACTCGTCAGCAAAAATCCTGGTAGCCTGGATCATGGGGCTCACCATCATCCAAAAATTGCTTCCTAACGCTATCTTCGGCATTCCTCTCGTCAAGGAGTCGCGGTATCAGTTTGCTTCGGCTGTGCCAAGCCGAAAAGTTTGACAGCCCCTTCGGTGCATATATCATCTTCGTGGTGTACTCGAACTCGGATTCCACCATACTATTCCCATTCAACTTGGTGCTCTCCAACTCGGAAACTACCTTCCTTCGATAACCCCACCCATGAAAGTTCCTACTATCCTTGACCAGCATTTTTCCTACCAATCCAAGCTCTCGTTTCCACAGCTCACGCGCAAAATCAGGTTCCAGGCGCTCGTTGGCCTGCTCTAGCAACCACAGTCGATAATTCCACAGCCAATAGCACTTCGGGTACTCTAGCATGATGGGAAACAAAAATTCGAGATCAGCCTTGATCAAGTCAAGAGTTATACCATTCTTCCCAAGAGTCTGGGAGCTTGGTGCCTGCGGGATCGCCGTCGACGCCGCGGACGGAACGGTAGTAGTAGAGGAGGACATTTCGGAAGACGTTATGGTAGTGTCGGTCAGAAACGTACTCGGCAACTCCGTCGAGGGCGATGATGAATCCGAGGGTTTGGAGAATAACCCATAGATTAGCAAACGTCTGCGGACGTTCCATATTGTGTAGTATTCGGGGTTCTTTCTGAGGAGCTTGGAGGTGAGTTCAAGAACTTCAACGGTGTACTGGCGCTCTGCAATCTTCTCCGGAGTTTAGCAGATATATATCTTGGAGGCCTCTATTTGCGCACCTTCGCTCTGATCAGGTCCTCCAGCTCCTGGTACTTAGCGATCTCCCTCTGCTCTGCTACCCGCTGTTCTTCTGTTCGATGTCCCGTCGTCGCCGTCCGCGAAACACCATGCTGTCGCAGAGATCAGCAGAGCTCCCTTCTTCAACGGGCGCAGATATCATACGCTTGCCATGTCCAGAGCTGCGTTGGTGAGGCGAGATGAGGTGAGCTGAGCAAAGGTGTTGCGCTGAGGTTGGGATCCGTAAAGCTGGGAGCAGGTGAGGTTGAAGGTTGAAGTTGGAACTTGGCAGTCGCGAGTCAGTTATCGGATAAGCGACTTTGGTATGACTCGGCAGAATATTTTCTTCGACGTCTCTCCTTCCATGCTCTCTCTCTCTGTCGTCGTCTCTTCCTCTCCTTCGTGCCGCAACTGCATCATCCGGGACACGAAGGGATATGATATACTAACAAAACCACTCCAGTATCACTAACATTAATAGCACGGTAACTCTCAATTGCATCCAAGTATCAACTCAACCACTTCTCAGCTATACCCGGGGTTCTCGCCGGTGCCCAAGTCCGGTCGACGTTCATTGCATTGCCACCCGCAACATCAAGAGACGACTTGGATTATCCTCGTGGACCTGCCTTTCCTTCTTTCGAGAGTATATTTTCAACTTCACCTTTGTTCTTTTGATGTCCTTTCGTTTTGTTCCGAGAGAGAAGAGTCGATAGTCTGCAGTATCCGTCGCGGCCTACCTTCAGCCTCCTCATCCATTCATTCTGGTGCTCAACATGGCGAAAGAAAGCGTTTTGTACAGGAAGCGAGTCTACAAGACTGATATCACAGATGTCGAGACATTGTATTTCCCCCGGCCAGCAGCTATTCGGACTCTGGACTACGACAAGCAAAAGTTTGACGCTGGTATGCAGCCGAGTGTCTGACGCCCGTCCAACTGATATCTAATACAAGCCAGTGCTCGAACACTTTCACATACCTTACCGCAAGATATCTTCCGACGCGCCCAACTTTGAAAGCCCAAAGCTAGCCAGCGGAACTCACTCTACTTTGCCGATTCGAGAGAGCCAGGCCCTCCCGAGTCAGTACGATGGCCCTTCAGATAATGAGAAACGGGTCCACTCTACTGCCACTTTGCCACGAATCAATCCACGCAGAAACGTCGTCCGTCGGCGTCCTTCCCTAAAGGCTTTGGGCAACTCGACCTCTTCCATCTCCTTCAGATCCCCGGATAGGTTTTTACCAAGGCGGCCGACACTTGAGTCTGCAGTCGAAAGTTTCCGGACGAGCAAGGATACTAAAGCGTTGACCACAGATGAAAAGCTCTTTCGGCACAAGGATGCGAGCCCAGATGCATTTAACCCTCGCCGAAGAGTGACATCCCCAATTCCCATTGCCGCTCGCACAGAACCCCGGCGGAACTTCTCAGGCAACAGAAGTGGGAGTGGTGGCGCAACCGTTCTTACTTTCCAGAGAGATCCTGCTGCTACTAATGGCGAGCGGCAAGTGAGTACACGCCAATCGCGGACTCATCGAATATATTTATTGGCTCATGGACGACGGCGCTCTGATAAGCAGCTGACCGACTCGGACCAATGCTGACATCACCAGGTCAGTGTAGGTACTATCTGGAGGGTTGGTGGCCTCGCTCCCATAAGTGGTGTGTCAAACGGTCGAGGAGGTCTTCTGGGGAGTGGCACAAACGCACCTCTTTATACCACGTCTTTCACCGCCACACCCAAAGCGCAAGAGGACAAGGAGAGGCATGAAAGCCGGCTTGCAGAGGCATTGGAGCTCGATCGTGTTGGCCGAATCCTCGAGTTCCGTGATCCGTCCACGTCCCCACTGAGGTCTACCACCGATGAGAGAAAAACCCCTACCCGGAAGGACTTCAAGACAGCCTGGCTAGGAACTGAGTGGGTCAGTGCCATATCAGGTCGCAGTACGCAGCTCTACGTCGCCGAGTACCACCCCTCTAATAGAGTTGAGCAGAATCTCCAGCTTCCGAAGAAGTTCGCACTCTTCCAATGGCTCCCTTCAAATAAGTTCGTCCGCCAGAAGTGTCTTCTTTAACTGACCTCCGTCACAGTTTTGGATGCTCCAAATCTTCGAGACGACTTCTACTGTTCCGTTCTCGCATATTCCAAGACCTGCCACACTCTTGCTGTTGGTCTTGGATCTATGCTTTATGCTTGGTCTGAAATGCAGGGCGTTCATCTTCTTAATGGCGGATCAACAAACGGGTCATGGCTGACATCGCTCGCGTTCTCGTCCACACAAGGGCATAAAAGTATACTCGCTTTTGGAAAATCGGATGGGTCTCTTAGTCTCGTATCTCTGTACGACAGCATGCTGCCTCGATTTGAAGTCCAACATCCGTCCCCGATCGCTTGCCTCACGTGGCGACCACAAGTCACGATGCGTCCTTCACGATGCCCAACGACTCCCGGAATTTCAGTCAAGACCGAAGACCTCCTCGTCGGAGATGAAGTTGGGAATATTTACTATTACTCTGTCGAATGGCCTGAAAGTTGGGAGGTAGCTCGCAACGGCTGGTCTGGATCGATGGCTCTGCTTGCACGAATTACTGTGCATACACAGCAAATTTGTGGGCTTTCATTCTCCTGCGATGGCAATTTGCTCGCTACAGGTGGGAACGACAATTTATGCTGCCTATTCAGAACTAACGATGTGCTTCAAAAAAGTCGTGACGAGGCGGAGGCATTGGAAGAGATCTTCGTAGGCGCTGACGGTATACGTCGTGTCCACACACTTTCAGGACGAGGCGGAGTGAAAGAGATCAGGTCTGGCACCGAGAAGCATCGATGGATACATGGGGCCGCAGTCAAAGCTATCGCCTTTTGTCCTTGGCGTGACGGACTTGTTGCCACTGGTGGAGGAAGCAACGACAAGTGCATCCATTTCTTCCACACGACATCCGGAACATGCCTCGCCACAATCAGTGTTGCAGCCCAAGTCACCTCGTTAATATGGTCCACTACCCGCCGCGAAATAGCAGCCACTTTCGGCTACGCTCAGCCCGAGCATCCATATCGCATCGCGGTTTTCTCATGGCCCGAGTGCAAACAAGTCGCTGCGATCCCATGGGAAGGTGAACATCGAGCATTGTATGCCATCTCATATCCTGGAGGGCCAAACGAGAGTCAGAATCAGACAAGTCGAGAAGGTGTCCGTGGGTTGAGCCGCACTGCAACGGAAGGCTGCATCGTGGTGGCCTCCAGTGACGAAAGCGTCAAATTCCACGAAGTGTGGACTGCAGGGCAGAAAGCTACCGTTGGCGGCGAAGGTCTTTTAGGTGGAAGTGACATTCTTGAGGGATTGGAGGGTATTGATAAGGAAGGGGAGATTATCAGATAGGGCTGGCCTGGTAGGTATCGGTAGAGCATTAATATGCCCAAGGACAGGCAACTCCTAGGGAGAATGCACGTTGAGGTCAGACTGTGGTTGATGCCCATGATGAAAACTGTGCATCTCTTCACCGCTCACATTTATGCGTTCTTTATAGCTGTCTTGCTTGCTCCGGGTCTCGGATAGCTATGTAGTTCTCCAGCTCAAATACCTCATCCCCTCTCATTTTGTCTCGTTCAAATTTCGCAACCTCCTTCGCCTCCATCACTTCTCTTTGCCTTCTTGCCATTTCTTTCTCCTCCACTTTCCTTGCCTTGGCTTCTGCTTGCTCCGCTTCCACTCGCTCACGTTTCTTGCGCTTCTGTTCAGCCTTTCTCACTGCCGCACGCTCCCCTTTACCTGGAAACCTCGCCGCCTCGATCTCCTCACGAGTTGGCTTCATTGTCCACCAGATATCCAGCTCATTCAGCAACTTTACAGCGGTCTCAATATCTTTTATGCGATCCAGGTTCTCCTCGGTGGCGGCGTCGAGCAGCTCGAAGATGATTCTCTTGGCTTTGGTAGCGGGTAGGCTGGCAGTAGAAGGGGCGTAGGACGCGGCGATGGCAGTGGAGCGGCTTGTCAGGATCCAGGCTCTGAATGTTGCGGGGGCGAAGGGGGTGTTGAGGAAGTAGGACTGCGGTGTGAGGTTGGAGGCCGAGCTTGCTAATAAGGGAATGGAGACGGGTGAGCTTACCTCAGCGGCGTCTGTGAATGGAGTAGGTATGCCTCTAAGTGTCAGTCTTCGGGCAGCTGGGACAGAGATGGCGGCGGAGGGAGCGTGAAATGCTGGGAGGGCGACATGGGAAGTGCTGGAACGGCGTCGAAGGCCGATGGTGCGGCCGTACTGGTCGTAGCCGGGGCCGTACGGGAACTCCATTGTGCTCCCTCTATGCTGATGTTTTCTCAGCGGGAGGAAATTTTCTATTAGGTGAAGGTGAAAGATGTAGATTGGTTCGCCTAGTATGTCCAACCGAAGTGAAATCTTGCTTCCGCTGTAGCTTCCCGAGAAGGAGTGCTTCCCGCTCTCACGGAATCTATCCACTAGCTCGGCTTTGATTTGAATCTCTCTGTCTTGCGAATTTTTTATTTTTTTTAAGCAAAAAGGGACTATATTTTGCTTCAACCAGAAACATTGAATTTATTCGATCTCAAACCCCAGTTCAATTTCTGGTGCGTCACGTGTATGTCCTCGTGCTGCAGTTTTTGTGTGAGCTGTTCATCGATGTCGAAACTGCAATGACCCGAACTCTTTTTTTTTTTTTTTGGAATTTAAAGAGGAAATATTGCGGTACGATTGCTATATCCTACGACTGCGCCATCTCGACTTGGGAGGTGACATTGGCTGCTAGGCCAAAGCCAGGACCACCCTTGCTTCTGAAATGTATTTCATTTAAATTTCCGATCTCCTAGGTATATATTTAGTAGATAGCGTGAGAATTATAAGCTGGCATGCTTCTGAATTGGATTCGCTCTATAGGTACCTGCCTTATCAGATCTGGGGGGGGTTTTTTTTCTTCTTTTTCTTTTTTCCCGATGCGTCGACTCGCTTAATCGACATAATAAACAAAGGCTTGTAAGCCAGACTTCCTTGCGGTCTCCAGCCCAGCTAGCAAAATCTTGTAGACTCTAGAGTTTGTAATGTTCTAATCTGTATTTCCTTCTTCTGTCTCAATGTCGCTTGAATATTCTTAGTGACGAATGTTCACTTGACAGTGGAGGGGATATGCGGATCAGGGGGTAGGAATGTCTGCTTACAAAACCCATGTCTATAGGATTAGACTAGCTTTGAGACCAACTAACGGTATTATTGAATATGAAATATCTATCTCGTTTAAATGCTCCTTATAATTTATATGATTCAAAGGATGTAGTCCATACTACTTCAAGGTTGCTCCAGGAAGACATGTCAAGACCAAGGTAATTCTCGTTCTGATTGTACCGAGCCCAGGCAGTCTTTATGGCTTCTCGTCGTCTTGCCTGTTACTCTTGACAAGACTTTGGCAGAATATTACGCTGAAGAAACGGCTGGTACCAAGGACTATGTGATCCTGGTTTCGTCTTATCCTATAGACATCCGTCTCAGCAACCAGCGCTACATCTACCATAATGACAGCATTGATACCAGACCTAGCGAGAAATAAGGAAGACATTTCCAATCTCCCATCCGTGTCCAGCTTATTCTAGCCAGTCGAAAATTCAGCTTCTGTGCTGGCGCAATGCTCGTCGTTGGCTTCGATGCTTACGAGCTTGCCGAATGTCACCCAGAGAGCATGACCCACTTCCAACGCTGAAGTCTCGCTTCCTTGTAGACTCTTCACCCCCATCAGCTTCCTTATCAACTCTGGGCTGGTAGCGAACAATGGATGCTCTGATTGCAAACAATCCGCAGGCCATTCTGGCTGCTCGGCTACCTTTGGACGGGATGGAGGAAATGCGGAGTGTTATCGACTCGGACTTGCTCTATGGTAATTAACGGGGGATAATATCTCATCCTTCTTTTCCTTTCTTCTCCTCTAAGATATTTCAGGAAAAGGCAATTGCTGACCTCACTGTGTTCAGAGCTCCTCTCAAAGCGTAGCCTCCCTCGAATCCTAGAGGAGGCCCACCACGCAACACCGATAACACAACTGCGAAGAGTTTAACTTGGATCAAGCCAAGAGCCTGCGCCTCGATGCAAATCAAGATTGACCCGAAGAAGAACCTGCAGGAGTTCAAAATGTTCACAAAGCTTCCGACTGAGATTCGAGACAAGATCTATGGCTTCATAGAAGACTTGGAACCATGCTACATCTTCCCATGCCGCTACAACACGGGAACTTCCGGCAAACGCATTCGCGTTATGAGGATCCACAGCTACAAGCCCCCCATTGTGCTGCATCTCTACCGCGAGTCTCGAAATGAGTTCCTGGTGAGAGGCGGCGCCAATACCACCATTCACCAAACCTATACCCTCGTAAAACGAATGACTTCACTCAGTAAGCCTGTCTACGTCCGCCTGAACCGAGATAACCTGTTTCTGCAAGAGCTCGGTAAGCCGGCCCTCTCTTCCAGTATCTTACTCTAGTCATTTGGGAGCTTTGCTGATATGTCTCCCTCAGAGGCTCTTTCCTGCATGGCCATCTACACGATGCGACACATCACGGTTGCTATCCCATTCGACCAAATCGGGCCAAAGTTTCTTGCCCTCCAACTTCGAAGGTTTAATCTGCTGGAGTCGTTGACGTTGGTCCTAGCTCTGAAGAAGAGAGATGCCGAAACCAAAGAAATGGATCTTATCAGGGGGAAGGTTGAGGCGGAATTGCAAGCAACACAAGAGAGATTTCCTGAATGGACTGCACAACCGGTAGTGAAGACCGTAATCGTCACGTTTGGCCTGCAAGATCAAATACTTAGCAGTACGTATCCTCTCGGTCAGATATTCTTGATAATGTAGTCGCTTACCTGCTGGGAATAGAAGCTTTGTCGACCATGTCTAGAGACAGCGATAATTGCACCCAGCTGATGGCTGAATCTGAGGGGAATTATCGGGAATATACTTGCGAGAGCGGGAAATTAATATAGCACAGAAAAAATGGTCGCATCGTGCGGAGGACAATCAAATGCGGTCAATTAGCAGCAAATTTCTAAAACTTGCGAGGTTTACCTATTTATTGACGATGACCACTCTATAGTCGAGACTTCTTTCAAGAACGAACAAGTTCTCAAGTGATCCGAAAGCGAACTCGATGTGTCATAACTATAGATTGATTCACAACAGCACTGAGATGCTGAGTGCTGACTTGTCCCAGTTATACATGCAGTGGTGATTGTTTACTCAAAATTAATCCGGCTCCCGGACTCGCTTAGCCGACCCACATTGTTTTTCCTCCTTTTCCTTATTTTCTAGACTTTTGAAATCCGGGTCTCCATCTTGCTGAGCATTCTTCGCGCACCGAAAACATTTCGACCGAAAACCTCTTCATTAGGCAACATGTCGTCCTCTCCCGTGCTTAGCAGCATCACCAATGGGCCCTCGCTCGATTCCAAGAAGGCCGAGCCTTCGCTCTCACTAGCTACGACAATGGCCGCAGCCTCTACGCCCTACGGTAATCACGCGTCGGCTTTCAACTCGAACACCTCCTTCTTGGGAGCCGGTATCGCAACCTCAATATCCCCTGCTCTGAGCATCAGCCCGATTGGATCGAAGCCGGACTTTAAGAAGACCTTACCGTTGCTCTCGCCATCCGCCCCTGTGGCTGCAGCCTCTACTTTCCATGGACACAATCCCTCTGCTTTCGCCCCAAGTGCCATATACTTTGGAGCTGCAGCATTCTCTCCTTCATATGGAAATTTCAAGAGAGACAAGACATTCACAACGGTCAGCCAGGTCCTTCCGGTGTGCTTGGCAACCACGGAAGCCGCGACGGCAATGATTATAACCCCCAACTCCTCTAACAACGCTGGCATCTTGGCCTCTCAAAACCTTTTCGTTCACTATGCTACTTCATTCTCGCCATTCTTGGATGTTCAGGCCAGTGAGCCGCTTCAGGGTTTCAGGAAATGCCCACCGCTATTGTCTCTGGCGACGACAGTTGACTCCGATCTCCCCAAGTCTGATATCGTCACTATGGCCCCACGTCAAGCTGTTTTGTCTACAAATATCACAATTGGCTCTCTCAGTGCTGAATCCCCCGCTGGTCCCCCTCCGACCCTCGACAAGTTTACGCCCTTCCCCAGACTCCCCCTCGAGCTTCGGCTGATGATCTTTTGCCTCATGGAGCCCAGCCCAGGTCTGATCAGGAAGATCCCACGCCTGGGAAAGATCCAGAAGTATGAGAGAGTAGGAGGTCTTCGAACCATCTTCGGCCCAGCCGTCCTTCAAATCTGCCGGGAGGCCCGCAACGAGCTCAGGGGAGACAAACCCGCTCTATGCAGCCATGCTAAGTACGAGATCGTAGAGACCCTGAGCGTTCAGACTGGTGTCACTCGCTTCTACATGGACAAGACCGTTGACACATTCTACCTTCACGCCGAGAGTATGCGCTCCCCCCTTCCCTCCTGACTGGTACAGAGAGCGAAGCTAAAGCTTCAAAACAGGTCACATGGAGAACTCCAGCTTGTGGGACGTCCAAAGAATCGCATTCAGCTCCAGAACTATCGATACGGCACACATCAACTTCGCGGAGAGACTCGGCCGCTTCAAGGCGTTGAAGAGCATCACCGTCATGATTCCCGAGTTCGCGTTCTTCCTCGGAGACGCCCCATACACACCAGACAGCGACAGGAACATGACCGTTCTCGCCCGCGAATACCCTGCCCTCGAGTCGAACATCCAGAAAGCCTTGTCGGGCATGACAACGTCTGCTGGGGAGCCACTCCCCGAACTGTTCCTGGCTGCTGGCGACTGGCCCGGCATTGCAATCTTCACCAAGGCCGAGTCAGAGGCATACTGTAAGTCATCCATGGCCTCACTTTCCCGCACGCACACGCACCACACCATTCTTTTCAGAAGTGGCTAATGGGTCCCAGGGGCGGCTATCAGACTTGCGGAGGAGTTGAAGCGCCAGGCGGCTGGAGAGAAGGGGTTCTGGGATGAGGATGGTGATTCGGAGATGAGTTGGGACTCGAACCTCGACGCCGACGGAGACTCTGACGACGAGGTGTTCTGAGGTGCGATCGATCGCAGAATTGGGGCTCCCCACACAGGTAGTAGGCGTGTTAGTATCCAACGTTTTCTGATCTTGGAGCACTCTGTACACGAGAAACATTCAAGAGATCAACGCTACATCGCCAAGATAAATCCTCGCCTAACTCCAAGAATCCAAATCAGAATAAATAAATCATTTCTAGGAAAGTCAAAAGACCCGATTTTCCTTCTCCTTTCGCATTCTCTCTTTTCTTTCGATACCTAACCTAACCCAACCTTCGCCTCTCCTCGATCCGGCGCCACTAACCCCTTCATATCCCCCTTCTCTACCCCCAGTACTCTGGCCTCAATCGTTAAACATCCGACTCAAGCCTCTAACATCCGTAATTATAATATCAAATCCGCTTTATGCTGATAAACCCCACCCTTACATCTATATAACCTATTCAATGAGGTTTATAGAAAAAATAGTAAATAGGCGTCCAGTTGAGTTTTAGCCCCCATATGCCCTTCACCCTTTCCCCCACTCCCTTTTTTCTCCCGTTTTTTTTAAAATAACTCCACCGCCTTCCTTAAAGAAAAGAAGAAGAAAAAAACGAAAGAAAAACCCCTTTTTATTTAGAATAGAGATCTAAGGCTATCTAAAGAAGAAAGGGGTCGGGACGCTGTTAGAGATTGATAGTCACCCGTCACGGTCAAAGTGCTGCCGCCGAATTGATAAACGGCTAGGACTCTGTTTTCCTCTGCTCAATTTGACGAAATCTCAAACAAGAGCTTCGGATAAGGAGAATAAGACAAGAGGAAGATTCTATCAATGACATGGTATCTACGCGCTTGCAAAAGGACCTCTGAAGTATACACTTACTCCCTACTCCGGATCCAACTCCGATATTAATCGACCGACTGACGCCTAGCTGCCCAGAAAACATCAAAACTAATATTTAAAAATACATACCAGAGCATTCTCCCACCCCCCTTTGCCTTTTTTCTTTTTTTCTCTCTCACAAATCCACGTCCCTGCACCACGGCCTCCCCCGTGCAATATTCGCGTCGCAAAGCCTGCCCTCGATCGCCATGCTGACGAGACTGGCAATGCATATCCCCCCGCTATCACTCACGCTCGTCGCTCCCAGACTAAACTCTCGATCCTTGCTAGGCACGTTCTCCATGATCTCCGCAAAGGTGTTCACGTAGACCGCGCCGCCTAGCAGACCCTCCCAGAAGATGATCAGGAAGATGAACCAAACGGAGGGTATGAAGAAGTAGATGGAGTGCGAGAGCAGGAGGACCAAGTTGAGAACTTGCAGGAGAGAGGGCGTGTAGAGGTTATGGAGGCGGAAGAATGGTGTGGAAGAGCGTGATATGAAGACGCCGAGTTGGTAGAGGAAGGCGTAGAGCGGGTAGAAGGAGCGGTAGGTTGAGAAAGGCGTTTCTTGCTTGGGGAAGAGGAGGGTGGGCGAGACGCCTTGGTTGATAGTGTATTCTGCAATGTAGACCAGCAACAAGGGCAACATATAGGGGAAGAAGAGCTTGCCCGTGCGAGCGAAGTTTTGCTTGAAGAGAGAAGAGGATTTTGAGTCCGAGTGGCTGGGAGGTGGAGATGATGAGCGGGAGGATTGGCGGGACGAAGGCTGTGAGTGGGATGTGTAGGCTTCTGCGACGGTCGAGGGAGGGCCCGGTGAGAGGAGGGCATCGGCCGCGGACGAGGTGGGGAGGGATGAGATGTCTTCGTCGTCGATGGAGATTCGCGGAATTGCCGTGTAGCCTTTGGAGTTGGCCCTACGGAGAGGCGATTGGGGGAGGATGAGGAAGAATGCTAGATTGGGAGTTAGTAGATATATGTATTATGTATATGCGTGTGTGTAATAGACGCCCAGGTCACGGAATCTCGATGAACAGGGCAGACTTACCCAGTGGCATTATGAAGGGCAAGAAGGCACACGCCAACAAGCTGTTCCTCACACTCAAGCCCAGGGTATTCGTCAACAGAACATAGAGGCCAGCCCCAACCAGTCCTGCGCCCCCCGTTCCCGATCCCCAGGCGGCCAGCGACAACGGGCCATAGTAATGTGTCAAGCCCAACAGGCTCAGTTCTCCGGCACCGCTGGACAACGACGCCAGAGCCACGCCGAACAGCTTGACCCCAATGGAGCCTCCGGCCAGGACGGACGGGCTGAGCGCGATCAGGAACATTCCTGCGGCAGACAGGCTGCACATGAGGATGATGCGCAGGGAGTATGGGACGGCGTGGATGAAGTAGGGCGCGATGAGCTTGGTGAGGAACGAGGGGAGGACATCGGCGAGGAGGACGACGCCCTTGGGAACGGACGGGCCGACGAGGTCGAGGGCGGCGGACAGGATGATCACATAGCTGACGTTGTTGATGAGGCCTGAGCTGGAACAGTTAGTCGATGTGATGATGTGCGAGTAGATTCAAGAGAGAGAGGATGTGAGCATCTCGTCGATCAGGATGAGGGACGAATGTATGTACCGAAGAGCCAGAATGCGACGGCCACCGACGCATCTGCGCCCTGGAACAGGGCCGTGAGGCGAGATCTGTACATGGCCCACGACGATCCTGGCGATCCGGGCAGAGGAAGCAGGGACGGCGACCTGGGCATGATGATGGGTGTTGGGCGGTGGGTGGTGGGTAGTTATTGTTGTTGTTGTATTTATTAACGTCGGGCAGTTGGCGATGGTGGTGGCTGATAACTCTCCGAATGAGGGGTGAAGCTACCGGTACTGTATTTCGACAGTCGATCGGCCTCGGCCTCGGCCCCGGCCACGGCCGCGGCGCCGCCCTCGGCTCTCGACCCGGACCGGACCGGGGCTGACTTCCGTACAACGTCGACGGTGGTATCCACAATGGGATTTCCCTGCAGCTCGAGTGACGTTTGGACCTTGAGGTTTTGACGCCAGATAGGGATGTGGGGATTCCTTGGGCAGGGGTTACCGCCCTGCCAATCCCTACTAGCGCGGCCTTGCTGACTCCGCGATCCCAGTTCTCCCTCGTGAGAATGGGCTGGGCGCTCTTGGCGGCCTTGGCGCTCCATCGGATTGGGCCTCTGCGTTGCTTCTTTGGCTGGCAAACTCCCAGCGGCATCTGCATCTCCACTCCACCCCCCATCATCTCCAGCTCCCATGTCCAGCTCCATCTCCAACGCCATCATCTCTCGACCCTTTCACCCATCTCTCTCTATTGACGTCGCCCTGCCTTGCCCTGCATCCCCTCATCGCCCGCACCTTACCGTCGCCATATCTGCGAATACCCTCACCAGACCCTCGATACTCGCCTCCTTCTGGTACGTCACGACTCCACACACACGATTCAACAAATACCGATAGACGGACGCATCTGTTTGCTGGGCCGGCCTGCGTGGCTTCGCGGGACAAAACCCGCTGCCGTTCCCGCCCTCCTACAACCCCCCCGCCGTCAGGTCGCCGCCGACGAGCTTCACTATAAATATACGGATTGATAAATATCAAGATAGATATTCACTGACTTGAGCTGGAGCGAGGAAGAGGGATATCAGAAAGACACGCGCGTGCGCGCGGCTTAGACAGCTGCCACTGCCACGGCCACTCCCGAAATATTCGCATCACCATCACCACGACGCCCACCGCAACATCCAAAACATCACATCGCATTGCACCAACATGGATCCGAGACCGCCTCAGCACCCCTTCACGCGGAATACCGCGTCGCCGTACGGCCGCACGCCCTTCCCCCCCTCCTGCAAACCAGGCGCCGTTCCCTCCTCCTCCTCCTCCTCCTCCTCCTCCCTCCGCGCATCCACCTCCCGCGGCGCCTTCGTACGCAGAACGCCAGCGACGGCCGTCCGATCCGCCCTTCTACAACCATAACCATAATAACCACAACCACAACCAGCAGAGGAATTACGGCCAGGATGCGTCTCCGATGGCAGGGCAGCCCCAGACACCGTCACAGGCACAGGCACAGGCACATTCGCAGGCTCAAGGACATCAGAGACACCAGAGTACTCCCTCTATCGGCCATGGGCCTCCCGTGAATCGAAGTAATATGCCGCCGCCCTCGTCGCCCCAGCAGCAAGCTCCTCAGCCTCCTTCACACCACAGTTACGGGCCGCCGCGAGCAGCTGGGCCTCCTGCCCCCCCAGGGATGGGCGGAGGAGGCCCGCCCCCTTCAGCATACGGTACGCGCGAGCTTCCCTCGCTACCTCCGCTCAATCCGATAAACCGCCCGCCAAGCACCGGAGGCAGCAGCAGCAGTATGTCGATTAGGTCAATGCTGGGGGGATCTCAGCCTGCGCGAGAAGCACCTCCGTCTCATTACACTTCGCCCGTTGCCACTGCTGCTGCTCCCACCAAGCCAGGATTTCACGGCTTTACTTCGCCTCGAGTTAGCACAGCTGGGCCGGATTATGCTCCGTTCCGTAGACCCCAGACCCCTGAACATCCGCGACTATACGAGCCTCGGGATCATCGAGCAAACTCTGCGGGTTCGCCAACAAATATGAACCATCAATATTCGACGCCCGACGGCAGGAAATATAGCACGCCGCACCAGGGATATGGTCCGAGGCTACCCGAGAGGGTGCCGCCGGTGGAGGATAGGAGAGAGGTGGCCCGTGTGCCAAATCCGAGTGTTCCCCCCCCACGACCAAGCAGCCAGCCAGCCGTATACACCACCCATGGGCCGCCACCGCGCGTGCCCGACAATCCTCGACCGATACATACCGACGGACCGTTCGGGAGGAGAGTGGAGAGTGGGCCTCGGATACCGGAGCCGCATGGCAGAGAGCCTCCCTACGGTCGGCCCCCGTTCGAAGAGAGGCATCCTGCGTATGGCTATGCGGAGAGGGAGAGACAGGACCGAGAGGCTGCGATACAGCGAGAAAGGGAACGGGTCGAGAGGGATCGAATGGTGGAACGAGAACGGATGGAGAGGGAGAGAGAAAGGGAGAGGGAGAGGGATCGAGAACGCGACATGGCGATACAAAGAGAAAGGGAACAGCGCGACAGAGCCGAGCATGAGAACATGCAGAGAGAGTACGCCCATCAAGTTGCGCAGCGGAGTGCGCAGCAAGCCGCATACAGCCGTCCCTCCGAGTCGACGAGAGAGCAACATGGCTGGAATCGGCCAAAATATGAGCAACCACCAGCCAGGCAGGAGTACGATCCTGCCGGACCCCCTGAAAGACCACGATACGAGTACCCGGGGACTACGGCCCCCCAATATTCAGGACCTCCCGCATACGCCCCAACGGAGCAGCGATATGGCCCGGCCCCACCGCCCAGTTCATCATTGCAACAGAATCCCCCGCCGACCTCGCAGTACGAAGCTTCTGTCTCGCTGCAGGAAAGGCTCCGAGTTGCCCAAGCTCATCAGCAGGCTCAGCTAGCAGCTCAGCAGCAAGCTCAGCATCAACAAGCCCAACAGCAGCAACAACAACAACAACAAGCCCAGCAGCAGCAGCAGCAACAGCAGCAACAACAACAACAACAACAAGCCCAGCAGCAGCAGCAGCAGCAGCAGCAGCAGCAGCAACACAACACACAAGCCAGCAGCAGCAGCAGCAGCAGCAGCAGCAGCACGC